TTACTTTTATACTTTTTTTAATAATAAAAAGCGCCCTAACTTTGGTTACTAATAATTTTATATAAGTTTAGTTAAAAAACTTTTTTTTTTTATAATAGTTTTTTTTTGCTTGGGTATATTATTTTTAATACTTATTAAATATAATATATAGTTATTATAGCGCTTTAGTTTTTAATATTTATAAATAAAAAACTTTTTTTATATATTTTTTAAAATCTTTTAGTACAGGTATTTTTAGCGCTAATTATTATTATACTTATAAAATAAGTATTTCTTAATTTAGTTTAATAACTATATAAATTACTTAATAATTTACCATGGTTACTACTTTATATTACCCTACTTAATTAATAAGTTATTAACTAGCACTATTTTATTATTAATTATTTTAATTAATATATTAAAAAATTTTTTTAGGTAAATATAATTTTTATTTTATAAATATTAAACTATTCCTGCCTGCGGTTTTTTACTAAAAATTTAATAAATTAAAATATTTTATAGCTATTATTTAAGTAGTAAGTTAAAAAGGTTTTAAAGTATATTTTTATATTTAACTTTTAATTATTAAATTTTTTTAATATTATTTACCTAGTATGGTTTTATAAATAGTAACTTTTTTAAAAAGTTTTTTTTAAATTATATTATTATTATTATAACCCCTTTAGCAGCCTTTTTTAAAATTATAAGATTATTAAAGTTTATTTAGCAGGAAACTATTAATTACTTAATAAATTAAATAAATATATTATATATTTATTAGTTAGCTTTAGCCTTTATAATTTATTAACGTGCCTTTTTAATTTAAGTATAAATTTATTAATATTTTTTTTTTATAACGTTCTTACTTTTATAATTTTTTTTTTATTAAAATTACTTTTAATATTACCTATAATTTTTTAATAATTTTTTTATTATTTTTATTTTTTTACCCCTGGGCGGGCCCTTTATATTTTAATATTTTTTATATAATTTAAAATTTAATAATAAGGGTGCTTTTAAAATTTTTTAATTAAAAGTTTATAAATTTTTTTTTAGATATATTAGTTAGTTATTAAGTTAAAATTTATAATTATTTTTTTAAAATATTATTTACTAGTTCCTAGGATTAAGTTTATTACCTAGCTATTATATAAAATAGGTTTTTTTTTTAAAAAAAAGTAATTAAAATTATAAGTCGCGTTTATATATTATAATAAGCTTAAAAAATATAAATTATTATAATAAAAAAAATATTATATATTTATAGTAAAAACTAATTACTAATTTTTTAAGTTAAAGTTTAAAGTTAAACTTAGTATTTTATATATTATATAACTAGCTGCTACCTTAGCATGCGGCTAGTTTAGCGCCAAAGTTCCTTTACCCAGCAGCCTCAGGCCGCCGGATTACGTCATTGCAACACTGCGCAGTTGCAACACCATAACAGTGATAACAAAAATAAATATATATAAAAATTATAGTTTTATTTATACTAGCTAAGGTAGCTTAGGTAGTTTATTAAATTTTATTTTTATATATTATAAAAATTAAACTTATTATACTAACTTTTTAAGGTTTAAGCCCCGCGAGAAAAAGTTTAATTAAATTTATAAATTTAGGTATAATAAAATATATATAATTTAGCTAGTAAGGTAAAAAGTAAGGATACCCCCTTACTTTTTTTTTAAATTTTAAAGGTATATAAAATTAGGTAGCTAGCCTATATAAAATTTTATATTTTTAAAAAAAGCCTTGCTAACCCTAAAGCTAATATAAATTATATACCTTTTTTTATAATAATTAAAATTATTTTTTTTTATTTACCCTTATCCTGCTCACGGCCTAATTATACTTATTAATTTTAAAAATAATTTTAAAAATTTTTTTAGCTATATTTAAGTTTATCTATAGCTATTTATAATTATTTTTTTTAATATTTAAAAATATTTTAGTGTATTATTACTAAATGTATTTTAATAATTAAAATTTTTAAGTAGGTGTTAGCATGGATTACCAAGTATTATTAGGTATATTTTTTTATTAGGCTTTATTTAGGCCTTAATTTTTTATTATAATATTAGTTCTTATAGTATTTTTAACTAAAATTTTAAATTTTTTATTTATTTACCTTTAAAAGTACCTAGTTTAAACCTAGCTTATATTTTAGTATTTAATAATAACTAATTACTTTTAAAATCCCCGTAATAGTAATAAACATTTTAACCTATTTAAAAATTAAAAGCTAAGTTAACTTTATCCAGGTAGTAAACAAAGTATTAAAAAAATAAATAAGCTAATAAACTTTTATTATAAAAACCTAAGTTTTAGCCTTTTTATAATACTACTTTATTTATATAAAGATTATATAATTTAATTTAAGTAAAAATATAAATAAACACCCCTAAATATATTTTTAATTTTTTATAATACTAAAAAACAAGCTAAATAGCCTAAGGTTATTTTTTAATTTTATAATAGGGTAATAATATAATAAAAAATAAAAAAATAAATTATAATAATAAATTAAAAGCCCTAAAAAACTTAATACTTAATAGCTACTTTATAAATACTTTAAAAATATTAATTAAGCTATAATAATAAATAAAATAATATTAAAAGTAATGCTAAGAATAATATAAATAATACTAACCTTAAATATACTACCTAGTAAATAAAATAATACTAAGAATAATGCTAATATTGCCCAGGTATTAATAATGCTAAGGGTAATACTAAGAATAATATAAATAATATTAAAGATGCTGCCCAGCAAACAATAATAAGGATAATAATATAAATAATAATGTAAATAATAATATAAATAATAAATAATAATAAAAGTTTAACTTAGGTATAGTAAATAGTAGTACGCTTTGCTAGTTTATAAATTTATATAATAATTACTAACTTACCTATGCTAATATAATAGGACTTTAGGTGTTTTATAATTTAATTTTAGTATATTAAGTATACTATACCTACTTTTACTAGTTATTTTTACTGCTAATTATGCTTTTAATTAAAATAGTAAGTTAAATATATAATATAATTTATTTTAGTAAGCTTTTATATACTTATTACTTATAAAAAAGGTGTTGCTAACTTATTTTTTTATTTAAATATATATACCTAATACTATTTTAATATTTACTAGGTTATTTTTACTTTATTTTTTAAATTAAACACCTTTTATCACGCGGATTTTTTTTTATTTATTTTTTAAAAGTCACGATACTTGCTATTTTTATAAGATAAATTAATATAATTAAACTTATTTTTACCTATTAAAGTTATAAAACTACTTTATAAAATAAGTTTATATAAATAGTAAATAGTTTTACCACGCTAACTAACCTTTTTATAATATTAACTTATTTAAGTTATAAAACTACTTTATAAGGTAAGTTTATATAAATAATAAATAGTTTTATTATATTAATTAACTTTTTTATAACCTTAGCTACCTTACCTATTATAATTTTATTAATTTTTACTAGCCTTTAAGCGCATACCATAGTTAAAAAAAATAATTTATAAAATATATAAAAATATTTTAAAATACTAAAAATATACTTAAATTATATAAAAAGCTAATTTTATTAAGGCTTAGCTGCTTGTATATTTATAAATTTATTATTATTTTTATAAATTTTTTATATATTATTTATAAACATGTAAACTTAGTATAAAGTAATATAATAATAATTTAATAATATATTAACTTACCCTTTATTAATATTATATAAAATACCTTTCCTAAATACAAGCTTATATTTAAAAATAATGTTTTATAGCACTTTAAACTTAATATATAATATATAATAATAAATAGTAATTTTAACTAACTACTTATAGTAGTAAGTTTTTATTAATAATATAAGGTTTTTTTAATAATTATATTAATAGCTCCTAACTTAATATTAATTTAATAAACTAGGATTAACTTAGATGGCAGCACACGGGCCCTTAATATTTTAAATTTTTATTAATATTAAATATTAGTGTTAATATTAGTATTAAATTAATATTTTTATTTATATTTATATTTATTTTAATCCTGTATTAGTGTCCTATAGCTTATATAATTAACTTAAATAATAAATAATACTAAATTAAAACTATTAAATTAATTTATTAGGTGCTATTTTTATAGCATATAAACTTTAGGTAACTATATATTATTTATAGTATTTATACCATGTTAATATTAATTTATATTATATATAATATATAAATACTAGTAATATATATTTATAACATTTATTATATAATTTTTAAAATATATTTTAACGCCAGTAATATAAATAATCTTAATAATAAGTTTAATAAGTAATAATAAATTAGCTTAAATATAAACTTTATTTATAAATATATAACCTAGTAAATTTATATTTATTACTTTTAATTTATATTTACCTAGTAATTTATAGTAATAATTATATGTATTTATTATAAATATAATATAATTACTTTTTATTATATATTTATTTTATTAATATAAATTTAAAATTAACATGTATTTTTAATTTACTTTAATAAAGTATGTATTATAAAGCGCTTTATATAACCAAAGTTAATATACTAGATCCAACCTGGCGCAACTATATTCCGGGATCAGCCAACAGCGGGATGGTAAGGGGCAACCTCAGAGAGATGTAAGCTGTACTAACAATTCTTCATGACCAGGAGCGGACTTCGAAGACCATGAGTTGACGGATGTTAGCCTTGACAGCCTTGACCTATATGACTCTGAGGAAGAAGAATTTTGGAACGAAGAAAGGAGCGACGATTCGGATTATGGAGAGAACATTGAAGAACACGAGTATCCCATAATCGGAAACACGGCACGAACGCTGAAGGTTCGGCTCTTCCAGACCAATAAGGGAATAAGCAAGTTCGACAAGGAGTGGTTGACGAACATTTTCGCTAAATTCACCTGCGACGGTGCCAATGTCGCGACAGCTCAAGCCCGGTTTATCGATCGAGTAGGCATACGATCACATTTCGGGGAAAGCAATATGACCTTCCAAGTGTTTGATCGATGTGGAACTGTGAAGGCCAAGTATAAGGAACATCCAGTATAAAGAGGAGCTGGCGTATGGGGAGCGAGCTTGATGAGGGCCCTCTTTTCGTAATCGAGGATCTTTCTGTTGCAGCTGGAGAACCCGAGCTACGCCAGCAAGGCCTTGAATAGAATATAATGTTTCTGCTCCTAAACGGAGCTTAACAGATCTATCTAGACAAAAGAGGGAGCAAGGAACATGCACGTGGACATGCAGACCCTGAGGCGGTTGAGCCAGCATGAACTCTCCATGCCTTAGCAAGCCCGAGAATACTAACAGCTGTTATCAGATCGAAGTTGGTGGGCGAGTCGGATGAACACAGTTTGACGCTCCAGGCTCAAGCCGAAAATGAGGCTATTCGCTTTTGGCGAGTGTGTGGATTTCGCCGTATCGGAGCATCTCACTGGTTTGCTTTTTTATTTGATTCTCAGCATCCGTCTCGTGCTCTGGCTGCGGCTTCCGATTTCGACCCGCGGAGAGACAATAAGGATGATCCCGAGGAGGAAGCATGCGATGTAACATTTCCATTCACCAAGATAAAAAGAAGGAGAGCGGAACGACTTCGCGACTCGTTGCGGCTGCATCATGCAGCTCTCACGCTAGAGGACGATGAGCTCAGGGCGTTTTTCGTGGCCTTTTCTGACGACAAGACTGGCTGGGATGAAGTAACAGGTTTTGAAGCCACACTTCTGCATCTCACAGCTTGTGAGTTCAAACCTCTCAGTACTCAGTGGCTACTTGAGAATGTTGCCCAAGCCGACTCCTGGAAGGCGGCTCGGGATATTGGTGGGTACACCCCACTTGAAGCATTGAAGGACAAATTAGAGACCATGCGAACCCAGAAGAGGCTTGTTCTTTCTCGAAGGACCGTGGACGCATCAGACTACTTCAGACGGTTCCCCGACACCGCAGTGTCCTGTCTCTCTCTGCTTTCAGGACAGGATACTCCAGTGCCTAATGACGAATGCCTACGAAACGGATGTACATGCGGAGAGTGCGTGGGAGGGTCTCTATCCGCCAGAATGAGACTCTAGTTGATCTATCAGGGCCAGACAAACTACGACTTTGGTCAGGAGGAAATTGAGAACGGCCCCTATTGGATCGACGCCAATGACCACATACTCGTGCACCTTGATCCTGATGTAGAAAACAACCTCGGAACGAATAAGTAACTTCGAAGAGGCTTCGCGAATATGTTCCAAATCGCGGCGAAGTGTCTGGAGACCAAAATAGTTCCCACCGCCGGAAATCTTGAGTGGTTCTGTCACAATTAGAGCGAGTGGCCACCCGATACCAGGAACTACCTGCGACGCGCTGGGACGCAGATGGGTTGTCGAGCAGTCCTTCGGTACATGTTCGACACTGCTAAAGACCAAGATGAGAAAGCGGGTGATGGACAGTGTCAAAGCATACTGGGGGAAGAATGGAGTGGCCTATCAATCTGCAGAAACGATCATGAGTTTGAATTTGTTGCTAGGGCTTGTGGACACGGTGATGATGAATTTGATTCATTTCCATTGAACTAGATTGAACTCTTTCTGTTACATATACAGACAAAATATATTCTCTTTCGCTTGCATGAATAAATAACAACTGTGGTGTCTTTCTACCTACATATGGCACCATATAAACGCTGCCTTCTTTGCACTTTAAGTACAGGTGATTCCCCCATGCCTACTGATCCGCCCAGCACTCTCACTTTGATAGGGCTTCCTTTTGCTGCTGTTCCAGGCATAGGTTCTTATAGTACAATTGGTTCTAAGCCCTCGAGAGGCAGACAAACAAACACCTCGCACTTCCAGAACTCCACCAGATCCGACAGGCAACATGGATCCCATATATAAGCTACTGTTACTGAGAAATATGTATCCCAGAGGCGGTCTGCGAGCAAATACTTCCCGAGCTTCACGAGATACCAAGCCATGTCACAGAAGTTGCTCTAGACATTCGTAATATGGCTTGAGGACTTTTTTTTCTTTAACAAGTCACTCATTCTCATTATCTGTGGTACGTCTGGAATATGGTGCTCCTCAGGTCCCACGGGTCGACTCAGGCCTGACGAATACCTTCATCTGCCCAACCAAGGCACAGTTGAAAGCCCTTCAACCCTCTCGCGAGAGTAATCGCGCAGCGTTCGCCGTATTTTTAACCTGGTAGTTGTTTCAAGGTTCAGATTCACAGGTTCGGACAGGAAGATGGAATAACCATTGGACGGCAGGGTAGGATCCCGATCTTATGTACATGACCTACCATACTATTACAGCACCGGGGACTTAATTTTTGATGAAGCTAGCAACCTCGTGGTGAAAGTGGAATTATCAACAGGAGAAAAGCATTGAGGACACCAGATTACAATTCTTCATAAAGAAAGAGAACGTTATTAAGCTTTCATCTTCAAGCTAACATAAAGGAGTTGTTAACATAGGGGCGGGGGAATTTGGCTCTTAGGGCTTCCGCCAGTGACTTGCTCCAAGGCTATGTCTTTTTACGCCCGATTAATGGTGTTTTTATTGTCTTTGTCGTCGAAAGAAAGAACGCAATGTAAACAAGGCGCAATCCAGGGAGAGTCGCGATGGAATAAGACAGTGTTTCCTTTCTTAATTTTTTGATCAGAGACATTGTGGCTATACCAGAACAAAGCACTTCGTACCGGAAACCACACTTAAAGGCAGGCCTAAAGAGCTCAGTAAGCCATCCTCACAAAGAGCTATAGCTTCAAAGCTGGGAAGCTTGGGATAAATATCTCAGGAGTCACCCAGCTCTGTTCATATCTCTAACCGCTCCCCAAGCGACTCCGACTTATTGGGACAACAAATTCTAGTATTGCAGTATCACTTTCTACATCGCGTATCGTCCGCATCACATACAGCCAGCCGAGCAGCAATATGTCGTTGTATGTTCTCTTCCCTATCGGGACAATCAACAGCATGTGAAGCTAACATTCGACAGAACCTGGCTCTCTTCCCCCCAAGGTCCGACCAAGGAGGACATCCTAATCTCGCAAATCCTTTCTTTCAACGAATCCACCTTTGACCTGAGAGATCTCGCAACCGTCGGTGATTATGCGGGGTGTCTCTGGAAATGCATCCTGACTTTCATGCAAACGCATCGCGACTTCAAAGACTCAGACAGGGATGTTGATTTGTTCTGGAACAAGCTGTCAGCCGAGCGGGGAAATGCAAAGCTTCCGCGGCACCAGCGGAAAGTGGAATCGATGCTGCAAGAATGCCTCGAGGAGCTCCAGAAGAAGGGTGGGCCAGACATGTCATTCGGAACGGCAGTCCTGGTGGTTGCGATCTACTCCCTACGAAATCGGACGTTCCACCGCGACTATGCATCTGAATCGATTTCTGAGGATCAGATAACGAAGGCTGACATAGCGAGATTGAATGAGTCGCGATTCAAATCAGATACTCACCGTGAGGCGCTACAGGGTATGATGAATCTGTACTCGCATGGGTTGAGGAGGTTGTCCAAGGACTCGCCTTTGAAAGGTCGAAATGAAAACAGGCAACGTCGCCAGAAAGAACATGCTGATGAGATGGATCAATTACGATCAAGCTGGGCCGAATTTGAGCAACTTTGGCCTGAACTTGGTAGCAATATGTGAGCGTATCTTTTGTTTGTCAAGACTTTGTATGTCTACCAAGATCTATTGACTGTAGCCTTTTTTGTACAGACTATAACAGGCATCTGGAATCTACTGGTTTTCCTTAGTGTACTATCGCTTTTTATAGGTCTTCAACTATCGTATGTAGTCTCTACTTGCACATCATATAAGAGATGCGACAATGAAGACCGAGAATAGGGAGTCCGGGCAGAATCATAATCCCGAGGTCGGATGGTTCTTGTACATCGCTAGAATGCATCTCCTTATATCTCTATCTATATTTGTGTACCCGGCGCCCTGACATGACGCTGCCACTAAGCAACATAGATAAGCTAAAGGACCCCGAGCTCATCTCCCATCCCGACCCCGGCACTTTCTCAACAAGCGCAAGCTTGACGGGCTCCAGGGCTATCGAGAACATACCCTGTAGTCTGGCAGGATTGTGTGAAATGGCAGATGCCTTTCACCTCAAGCTGTGGCTGCTGGAGTATCTGTCGTTATCGACAAGAGAGACACTGTGGGACCTCCTCATAAAGAGGCATTGTAGACAAAATGAATCTGATAGTCAGCACAAAGCGACAATAAAGACACGGCACAAAGAGGTGTAGCAATTGAAGCTCGATTTGAGCCTGACAGCTTAGGATAAATACCCCGGGATTCCCCCAGTTGGCGTTTCTTCTTCATATAGAGCTTTTCCATCCTCCTACCACTGCCTATCCAACAGTTAGGTTTGTTCAAATTCTCCAGTTTGTTTATCGCATTCCGCTCTGCACATGACAACATCGAAAATGAGCTCTTCCTCCAGCGTATCCTCTTCAGACGACTCCGCTTTACCTCTTCTCCTTCCGACCCTTGCACTCCTGCAACATATCGGTCTTTCTTCAAAAGTCCTAACTCTGATTCATCTGACGGTGAGGAGTCAAAGCCCACCCCGCCACCCTCGTCGTACGACGCCAACAGTTCACCAATTGCATGCCACAATGGCTCCTCGTACGCTTACAACGATATCCTTCTACAATTCGAGAGAAATCTCGAAATCGACGATCTTGCTCTCCAACTCGCCGAACGCGAAAACAACCAAGCCAAGAAGCACAACGGCACGGACGGCACCTACTTGTACTTGAAGAGGGCAGGTCGGGAACTGGCTGAGGCAGTTGGTGAAGACCGAGCGTGTATGCTGACAAGCCGCGAGGCCAAAGCCCTTTTCGAAGCCCGCAAGGCAACCCTGGTCAGAACAAGACACTTCACAATATCCACGCCGGTCCTTGCCAAGGTCGGTGACTATGCCGGAAGCCTTTGGAATCTTCTTCTGCCGCTGATGCAAGACGAGGGTTCAACCATTACGAAAGTTTGTGCATTTTGGTTTTATTTGAAGGTAGACCTTCGCAGTGAGAACGACAGCGATGGGAACTGCGATGATGAGAACGACGATGATGGGACGGATGATAATAGAATGGACGACAATCGGATGAACGATGATGAGAACAATGATACGCCCAACATCTCCACCGCCGCCACAGATCGCCCCCTAAAGCACTATCTGGCAGAAGCCCTAGAAAAGGCCAAAGCAGAGGGGCTCACAGGCCTCAAGTTCAACACGGCGGTGCTGGCAATCGAGCTCTACGCGTTGCGGAACAAGAATTTCCACCGAGACAGAAGTAAGGGGTCTCTTGATGGCGACAGGAACATGGTCATAAAGAATCTTCACTGCAAGAAGGATGTTTTGGATATGATTCTGGAAATGATGAAGCTTTCGGCACCTCTGATGTGAGAGGTTGGAGGACAAGAACTACATTACGATTATGTTCTTATTTTAATATTGCCAGTACGCAAGATGTTTTCCTATGGTTGATTTTCGTGTGAGCTTTTTGAATTTTCATAGATTTGATTTGATCAGATTCCGTTCGGCCTCAATAGATCTCTTTGCGTCCCCATAGTAGGCGAATATGCCCGTGTGCCCTTTATAAAGGTTTATGTCTGAGATTGTAGCAAAAGGCGGTTTTCCACGCCGGTAAAATTTAAAAAGCAGGGGGCTTACCTATGTCAGTTCTCAGTAACGTCCTCCTCAGCGCCGCTGTCGTAATCGTCATTGACACCATCCAACTCCACCTCCTCATCAGTGATATCGAAATACATCTGCAGAATCTCAAACGAGGAAAGAAGCCACTTTTCAAGATCATCGGTGGTGAATGTCATGATACCATATCCTCCGACGATAGCCATGTCTTGGGCTCTACAGTACTGTTAAAGAGGTAGGGTATGTGTCGCGGGCAATGCATTGCATACCATGCTGATTAGCAAACTCCAACCGCACATCCATGAGAGTCTTCTCGATCTTGTCACCATCAGTGAGCCAGAAGAATTACACCTCCATAGTTCGTCCATCGGTGAAAGGCCCAGCCTCAGGCGATTACATGTGCAGACTTGGTCGTCGCTGCCTCTGCAGGGTGCCAACAATGAATTAGTTATAACGCTGTTGAAAGATTGTGGAGAAGGCCTACTGCACTGCACTTGGCTGGAAATCATGTATACTTTAAAGGACTTCAACTTCTCCTGGAAAGGCCGGGCGTGAATGTGCATAGGGACTTCTGAATGGCAGTCTCCCAATACAATTCCCCGCTTCGCGAAACGCAGCAGAGAGTTTGAGTGTATTACTGGACGCGGGCGCGGCTATTAACGCGTTGAACAGCCGGTGCGTATCGTACGCCTCCCATTAGGTAGGTTAGTAGCGGACAGCGGTAACCTTGGAACTGGGAGACTCCCGAAGCGCTTCTCCACTGGGGACGGGGAGCTTTGGCGGCCATTATTGAATCCTGGGATAGTCGTGCTAGAACGCCGCTTGATCCAGCGCAACTGTCCATGGATTAGCTGCCTATACCTGCCCGCACGCCTGAGCTTCATGGGAAGAGGAGGGGATAGACCGGTTGCCACAGAGGTTGGTGGAGGCGACAGCAGTAAGCGCCTAATGCGCATATACGCGCATATTCGAATTGAGAATGTACACACAGAATCAGGGAGCAGATGAACTGTGACCAGAAGCAGGTAGAGAAGATCTGAACTAGCCTTGACTGATAACGCGTTTCATGTTTCATGGAGCCCTAATCTGTGCGGTTTGATCGGCGTTGCTTGTACCGGAAGAAGGGCCAGTTTGCGAGGGCTCGGACTGCTCTGCGGTCATGTCGGTGGGTCAGCGGGGCGAGTACGAGGAGCTTCGTATGCAAGATAGTTGAGTAAGATATTGCAGGACTTTCATTTGCGATGGCAAAAAGATAGTCGCTGCATAGATGCATTGATCAGCGTGGATTCAGACTACGCCAGCGAGCCCCTGAAGACAGACGGACATTTCATTAATTGACCAACGTCCGCGAGTATTTAATTCGGACATGCCAACTCGTTCATGCCAATCGCTTTCTTGTCTCACATCTATCTACTCCAGCTAATGGTCAAAATGGTTGCATGGAGGATGAAGTCCCTGATCGCGCTCCTGGCCCTCTCCCTCCCGGCCATCGTGTTGTCCACATCCTGCGACCCCAGCACCCTCAACAGCACGACATACCTCTACCCTATAACCACGCCCAATACGACCGTCTTCGACGTCGCCAAAGCCACAAACCGCGGCGTTTGCGACATTGGCCGGCAGAACCTCATGGCGGACGTCACCATCGTCCCCAACGTCGGCCAAACACTTCTCATCCCGCCAGAAACCTGCGAACCCGACAACGAGACCTGCCTCCTCCCAAACACAACTAGAACACGAGCCTGCATCAACGGCGGACCAAGGAACTACTACACCGTCAACGGCGACACGTACGACATCATCGCGCGAAGACTCAACATCACAACCGAGTCCATGACGGCGCTTGCATTCGGCGATGTACCTGCTGGTCCAAACGACGAGCTAGCCCCCGGGCAATTCATCAAAGTCCCGCTTTGCGAGCCCAGCCATTGCGTAATTCAACCATACCGATTTACTTGGGGCGTCTACAAGGATCTGGCGGAGGAGTTTGGGACAACGGTCGGGCAGCTTATGATGCTGAGTCCGACGTATAACTATAGCAGCAAGGCGTTTCTGCCAGGGGGGGAGTTTCCGTCCATGACGATTTTAGTCAATTGTACGGAGGGAGTCGGGAATGAGACTGTTTTGACTTAGCATCGAGAAGGTCCCTTGGGTACTTAAGGATTAAACCGAAGGATTGCGCCATTACGGAGGCGAGATGCTCACTAAATGAGTCATAGCATCAATATAAAGATGTGCGTTCGTCTTGATCTAAGACCCAAATACACTTCTGCTTTGCAGTATAATCAATGAGCCCTTCAAATAAATACCTAGAAATCATTCTTACTCCCAAAACACCCGCTAAACCCACACCATGCCAAACGACCCAGCCGCCACTGCACGCCTCCTCGAAGCCGCCGAGGCAACCTTCATCACCACCCAAATCCAAGCCGTCAAACAACTGCCCAGCTTTCCAAACAATTCCTTTGCCGTCCAGCAGCTGGGTTCAGGCGTCATAGCCACCACGAAGCCCGAGTTCGTGTGGAAACTGAACCAGGTCGCTGGCTGGGGCATGGACGGGCCGGTGTCAGAGCACGACATTGAGACCATCGAAGACCATTTCCGGAGGATCGACTGCCCGGTGTATATCAACCTCTGTCCGGTCGCTCATCCGAGTGCCTCCGCGTTCCTGCTGCAGAGGGGGTACCAGGTTGCCTGGGAGTATATGGCCGTTCATGCCTTGGACCTGGCGGAGTGGGAGGACGACGAGAATGCCAGCAACATCGAAATCATCCGCGTCCCCGACAATGATTCCGAAGCGATGGCATTATTCATCCGCTTTTCAGTCGCCGGATTCCTCGCTGGCGGCAGGTCAGCACACCTCCTCCAAGCCCTGGCCGAAGCTGCAACCCTCCGCCGCGATACGAAACTCTACATCGCGAAGATAAACGGCGAGGTAGCTGGCACCGCAGCGCTGGCGTTCCTGGATACAGCTTTTGGCCGCGTCGCCGAGCTTTACATCGATAGTACGCTTCCCGGACACACGGGGAAGGGCGTGCAGACGGCGCTGTTGAGGGCTAGACTGGATGATGCAAAAAAGGAAGGCTTTGATGTAGCGGTTGTGACGGCGAGGCCTGGGAGTGGGAGTGCGAGGAATGCGGTGCGTGTTGGGTTTGGGCTTGTTTATTCGAGGAAGACGTTTTCGAAGCCTACTAGGGGGTCTGGATATTCTAGGGATAGGGATATGGAGACTTATCACCGAGCATGATTGCGGATTGGATGGAAAGCACTGATTGATTCCCAGGAGGAAATAGGTATGCCGCGGCCGTCAACCTAGTCCTGCCTTTCTAAAAACATATCCATAATGGTGACTCTACGTGACAAATGAAGTGTGGCTTGGCTGAGAGCGGCTGATATCGTGCTCTCGGTGCCTAATTGTATGTGTATATATATAGACCAACATGGATACTTGAAGCAATGAATGAAATGGTTCCTATTTTGTTTGAATGGCAGATGCTGAACAGAAGTCATACACTCTGGCCTGTTCTAGGGCACCCAGGTAACCAAGGGTTTGTCTGGTCACATGACAGCACTCGCTCTCCCTTGATTGCCAGCACCTGGCGAGCTCACCAGTAATATCTAACATAGTCTGAAATGGTGCACAGCCTGGAGTGTGAATCTTGATATCGATTTGGTCTGAAGTGTATGGCGGATGGTTCATTGGTCTTTAGCCAGGGCTTTTTCTTTGTGCCAGATATATTTATTGCGGCGGGAAGATCGCGAGCCAAGATCCAGAACAAACTGCAAAGCCTCTGCAATTACAGTCGGCTATCTTGGTAAACCAGAACCACTCTTCCATGTAGGTTTGGACCAAGAAGACAGAGATTCTATTATATTCTCTTTATTCAGTTACCGACCCAAGACAACAAACACAATCTTGGAAACAGACCAAAATAACCTCTTGTGAAAAATCCAAATCAATATTCGGAACTCAAGAAAACTTTGGCCTATGGAGGCCAGGAGAACAGCCGAGGGCTTCTCAACATCCTTTCACCTTCACCGACTCGAAAAATCCCAACCTCAGCAGCAAGGGTACATCTTCAGCCTTACGAACGCAGATGTCAGGCCACGTGGCTCCGGGTCCAGAATCCACACAAGCTGCCAGGCTACGAGAATGTATCGGACCACCTACTTGACGCAGTTGTGGCTTCCGAGTGCTAGGATCCAGTTCACCGGTCATCGGAGCTTGGGACTTTGGCAGGCATCATGCTATTCGTGCAAAACGCGCGTTGAGACCCTCCCGTCTCGGACAGATCCCGAAATCTTATCAATCAGTGACCAATGTCCAATCAAATATCGTTCTACGTGGAGTACATGAGTCGAAGTGGGTCTGACATCTTATCTGATCAAATTTTCTCGGTGGTCCCTACAGGAAGTATTTAACGCGCAATGTCCCTCCCAGTAGTAATGGCTTGCGGACTTTAGTATCTTTACAACGTCTCTTCGAGCGATATTATGGCCTCCGAAAAGTTACCCAGCGAGGCAAAAGAGCCTGTCGTCTCACTGCCATCCCATGACGGAGACGCCAATACCGATGCCTCTACGAGTACAGACGGAAAGAGTCCACCCCCGCTACCTGCGAAGCTCTTTGCCGTCTTCCTCATCTCATGCATCAGTTTCGGCTCGCATTGGAGCTCCGGTGTGACGGGTGCGATGAAAAGTACTATTAAGAAGGTCCATTTTGTTCATGTTTGGCAATAGTGCATCACTGACCCACTACCCATACAGCAAATGAACGTCTCCAACACGCAATTCTCCCTGCTCGAAGCAAGCGAGGACTTTATGGCGACCGTGCTGCTTTTGATCAGCGGCATTGTGACCGATCGAGTCGGAGGGGCTGGTACGTCTTTCCTATTCACTGTTCCATTCATCGTCCCGTGCCTTATTGACTGAGTTCACGCAGAAATGATTGTCTACGGGAACATTGTCTATACAATCGGGTCGATCCTCGTCGCTGCAGCGACCACAGTGCGCTCATTCAACTTCATGATCGGCGGCCGTGTTATTCTTGCGCTGGGCGACATTGCGACTCAGATCGCGCAGTATAAGATGTTTTCGTCGTGGTTCCCGCCCAGTAATGGGTTTGCGTCGACGCTGGGGTTTGAGTTGGCGATTGGAAAGGTATATAGTGCATCCTGGCATGAATGAATCTGGAGGTGACAATCGACTGACCGTGGATATTGATATAGATCGGAGGCTTCGTCGGTAAATCCACAGCAAATGTCATTGCCAAGGTACTCCCCCGAACCACCTGCACTCCTCGCATACTCATCCTCATAAAATGATTAGAACACAGGCAACTTCGCCTGGGTCTTCTGGACCTCTGTCTTCATGAACGTCTTTACAAACTTTGCGACCGCCATCTTCTACTTCTTCACGCGCTACTGCAACAAGCACTACACCGGGCAGCAGGACACCGCGACCAAAGAAGTCCTGACCGAGAAGAACAAGAAGTTCGAACTCCATAAGATCTTTCAGTTGCCATGGATGTTCTGGGTTGTCCTACTGTTCTCTCTGTTCCAGACCAGCACCGCGCTAGTCTTCAGCCAGAATGCGACCGAGCTGGCGGAGAAGAGGTTTGATGTTGATTCTATCAAGGCAGGGTGGTATAGTTCGTTGTCGCAGTATGCGGGTAAGTCCACCGTTGGCAGTTTGGGTTTTGAAATTAATACGTTAACGGAACTACTCAGGCTTCTTCCTCGTCCCAGTCCTAGGCGTCTTCATCGACGTCCTGGGTAACCGAGCGAGCGTCCGTAAGTGCCCCTAAACCCTTAATCACCAACCGCGCAAACCATCTAACAATCAAGGCAGTATGCACCTGCGGCCTCGGCATCTTCCTCTCCATGGTCCTGGTCAACTTCGCAAACACCAAAGCCGGCACCGCCGCCTCCTTCGGCATCTACGCCATCGCCGTCTCGTTCGGCCCAACCTCCATCGTCGACAGTATCCGCACCACCCTCTGGCACCAGTCCGTCTTTGGCGCCGCGTATGCGCTGAAAGTCACCATGAATAATGCGTACATCCCCTTCCCTCCACCTCACTCCTCCCAACCAAACATCCGTTAGAGATAGTGTACTGACAATGCACAGGATGAACATAATCGTCCGCATCATAACCGGCGCCCTCCAAGACGCCGACAACGACTCCTACGATCGCGTCGTGCGGGTGTACCTCTTCCTCGCTGCGGCGGCGGTGGCAGTGGGGCTCGCGATCCTGGTTGGGTCGTTCGTGAACGAGAGTTTGATGCCGTTGCAGTGGACGCGCAAGAGGAGGATGACGATTGGCGCGGCGCATCTGGAGCGCCTGCGGGAGTGGCATCTTGGGACTTGTGCGGAGCGGAATCGGGTAATTTCGATTTGTTGCTTTGGGGCGCTGGTGATGCTTGTTGTTGGTGGGTGGGCTGCGTATATTTGGGGGGCTGTGACGGGGAATAATTCTTGATTATGCTGGTGCTGGAGGGTGGGAGTTGATGAGATGCTCCGGCTGATTAAATAAGTGGGTTTATAAGGCTCCCTAACCTAGGTATGATGGAAATTTGGTGTTTCTGCGAGGATCGCTTTCAGACCTGAATCAGGTGGAATTGAGGTGCTTCTCAGGAGTGTAAATTACAACCTGACACAAGGGAGGAATCTCCATTCGGTCTACGTGGAGAAAACCTTGGCTACTGAAACACTCGACCAGACCTTATCTGAAAAGACGATGTTCCGAAGGGGTTGAGCCTTGGAATCTCCCGGGAGTAGCCCTAATATCTACAGATACTGTAGGTACCTACGACACTACCAAGGAACGATAAGGGAGGTAGGCAGGTTGAGACAATTGAATCCAAGAAGCCGTAAGGATTTTGCTATATAATCGCTATAGCTATGCCATGACCGCTAGATACAATGGCTGGAAACGAGAGATCAAAACTATAACCTGCGAGACCCACCGATAACGCTGTATACATGGAAAGTGTAAATTGCAGAACGAGAGCACGAGAAGGAACACAGAAAAGAATTGAGGACAACAACTAACAGAAATATCAAATGAACGAAACCCATAACGCAAGCAACGGAAATAGACACATGATTCACGCAAAGCATGGGTATAGGGTAAGGATGGGGAAACAAAAGCACAACATGCTACAAGACAGGAAAATACGAAAAGCGAGAGCACAACTGCATGGTGAGAGAGAGAGGTATCTTGTGTTCTGGCGGACAATTGCATCGGCGAGGACATGGGAATTTCGTTATATAACGTATTCTCTCTCCCCTAGGTCATGAGGATCTTGCCCAGAGTCCTTGCAGCATCGGACCTGGCTGGGCTCATCCTGGCAGGGCAAGAAAGCGACGAATGATATCGAAAGGTCGGCAGAACATATAGTTCTCAGTCGCCATGGCGTTGGAAAGGAAGAGCTCTAGCTGGAGGTCGAACCGGTCTCCGAGAGGAAGCGCAGATGCGCGAGAGAGAGCGTGGCCCAGAGAGGGTCTTGCGAGACGAAGAGGAGACACATCGTAGCAGCGACCCCTGCCATCTTGATCGTATTGGAGAGGTGAACGAGATTTGATTCGAGTATGGAGATGTGAAGAAGATTGGTGTTTGCAAGATGATCGGAGGTGTCGGAGGAGTGTGGAAGACGGAGAGAATGGGAATCGTCAAGAGATTGCAAATCCAGAGGAGTTTATATACCTTGCGAAGTGTAGTGAATGACAAAGGAAGGGACAGAGGAAGTTAGTAAATGGTATACTGAAGCGCATTGTCACAAAGGCCTTTGTCGATAGAGTTGAGAAGGCATCCAAAGGGCATTGTCGGTTATTGACAGCGCATAAAGAACACCGTTGCCCTGTGACGGGGTTTGTCCGGACAACGGCACCTTCAAGCCAGTAAATATATCGCTTTGACTGTCCATATCGCAATTGGTGCCTGGCCTTTCGGTGACATCTTGCCGCTTTTTATACTCCCTTTGCCAATCAACAAGCCCTTCGCTGCCAATGAATTGTCAATCGCAAAAATACTAGGTTTGCCACTACCTTTCATCCTTTAGAGAGTAAGCTGTGTTACGACAACCATCTGATAGACGCTGCGCTGGGGATTAAGCCCAGACAGTAGTTGAGGATGTGGTCCCTTTGACTTTTGAGTGAGAGGAGGCTTGGATCTTAGTGTGTACTTGACCTGCAGTGGCGAGCATTAGCCATTAGACTCCACGGGAAGGTACGAGCAATGCATTCTGGAAGTCTGATGGAACCCTCCAGACTCTACCTCCTTTCATTTCTGAGCATGCTGCCCAGGCCCGATAACAACCTTCCAAGGTTGCTAGAGTTATCTTCACCGTCACCTTTCCCTCGATGCAAAGATTCCCAACCCTGGACAATCCTCTGGGACCTTGGGAGCTTTTTTCAGAGACGACGAAGGCCTTTATACGATTAAAGGCTCTCGACGATTTTGTGGTGAGAAGGACAGCAGATGTTGGTAAAGGGCGTCTTCAAGTTCACCTGGCCAGACACTCCAAAAAGACAAATATGACACTTGCGAGAATCAGCACAAGCTTGGAATGTTCCCAAGGGTTGATTACTGACCTTCGCTCTCAGTCAGAGTCACAGCAACACTGCTATGAATTGGCGTAAATCTCCATCCGGGATCGCCAAACTGGTGCACAAGGTTTTCAGTTGAGGTCAATGTCCAAAATGAAACTGTCTGCCTTTGAGATAGGCTCAAACATCAGCTTAGCTGCAGTGTTGGTATGTTCAGGAGGCCTGGACCTTCAATCCTTAGTGAAGGCTCCTTTCACTTGAGCTTAGTGTGTCTAAATAGCGTCCATTTGTCAAGTAGGTCATGCCATCTCATCCAAGCAAGAGGTTCAGTTCTAAAGAACAGACTAACCCCTGAATCCTCTCCGGCTGAAGCAAAACAGGTTGATGCCTTGGGTGTAGGAGTTCAGCAAAGCAAAGGACGGGCCTATCCGCAAGTAAGTGAAGAGCCCAAAATCTGGCAGAGCATTCACTGCTGCAGTGAATGGAACTGCTACAGAGCCCATATTTCTTACTCCTGCACTCCTCTTTGCTTGTATATTTATAACTGCATTATTTCTTCCACGGCACCTCCTCCATCATCTCTACACATCCCCAATCTTTACTCTTCTTTATCCCTATCCAACATTCTGTTTATCTACACATACATCTAGAATCTTTGTGTTTAAATCTTATTTGCTGCAAGATTGTTCATCTATTGTTGGGTTTTTGGAGTAACACATCTGTGATGGCTCCCCCCACCATTTACTCTCCTAGTGCTGGAGCGCACAATATCTATACCCAGCTTGAGCACTTTGAGGCTGAAAGCCATGGATTCAGTTCCTTGGCTCCTGATTCTCTTGGAGACCATGCTCAGCTGAAGTCCTTCCTGCAGCTGTCCCAATTTACCCAGTTCGACATTGTCAAGCAATCATGGCGCGAAACGATCCGCAACGTTTCAAAGTCTGTCGAAGCCCCTGCCCTCGACGAAGCTTATCAGACCGACTCTGTGACCATTGTCCAAGTATCGGGCGACAAGGGCTTGCTGGCCACTCCTCCTTCCAGTCCTCAGAAGTCTCTCCAGCTTGCTGGCCCGCTGGTGACCAACACTATCATTACCTTCCATTGCGCAGAAAACGCACAGAATGTCTTGGATTTTCATCTCCCTGAAAATACTACGTCTCTTATTAGCCAGGTAAGTAAAGCCCGTCGTCCCTACTTCATGCGATACTAATGTTTCCGTGGTAGAGCACCGTCCGCCTCAAAGTCGTCTACAGCATCGACCAATGGCAGATCCATTTCTACTACAAGCGCGACTCGCTCTCGCCCACTCAAGCAGAAGAGATTGTCGGGATCTTCGAACAATGCCTTGAGGAGGCGATTGAAGCGATCGCATCCAAAACTCCCCCGTCGCCCCCGGCCGAAACGGACCTGGAGTTTTCCAACGACTGCCCCAAGGTTGACCGTTGCATTCATGATCTGATCGAGGAACAATCCGTCGCGCGACCGGATCACGAGGCTATCTTCGCCTATGATGGCTCGCTCTCGTACGCCCAGCTGTCGAATGTATCCTCAATACTGGCTGAGAAGTTGAAAATCCTGGAAGCCCGCCGTGAGCAACGCGTCGCCATCCTCATGAACAAATCGACATGGTATTCCGTCGCTGTCCTCGCAGTGCTCAAGTCCGGCGCTGCGTTTGTCCCGCTTGACCCCAGCCATCCAGAAAATCGCCTGAAGCAGCTCGTCGCCGACATCGAGCCCTGCGCACTTATCACCACTTCGTCTCTGTCCGAGAAAGCGGCGGGCTTGGAATGTCCTCGGCTCCTTGCGATCGACCAAACCGATCTCACCTGCGATGAAACAATGACTCTTCCATTCTCTCTCCCAACCGCCAGTCCCGACAACGCCGCCTACATGATCTTTACGTCCGGCAGCACGGGTAAACCGAAAGGGGTTGTCATCGAGCATGCCGCCCTCTGCACCAGCGCAATCACCCGCGGCGCTGTCTTAGGACTTGGTCCCGACAGCCGTGTCCTCCAATATGCCCCCCATACATTCGACGTCAGCGTGGATGAGATTCTCACTACGTTGATCCACGGCGGATGCGTCTGCGACCCTTCTGAAAATGATCGGTTCGCCATCGCTCCTTTTATCAATTCCGCACGCGTCACGGCTGCCCTTTTGACTCCAACGTCTGCTCGTACACTGCATCCCGACGATGTCTCTACGCTTCGCAGCTTACAAACCGGCGGAGAAGTTCTTACAGAAGATGTGAACGATAAATGGTCTGACCGCGTTACGCTCTTCAATGTCTACGGCCCGACTGAGGCGAGCGTTGCCTGCGTTATTAGCAACCGCACCGGGCTCAAGGGAACCGGCCATGTCCTTGGACACGCTGTCGGGGGAAAACTGTGGATTGTTGACCCCGACGATGTCGAGCGTCGTCTTCCGGACAATGAGGTCGGCGAGCTGGTGATTGCCGGACGGATCCTTGCGCGTGGATACTTCCGCGATCCAGAACGGACGGAGTCCTCGTTTGTTAGGCTGCAAAGCGGCGAGCGAGTCTACAAGACGGGTGACTTGGCGAGCATGGATGCGTCTGGGACGATATCCTATCACGGACGCAAGGATCTCGAAGTCAAGATCCGTGGTCAGCGGATCAACATTGCTGAGATTGAGAGGGCTATCTTGCAGTGCGAGTTTGTCCATAGTGTTGTTGTTGAGTACCCTCGGTCTGGACTGTGTGAGAAGAAACTGGTCGCTGTCCTATGCTTCAAGGACTCTTCCGATGTTACGGGTGATTTGTTTGACGGTGCCCAGGGCTTGACAGAAGACGACCACGCACGTCTTCTCAACCACGTCTCGAGTATCCTGACCCCGGCCATGGTCCCCTCAAAGTGGCTGTCTCTGCCTTACCTGCCGCAAATGACCTCCGGCAAAGCCGACCGCAAGCAAGTTCGCGGCTGGCTTGAAAAGATAGACAAGGAAGTTTACGACCGTATCTTCCATTGCAAAGGCGTTGGTACCCCCGTCTTGGACACGTCAGACGCCATGGTCTCCATCTGGCTCAAAGCCCTGAAGTTGGAGCCGCAGAACCTTTACCTCGACAAATCCTTCATCCGCAACGGCGGAGACTCAATCATGGCCATGGAGGCTCGCCACTTGGCGCACCAAGCTGGTCTTGCCATCGATATCCGCGAGCTCCTTGCGGGCCGCACTCTGCTGGAAATCGGCCAGATGGTGACCGCGACTTCACCCACAACCAAAATCACCAAGATAGCCGAGGACAAGGACGAGCCGTTTGCGTTGTCGCCTGTTCAGCAGATGTACTTTGACAAGATTTTTCACCCTAGCCTTGGCCTTCAGCAACGGGTTTGCGTGGAGTTGACTGAGGAAGTCCATCCTGACATGTTGCGCGATGCCTTGAACCACGTCATCCAGAAGCACCGGATGCTGGCCGCTCGATTTACGAAGGACATGGGGCAATGGATGCAACAAGTCCCGTTTGGGCAGGATATCAAGCCTGAATCTTTCTATCGAATCTACACCGAAGCTGCAGTATCTTACAGCACCTTCTGCACCGAGCCTATGAGCATCGAAGACGGCATCCTTCTCCATGCGCATTTGCAGTCGGACAGTGAAAACCCAACACTTGTCCTTTGCGTGCAGCACTTGGTAGTTGACCTTGTCTCGTGGCGAATCATTCTGAAAGACCTTCACGAAGCACTGGTGGCAGCGAAAAATGGCGCCATGATCAATCTGCCTCGCCCGGCGCTGACCTTCCAGCAGTGGTGTCGCGAGCAGGCAAACTATGCCGAATCTCTTGTACCTGAAGTTGTCCTCCCATTTGCGCCAGGGCCGGTTGATCTTCGCTTCTGGCAGCAATGCAGCTCTCGAGCAATACTCAACACTTATGGTGAGGTGGCCCAACTTGAGTTCCGTTTCACTTCTCTACAGACAACAGAACTACTAGACAAGTTCACTACCACTACCCTCCATCCAACGGACGTCCTTCTAGCAACCTTTGCACTCGCCTTCAAGCACGTCTTCCCCGAGCGCGAAACCCCAACAATATTCATCGAAGGCCATGGCCGAGAGCCCTGGCACGGCTCCTTGGACATCTCACAGACCGTCGGCTGGTTCAGCGCCGCATACCCGATGCATCTTCCAAGAGATACCCTGCCCACCATGGCGACTGCCATTCTCGCAGCATCCGAGCGCCGCCAATCCGTGCCCGCAAACGGCCATCCATACTGGGCAGCCCGATACCTCTCGTCGAACGGGCGAAAGGTTTTCGGGAATGATCCACGCCACACGGAAATGGAGTTCGTCTTCAACTATGCGGGCAGCGTCGTGCAACGGGCTCACAACCAAGAACTGTTCTCGGAGAATGTGCGCGTTGCGGAGATCGGGCATCCGGACTGTGAGCGTTTCTCGCTGTTTGACCTTGGGGCGTCTATCGAGATGCCGAGCTCCGAGCTCGTTGTCGCCCTGACGTTTTCTCGGGACATTGCGCATCGCGAGCGGGTTGGGGGGTTGATGCGGACGTTTCATGAGTTACTCTGCACGGCTATTCAGCTGGATCTGGATCTCGACCAGACTGTGCCGTCAACGCGTTTTGTCTGTCCTGCGGATGTTTCTCATTTGCTGGAGATCAACGGGGTGAGTATCGAGCGCGATGTGGAAGAAATCTACACGCCTTCATCAATCCAGCAGCATATGCTTAGCCGCCAGTACCAGGAGCCATGGTTCTACTGCGTGGAAGGAACATGGACGATCGAGAAAGCCACGGAGTGTTCGGAATCCATTGATATGGATCGTCTATCGCATGCATGGAATCAAGTTGTTCATCGTCATTCTACTCTACGGACGGTGTTCAAGTACAGCGATGAGGAGGAACGATTCGTTGCGATCGTTTTGAAGGAGGTTGAGCCGAACATCACCATCCTACGCAGGAAAACCAACAAAACCAGCATTATCGCGAGCTGCCACGACGATGAACTCCTCCCACCCCATCGCATGGTTCTCCGCGAGATGGACGACGGGTCAGTGATCTGCAACCTGGAGTTCAGCCACACCATCATCGACGCGGCGTCTCGTTCGATCGTCATGCAAGATTTCGCCGACGCATACGAGGGGAACCTTACCACTACGCTCGACGCTCCTCCGTTCTGGGAATACGTTCGCTCGATCCGTCCTCAATCATCCACACCTTCAACTCAAGAAGACCTACCCCTCGCCGGCCGCGTCGTGACCCTCCCCTTCGAGCCAACCGACCTCGCCACGAACATCCCGGAAGCGTGCAAGACCAACGAAATCACCGTCTCCAGCTTCTTCATGGCTGCCTGGAGCACGGTGCTGGCAAAACACATGCATTCAGCCGACGTATCCAGTCCAGCCGAGACGATCGCATTCGACTACGTCCTCTCCGATCGCCCTGAAGTCCCAGGCATCGAGAATGCCGTTGGTCCGTACATCCGTCTTCCAACATGCGAAACCCACGTTCACCGGGGTATATCGGCACGAGATCTCGCGCGGGACTTGCATGCGCAGTGCACTTCTCAATCCTCGTCCCCGTCCCAGGACGGGTCCCTCGATATTGACCTCCCGAGCAAAGCCACGTCGCTGCAGAAATACTCTACGCTCGTGAACATCCGCAACAGCGGCTCCGATAGCCTCGAGCTGGTTTCTGCTTCTGGGGACGTTAAGTGGGTTCTCCAGGGCTTCAATGACCCGTGGGACTACGATCTTGTGTTCGCGGTGAATGTTCAGGCGGGACGGGTGCTGGGGTGGACGGTTGAGTATGTTGATGGGGTTGTTGAGGATTGTGTTGCTGAGGAGATTGCGGAGGATTTGAAAGACGTTGTTGGAGATATGGTGCGCGTGTTTATGGAACAAGGGTGTGATTTGATGTAGAGGATTTGGATTGGTCATGTACTTTGTACCGGGATTGGTGCTAGATGCATTGTGCATATTTTCTCATGTATGATGGTTATTTCTGATGGTTTGGTTACTTTGGCGTTGGTCTGTGGGCGGGAGAGATTGGAAGATGGAGAGTTGGCGTTTGGATACCAGAGCCTGTACTGTACTTAAGTTAAATCGCTTAGAATATCATCCATGGACTTGTAGAGAAACCTTCCACTGTACTTATTGACCATGTCCAACTCTCCGTTTGACTCACTCGGAGCCCAACTCCGCCAAACTTTCGCACAACGTCGAGCCTTTTCTTCACCTCCTCCTCATCTCAATCACTGGGACACCATCCTACTCCAAGAATGCCCTCCTCCAACAGTGACCCCAAGGACGCCCGCCGCTCTTCTCGCCAGTACCTCCGGGCCCTCTTCCGGGAACTCGAAGAAAGAGGCGCCGACAGACTCGATCCGACTGCTCTCAAGAGCACTGGAATCACCATCAAAGCCCTTGATCTCTCACAGCCTCTCTCTGGAGCTGCAAACCAGGACCAGGACCTTGTCCCGTTCTTCCAGCCGTGGAAGCTCGACTCCCTTGCAAGCTACCCGCTCGATCTGACCGAAGAATCCACCAAGGAGGTGTACGGAAGTGAGCAACGCGCCTTCACACGGCGTTCCATCGAGGATCCCACCCTCGCCAGCTCGCTCTTCACAGACATCTTAGCGGGCTTTATTCAATACGAACGAATTGGACTCGACCGCTGTATCATGCGCAGCTCGGAGTGGTTTGAATGGTTCGTTCCCTACTACTGTACTATTTCCACTGCACCTGCCTAACTCCCTCTTTCTCTCCATCCTAGCAATATCGACGACCATTTTCTCCGCGACGAGTACCGCGTCACCTGCAGTGCCACCGACAGGGACAACCCGTACAAAGCCATCTCCGGGCCCTCGAATGTCAGAGCTGCATGGCATATCCGCGACGACAAGACGCGGACTTCCCGAGAGCCACATGCGCTCTTCACCATGACGCACACTGTCCCTCCCCCTCCCCCTCCCACCGAGCAGATCCTGCGCACAGAGATCCTCGCCATTCTCGGCGTTATGCTTTCGCGGCTCAGAAGCTGGACGCTCCGTGACTTTAGCATCATCCCGGTAAGTCTGCATCCAACCTTAGTTATCCATGGCTTTTATCTGCATCGTTGCTTACATACTCCTGTCCAGGTTCTGCTTATCTCCTGTTTTAACAGGTACAAGGCCCGCGTGCTCTATGGCTACATGTCGGACAACGGGCTGGTAATTGCCTGCAGCTGCCTGCATGACTTCAGCACGCAGCAAGCCCGCGACAAGAACTTCAACGTCTTCTTTTCGTGGATGGCAAGCGAGCCAATCGGTAACACAAAGTCTCTGAGCTTTGGCCCGATGATCAAGGAGAATGTGCCGCAGACTAGACCCCAACGGCAGCCCGTCGTGCCAGTGCAGAGGGGGATCACAAACACTGAGTTCTTTCAGCCTCCGCCTAAACCTGAAGGCGCGGCGCCAGATCTGTTCCAGGCTCCACTTGAAGTTGAGGCTAAGAGTGAAGCTCCTGCCCCTGCCACCGTCCCAAAGCGGACGGGAAGTCCACATGATTCGGGGTATGGATCCGTGAAGGGCAGCAGCAGCAGTAGCGGAACCAGAGGCCATAAGGGGGATCGGTCTAGCGGCAGTGGCAGTGGAGGCGAGGCGCAAAGAGGAAGAGGAAGCGGCAGCGGCAGCGGCAGCGGCAGCTGGGTTGCGGATGCAGAGGGGCCTGGGGGACTGGGACTGGAGACCGTCGGCGAGGATCCTCGAGAACCCGCGGCATAAGCTGGACGATGGCCTAAAGCAAAGAACTTGGGTAGCGTCTTGCGGTTTTGTCTTTCCTTTCTTTGCAATGTAATAGGATGTCTTCATGATTGACGTAATTAAGACTGACGAAACACATTGGCGAAGACAATGCGGGATTGATACCGCGCCCTTGGATCTCTTACAAGAATTGATCTCGTAAACAATCCTTTCCAAGTTGATACATTAGAAAGTGGATGGCCATTAAGATACAAAGCCTTGATAATTTCCTTGTACTTCCATTATCATGAAGCTACGGGTATAAAAGCTCTGAAGGTACTTAGCCTTTTCCTGATTCCATTTTGATAAATAAGTAATTCCAACTAACTTAATAATAGCACATACCCGGCACAAACGGACCCAGCTTCAACCTCCAAGCCCTCCGCCCTCATGTCCACCAAATCCTCTTCCTAACCGCCTCTTCCTCTTCGACTCCCTCTCTAGCCCCGGAGTACCGGCTTTTCCGACAACGTCCACCTCTTCCACCGCTGGCACTGCGACGCCAACACCATCGGCAGTTTGATGTCGACGCCGAGTATGGCGCGCCAGCAGGCGGGTACCAGGGCCCTGATTGCGGACGCGATAGCCTTGCATTGCGCCGGGGGTATCACCGGCGTAATGGGGTCAGTCAGGGGGGCTAGAGTGGCTACAGCGCTTTCTCTTGAGCTGGGGAGGGAGGGGGAGGGCGAGGGTGAAAAGCGCTTGATCTTGGGGCCAGCGGTTATGTTTGCGGCTACCTTTCCGGCTTTGGGACTGAATATGGGTATGGGCGGTTTGTCTGGCTTTCGAGATTCTGGGCCCGGGGGCAAGAATACAGCTACAGAATTGAGTGGGTTCGGATTCTGGCACAAACTTTAGCGACAGCCAGAGGAAGAAGCAGGTGGAGATTCCATCACATCTGTTCATGTTCGCGGTGCTAGGGATCCGTGGGGGCGGACAGCGTGCGGATGCTGCATATTATCTACTAGGGTACGATCTTGAGCGGGGGACGGTGGTGGAATTCGAGGAGGGGATCAGGTTCCAACAGTGCAGCTGGATGTGGAGCAGATTGCTAGAGTTGTGATGTCTAGTTGGTCTCAGACTGTGCGTGTGCGTTTAGGCGCCAATGGGTCTTTGGGCTCATACTAAAGCATTCTCAAGGTTGGTAGAAAGCAATCATGTGCGATTCAAGCGAATATTACAATGGCTACGGAAAGGGGAAGCTCTGGTGAACAAGTATAGGATTCGAATAATATGAGGTAAGAAAAGGGCTTTCACACGCCCGGACTAAACACAGGTCTGGCTAGTCATCTGCAGTCTGCTTCTCGGCTTCTTCCTTGGGGTCGGCGTGGTTGGTGTTGATCCGCTTGATACCAGTAGATAGAACAAATGCCAGCCCATTTGCAGCAAATGGTTAGCGAGATACTGGAGGTAAAGTAGGTAGCCTGTGAAGGATCAAAAGTCGATAATAATATTGGCTCGACTTACAAAGACAGTGGCATAAGCATCGTTGGAGGCAGAGATCATAGCATCGATGCGGCTGGGAAAGGCTTAACCAAGGTTCCAACTCTTTCACGTTGAGGTACCCGGCCTCCAGCAGAGCAGCGACACTGGTTGCATTCAGGCCCGCGGCGGACTCTAACCTGTCAACGAGCTTGCTGTGCAATGTGGAAGTGCCCACAATTTGCATGACCGAGTTATCAAAGTATTGCGTGAAGAGGACGGTGGAAATTCCAACTGCGATGATGCTAGGCCTGGTCTTGAGTACGTTCTGGACAGTGAGAAGCGCCATTTGCGCCGCGAAAGCGCAACCGAGACCCTGGAGGATCTAAAACCCTATCCACTTGCCCGACGAGGTGGGAAAAGGAGTGAAGGTTGTGTATGAAACGCAGGCAATGCACAGCATGCTCGGTCCGATAAAGACCAGGGGTTGTAGTACCTGACATGTTTGGCTAGTTTTGACGGTTAGTGCTGAGCACATCATGCAGAAATCAAGGCAGATCATACCTGAGACACCGGACACAATGGCTCCAAAGACTAGGGTGCAGACAGATGGGAGGAGCATAACTCCACTCCGCTCCGCATAGGACTCGCGCCCTTGACGATCTGAAACCATTCGGGGAGATAGTACACAGGTACAACAAAGGAGCCCATGAAGACGAATGCAAAGATAATGCTTGGAGCCGCTGAACAATCTCTCAGGGAGGCTCAAGAGAATCAATACCGCTCCACCCTTGTACATCTCCCATGCGATAAACAAAAGCATCGATACCCCAAAGCCAAAGAAGAGTCCGATGATAGTTGCACAGTCCCAGGCGTACTCGCCTCCTCCCCATTGAAAAGCTAGAAAGACCATGACTGTCAATCCAACAAAGATAATGCCGCCAATCAGATCCAGCTTTATTATTCTCCGGATCGGGGTACCCTGCTGAATCACGGCTGTGCTCTTCGGCGGATGGAAGAAGGACAGCGGGCGCTGCGCGGTTGGCGTGGCCAATGCAATCACAGAAATACCGTCGGAGACAATACCTGCACCGCCAATGCCCGCTACTGCTCGACCGATAATGAACATTGTAGAACTGGTGGCCGCACCGCAGAGGACGGAGCCGAGAAGAAAGATGCCGAAGAAGACGAGGCAGGACCAGCGAAGGGAGAAGATGGACGCATTCAAGGAGATAAGGGTAGTCGCGACCATAATGTCAGATAGAACGCTGTAAAGCTTCAAGCCGGACAAGCAATGCGCATCCATGGTAATGGTCGATGGGAGTTCCTTCTCGGTCATTTTTCTGTATTCATGTAGAAGTAATGCTAGACGAGGCTGGAAAGCAAATGGGGCACGAAGATACGTCTATGAATACCAATGGTAAGAGGCCTTATTTCTTTTCTTTTCCTTCGCTCGAAGTCAAAACAAAGCAAGAACCGTGAATGACATTCCCCTACACACTTCTGACTCCGATTCCGACTTGGAGACAAAGGCGCCTGTGCAGGAAGCTGAAGCCGCTTCAAACTTGTGCTAGGCTATTAATTCCAACCCGGCCAAGGCTCTTGTTGAGAGACTGAGCCCAGAAAATACCTGATTGTGGCTCGTGATCGGCCCTTGAGAGGCAGGCCATGCAGCTCTTGGTCGGCGAGTTCCTGCTTTCTTAAGCATGACCCGACAATAAAGCATTTTCTGAAGGACCCTCATTCAGATCGCTGGAAGCGGTCTCAAGGCGGCCTGGGTCAAGCGTAGACCCAGGAGACGGTAGGTGAAGCCGACGCTCAGGGTCCAGTTTTGTTGGATTCCCGGCAGGCCTGTCGAATGCGTGATGGGCACGATGACATTCAATCCTGCTGCTAGGAAAGATAGTGCATATGTTTCACTCCCATGTTTACCGTTACGCTGCCACATTGTGAGTTCAGCGAGCCAATGTCGGTCTCGACGCCCATCCAGCGATTCTAGCTGGAGGGAACGCTCATTCCGATTATGGCGGGCCCTCTTGCTCTGGGATCCCCACGACAAGCTCTAAACCCACACGACACTTGCCGATAGCTCTCGGGCTCTGGAGCCCTTCCATGCCTTCGGATCTGGGCGATGACAATCGTTCAGGTCAACTCTGTTCATTCGCGGTCATGCGGCGAAGCGTGTTGGTGGAGTCACGCCTTGAATCTGGTGTTCATCCATGATGCTCTATCGGTCCACAGAGAGAAGCGAGGCATGTACCGAAGAAGACCCATCAATATCTAGGTGGGAGATCAGACCGAATTCGTATTCTCTTCTTTGCTTTTTTTCCTCCGGGAGAAAACACGGTCAACGCTGGGTTCCGTAGCAGCTATCGTTTCTTCGGCCTATCGAGGCCTTCGGCGCTTTCCCAGTTGACACTCTAAAATCCTCAAAATTGAAGTCCCCAAGTACTTGAGCAGTCGTGGGATGCAGAGTTGTTTCTCCGCGGGGAGATGCTGTGGTACGTCATGTGCCCCGGTTCGGATCTGATAACCTCAATTGGGCTTAGTGCGAGTGCCTTGGTGCCCCGGTATAAGAGCATCCCACCGTCTCGGCGTCTCCAACTCGTGCTGACTTGCATTGCAGCAACCCTTTCCAATCAGGCTGCTCAAGGTACCGATCTTGTCCACTCAAGCTTTGGTATCGCAAGGTCCTAAGCATCAACATCTGCAGATGACGTTTCAATCCCTTCGCTCGATCACCGAATACAACGTCTCCACCTTCAGACGGCATTATGTCTCTGAGATCGCGGGTTCGCTCGGAGACCTTGGGACATTCCTCCCAATAGCGCTTGCTCTGGCCGCGAATGGGACCGTCTCGCTCGCCAGCACGCTCATCTTCTCCGGTCTCTTCAACATTCTGACCGGGCTGTTCTTCGGCATCCCGCTGCCCGTCCAGCCAATGAAGGCCATCGCCGCTGTGGCAATCGCGCGGTCCTTCTCGCCTGGATCCATCGCAGCAGCAGGGATCTTTGTCGCCGGTGTCCTCCTCATTGGAAGCATCACCGGCTTACTCCAATGGTTCACCCGCGTCATTCCAATCCCCGTCGTTAAAGGCATCCAGGTCGGAGCTGGCCTGTCCCTTGTCATGGCAGCATGCACGACCCTGCATGATCTGGGCTGGATTCATCCTTCCTGGGCTGACAATCGGCTCTGGGCGATCGGCGTGTTCGTCGCGCTGCTACTCACACACTCGACTCCCAAACGACTGCCGTATGCGCTTGTTGTCTTCATCATCGGCTTAGTTCTCGCCATCATTCGCAGCGCCCTTACGTCGAATCTTCCCTCGTTCTCAATCTGGAATCCGCATATTGTCGTACCGATCGGGCATGAATGGTCTCGAGGTGCCATCGACGCAGGCCTCGGCCAGCTCCCGCTCACGACGCTCAACTCCGTCGTCGCGGTCGTCCATCTAGCCGCTGACTTACTCCCTTCTGTGCCAACGCCCTCCGTAACAGCTATTGGTTTCAGCGTTTCCGTTATGAACCTTATCGGCGTCTGGTTCGGCGCTATGCCCGTCTGTCATGGATCCGGTGGATTAGCAGCACAGTATCGCTTTGGTGCGCGCTCAGGCGCCAGCGTTGTCTTTCTGGGCGCTTGCAAGCTCATTCTTGGTCTAGTCTTTGGCGAAAGTCTAGTCGACTTGCTCCACCGGTTCCCAAAAGCCCTGCTCGCTGTCATGGTTATCGCCGCGGGTTTGGAGCTCGTCCGGGTCGGTGAGAGTCTGAATACCTCTGCTGCTCGGGATTTGGGAAGGCAGGTTGAGGATGAGAGCGGGGAGCGGGTGCATCTGACTGAGGAGGAGCGGGGCAAGAGGTGGATGGTCATGATGGTTACGGTTGGACTGCTCGTCGGATTCAAGAACGATGCTGTCGGGTTTGTGGCCGGGATGCTGTGCCACTGGGCCTATGGGCTGCCGGGCTTGGTTGAGCGGGTGAAGAGCAGGTCAGAGGGGAGGGTGAGGTTGCCTTGACCTTTTCGACATACACTATATATTACGTATACGCCTATACGGTGGATGCCGATACAACTACGGGACATGAAACTGACGACAGAAAGAACACATTATATAGTGATTATGAGAATTGGACAGTTCATATCAAGTTCGTCATATACAGCATAGCATAGCATAGCATCATGAATTCATTGCCGCAATTTGACCCCGCGAGCATTCGATGCTTTCCGCTTCATATTAATCCTTATTCCCCAACCGAACGCGGATTGATTCGAAGCGACCACTATTCAAACTCCTCATCGCCAACCTCCTCAATCCTCCTCATCCCATCACTCCTCGCATCAGGGAGTGCCGCAAGTTCGCGCCCGTCCTTATCATACCGGTGCTCCTCAACGATAATCGGCTGCCCGAGGACGTGGCGGATCGTGCGCACGGTCGTCGTGCCGTCCGGGCTTGTCTGGGTGGACTTGCTGTACTGCTGGGCACTGTGGTGCTCTTCAGGTTGCTGGCCGTTGCGGCTGGTGGATGTGCTTGCGGATGTGAAGACGGAGGTTGAGGTTGAGGAGGAGGTTGACCAGGTGAAGCCCATTTTGGTGTTTTGGTGGTTGGGTATGTATGGGTTGATCGATGGGTTATTGTTTAATGAGATTCTTGTGTTTGTTTGTTTGTTTGGATTGGAGAGTCTGATGTAAGTTTAAGGGGTGGTGAGGGGATATATAGACCGGGTGGCGAGTGCTGATGTCATTGTTGGGTGTTTTGTGCTGGGGTTGTTTCATCCGTTCCCTTTGATGCTATTAGCTGCTTAAACCTGTTGTGACTTTATGATGAGCTTGATAATACTACCTACCGGGAACTGATTATTTCTATTCTCAACTTTAATGTCATCCACAGCGTCTAATTATTATGGAGTAGATCAAGCAAACCAGCTAATCCTAATCGGGATAGCATGAAGCTATCACAGCGCACAGCCAATCCAGAACCCCGCAGATAAGCCCGGCGCTATATCTCCCCACCATCAGACGTTGCTTTTTATCCTCCACCTCCAACACCATCCTCCCCTCCAACAACCCCCAGCAATCCTCGAGAGAGAGAATCCAACCGCAAAATGCCCGGCCTAACCCCCGCCCAAGTCACCCAATTCCACGAAAACGGCTACCTCGTGCTCCCAGACTACCTAACCCCTCAACAAATCACCTCGCTAATCGCCGAGACAACCTCCCTCCTCACCTCCTTCGACCTCTCCACCCACCCCCTAACCCAATTCACAACGGGCGACGACTCAAAAGACAACAAGCCGCACGTCGGCGACGACTACTTCCTCAACTCGGGCGACAAGATCCGCTTCTTCTTCGAGCCCGATGCGTTCACGTGTGACCCCGCCGATCCCACAAAGACCGTGCTGTCCCGGCCGAAGGAGAAAGCAATCAACAAGATCGGGCACGCGCTGCATTCGCTGTCTGCCCCATTTGAGGAGGTTTCCATGAGCGCGCAGAACGCGGATATCGCGCGCAGTTTGGGCTTCAGGGATCCGCGGGTCTTGCAGAGTATGGTTATCTGCAAGCAGCCTGGGATTGGGGGCGCGGTGCCGCCGCATAAGGACTCGGAGTTTCTGTATACTTCGCCGCCGAGTGCGGTGGGGTTTTGGATTGCGCTGCAGGATGCGGGGGCGGGGAATGCGACGCTTGCGATGTATAAGGGGAGTCATAGGCGGGTGTCTGGTGCGGTCAGCAGGAGGTTTGTGCGGCGGTATAATGAGGATGGGAGTTTGGCGGGTACTGGGTTCGTGGAGAATGAGGGGGAGAAGTTTCCTAAGGGCTTGGAAGTGGAAGAGGATGTTGAGGGGGAAGGGGAGGTGGAGGTTTTGGATGTCAAGGCTGGCTCGTTGGTTCTTATTCATGGGAATGTGTTGCATAAGAGTGAGAAGAATACGGGGGATAAGAGCCGCTTTGCGTATACGTTCCATGTTATTGAGGGGGCGGACGGGTGGGAGTATGATGGGCGGAATTGGTTGCAGCCGCCGGAGGGGGGATTCTCGAGGTTGTACCAGTGAGGTTGGGCCTACATGAGAAAGTATGGATGGACAAATTTGAAGCTTAAATGTATATGTATCATGCATTAGTGCTATACAACCTTTTCCCAACCAACCCAAACTCCAGGCCAAGCCATAAAATCTATTGAATGTCACCCTAAGCACGCAGCATATCCAGCATCCCCTTCGTCTCAAATGCCTGGTGCGCATAGTCCACTTCATCCCTGACCCGCCAATGCAGCCGCTCAATCATCTTATCGATCTGCTCGGACTGTCCCAGGTTCCCGGAGTAGATGTCGAGCAGATTCATCCCAACCTCCACGCTCAGCCTAACCAGTCTCGGTTCCGTAATGTTCTTGTACACCCACTGCAGCACGGGCTGGAGCGTAACCTCGTCACGGCCCTGCAACGCCGCACGAAGCGCCGAGCGATGCCGCAGCTCTGAGAAAAGCGTGAGTTGAGCAATCCTGTCAGCCGATGACAGGACCGTGTCGAGCGCAGCAGCGTAGCGACCCTTGCGCAGATCAAGCTCCCACCCCTTCTCCTTCTTGCGCCTCTTCGCCTCGTTTCCGTCGATGATGATGTCCACGCCTTCGCCGACGAAATCCAGACCGCGCCACCTCCGGGCCCAGGCGGAGCCCTGGCGTTTCTTGTCCTTGTTCTTCTTCTTGTCGTATTCTTCGATCTTGCCTTCCAGCAGGGCTTCCATTTCCTTCTTGCGCTCGCGTTCGCGCGCCTTTTGTTGCCCGGAGAGACGGGTCTTGATGGACAGTAAACCGGATTGCATACCGACGGCGATGTGCTTGTCTTCGCGGGCGGCTCCGGAGGTGATTGCGCAGAGGGAAAGGATAGGAGACTGGTACTTGAAGCCAGCGACGACGTTCCAGCCGGTCGTTTCGTGGATCTTGAGATGGCCATCCAGAGCACCGGAAAGTAACCGCTGGCCATCCGACGCAAGGGAAAGTGATGTGACTGTCTTCTGATGGCTCTGGATCATATGCAGGGGCTTCCCGGCGACGATATCCAGCACCGCAATCTTGTTGTCCGCCGCGGCGAGCACTGTCGTTCCGGTCGGCATAGGGAGGACAGTTTCCAGCGGCGCGCCCATCTTGAACGTCATGGCGGATCGGCCTTCCATACGGGGATCCCAAAGACGCACTGTTCGATCGTAACTACCAGAAAGCAAAGAGCCGGACGAAGCCAACGACCCCGGCATGAACGCTGCCGTGCGCACATAGTCGGAGTGTCCCACAAAGCTCTTGACACTGCTTTCACTAGGCAGATCCCACAGCCGCACCGTCCGGTCGTCGCTCGCCGACAGAACAGCCGTCGGGTCGCTAGGTGAGAACTTGGTCACCCAAACCGGCTGCTTGTGGTCCTTCCACGTTTTCAGAATCGCGCGCGAGCTCACGTCAAACACCTGTACCGTACCCGTGTCATCACCCGCCACTAGAATCCTGCCATCAGGACGGACGTCTGTGCCGCGCGCGGTGTCGTCGAACCGTGTGATCGTTCGGAGCAGTTTTCGTGTGCGGATAGAGTAGATCTGGACGCGGGCGCCGGTTGTAACAGTGAAGACATCGGGGGGCTGTGTGAGCGAGGGGAACGCGGTCGCGGAGGAGGGCGCAGAGGGTTGTGTGATGAAGTTGACGGGGCCGTTGGCTGGTGATGGGATGAGGAGAGGATTTTTGAAGGTCTTCCAGTGGAGCTGCTCGGGGCTTAGTGGCGATGCGGGCAGCTCGGGCAGCTTGACCTGCGTCAGGGGGAGGACGGGGGCCGCCATGCTGGTATGGTTGTATTGGTGCAAGCGGATCAACCGCGTCTGTGGTCTCGAGAGTCGTGCTGAGGTTTCTCAAGGTTGTTGGTTGGATTTTTTCTGTTATCGGCCTATCAGTACGCTAGTCCTAATCGGGCGATGCCATGTCGGCGGGCTCGTGTATGATGTATCGAACTTGACGAAGTCAACATCAAGAGAAAAAGTCGACTCACTGACTGGATGTTTCCAAGGGCATTGAGTTGGAGTCATGTTTGTTGATTCAATTGTGCGTTATGGCAACCGATCCTGGATGTGAGAGCGCATACAATCCGTCCCGAGGCCCCCATTCCACCCGTCACCCCAGATCTCTGTCATCTACTCTGTTTCCACTAAAGCTCTGGACGGGCGTTGCCCCTACTGGCAATGGAACGTTGTCTTCTGTTCTTTTTCACTTTGTTCATTCCAATTTTGGGCTTTCTTGACGGCTATTCCATCCTAGCGAGAGATAAGCACTTGGGGCAGGACAAGAAGAAAAGTATACATTTGCGTTCTCACCTCGACCGACCTCGGGGAGTTATGCAACACCCTAGCCATGGCTTTGTCCGACAATGTCCAGCACCGTGACACTGGGCTGGCCTGATTTTCACATGCAGAGGTACCTTTAGGGACTAATTCTATCGTCACGAGGAATGAGGGTCAAGTGCTCCAGTCCTGTCTTGCTCCTTGCATCCCTATCACCCCTTCCAAGGTTGGAGTAACGGCCAACGGATCTCATCCGAAATCCGGATGGCATCTCCAATGGCCCTCTTGGCTGAAGATAAGCCCCGGTCCTTCAGGACGTCTCCAAGCAACCCCATATATCAGCTCGTGCTCCCCCGCATTGCCCACCATGTGGTCCGCATTTGGGATTCCAGCCGTCAACCATGAACAACAGCGAGGAGAACGGCAAAGACGCCCCGCCGGCGGCGACAGGCGATGATTTGAAGCGAGATTTCAAGAGCCGCCAGGTGGCCATGTTTGCTATTGCGTGCTCGATGGGAACTGGACTGACGATCTCGTCGGGGACGGCATTGACCCGTGGGGGGCCGGCCAGTCTGTTGATCTCTTACCTTGTTATCGGTCTTGCGGTCTACTTCATCATGACTGCTCTGGGGGAGATGGCAGCTTATATTCCGATGAGCAAAGGGTTCTCGGGATATGCCAGTCGATATGCACATCCAGCTTTAGGGTGGGCGGTCCTGTTATCTGTTGGCTCTGTTGGTTGTTGACTGATCAGGATAGATTTGCGACTGGATGGAACTACTTTTTCAGTTACGCCATTGCAATACCGACAAAACCTAACAGCAGCCGGCTTGATCGTGCACTACTGGAGACCGGACCTCAATGTAGGCATCTGGATCACAGTCTTTGGTGCCGTTGTTATTCTACTTAATGTTCGTCCAGCCCTAGCCCACACTGTATACTGACTAACCACTGGCCCTCCCAGGTCCTCCACGTCAACAGCTTCGGTGAATCCGAATTTATACTCAGCTGCATTAAACTTGTCATCATCACAATGCTCATCCTCTGCTGCTTCATCATCTCCGCCGGTGGCTCTCCCTCTGGCGAGAAGATCGGCTTCAAGTACTGGCACAACCCCGGCGCATTCGCCCAGTATCTTGTCGGCGGCCGCAAAGGCTACTTACTAGGTTGGTGGGCGTGCATGATCCAGGCTTGTTTCGCCTACACAGGAACCGAAGTTGTCGGCGTGACGTTTGGCGAAGCAAGAAATCCGCGCAAGACCATCCCAATGGCCATCAGACAGACGTTCTGGCGGATTCTTAGCTTCTACGTTGTCGGTGTGTGGGCTCTCACCATGGCCGTTGCATACGACAGTCCCGAGCTAGTAGACGCCACGTCCAGGTCTACGTCTGCTGCTGCTTCACCATTTGTCGTTGCAATTTCATTAGCGGGCATCAAAGTCCTGCCCGATATCGTCAATGCCGGTCTTCTCGTCTTTGTCTTGAGTTCATCCGCCTCGGATATCTACTGCTCTTCCCGCTCGCTTTATGGCCTGGCAAGGGACGGTCAAGCGCCGAAAATCCTGGCCAAGACACTCAAGAACGGTGTTCCGGTTTACAGTGTCGCCGTTGCATCGCTCTTCTGTCTTATTGGGTATATGAATGCCGCCAAGTCTGCCTCGACGGTCTTCGACTACTTTGTTAGTCTGGCGACTATCTTTGCGCTCCTTAACTGGTTCAGTATCCTTCTTTCCTATCTGAACTTCAGACGCGGTCTCAAAGCGCAGGGGATAAGCTTGAAGGGGACGTCTTACAGTGCTATCTTCCAGCCTTATGGGGCTTATTACTCGATGTTCATTACTGTCCTTTGCATTATCTTCTCAGGTAAGTTAACTATCCCTGATGATTCCCCATAAGAATGTGTCTTGCTTACTCAAACATAGGCTATGACGCATTCATCCCGCACTTCAAGGCAGACCGGTTCGTGCTTCGGTATATCGGGATCGTGGTGTACGTCGGCAACCTTTTCTTCTGGAAGCTTTACAAATGTGCCCGGTATGTGACGCCGAGGGAGATGGATTTGACGACGGGGTTTTATGATACTGTGCTCGAGGGTGTGGAAGGGAAGAATGATGTTGAGGAGAAGGAGGAGAAGGAGCTTGACGTGTCGGCTAATGAGTTAGGGTTCACGACGATTGGGGAGGATGGGAGGGTTGCAAGGTGATAACCAAGGTAGTCAATTAGGGATGATAAGATTATACGAAATGCAGGCTCTATATGCGTACTGCATTCCAAGGTTGCTACTGTGCTACGGAGTAACCAACCAGCCCTAGCTCTATTTTGTGTCCTTTGTCGCCTTCCCCCTACCAGTCCACTCGGCATGTTGATCCAGTCCTAGAAGTTCGAAATGCTCTGCCTAGCTTTACGCCTCACGTACGGGATTTCCGACCAAATTCCGGGTCATCACAATGAGAGTCGAATCGTATCCGTATAATATCACCCATCGGGCCATGAAGCTAGCGAAACGATGTGTGGATATCCCACTGAACGATCATTTTCAAGGATGACGCGGACTGAAAGCAGGAGAGAACGAATGACGTGCCAACAGATACAATACAATCTTGATCGGGACCATTGTGCGTACCTGAATATCAGCCGTGCCGTCCAAGCTTCTCCCGAGCTCTGTCCACCAGTAGACCAGAGAGCTCGTATAGCATGGTCAATGGTGGAGTATCAAGCCGCTGTCGGAGCCGACAGAATGGATCTCCAGTGGGCCGTTTCAGGCACAACCTGGCTCTTTACGTAGAAGTTATGACGATATTGTCGAGGCGTAGGGCCTAAGGTGAGGCTGTAGCGTGCTCTACTACAAGCTGCTCTTGACTCGAAACTACGTAGATGGTGGGTTTGCTTTCCATCGTGGCAAAGATGGCTGTACAGACTACGGAATATACACAAGCTGACCGCAGGCAGCGTCACATATTGTCGTTCGCGACACGCCCAGCCGGCGGCCGAGCTTATGCACCTAAAAGAAAAGGGCAAAGAGCTGCCGGCATGCAGCTGAAACTCCACTTGGGCAGTTTGATGTCGAAAGTGTTTAAGTGACAGGGCTTAGGCGCAGGCTAACGCGGGCGGAGTTGGTGAGATCATCGCGTCAGGCTTCCAGATTCCTTGATTTCGGCCGATCTATTTTTACTCAGGCAGCAGAGTTCGTGCTTTGGTCTCTTTGAAGGGATTTTGATAACGGAGATATATGGTGCTACAAGAACTTATCACGCCCAGGAATGTTCTGCCCGCCAATGCGATCCCCGTCATGGACTCATGGTTGATGTTGTGCAGAATCCAAGGTTTATGCGTGTAATTTTGGCGTAACAGGCTGTATTGCCCGTGGATCGCGATGCAGGAACACACGATCGGCCAATGACACCAGCTGAAGGCTCCACTACCAGCCACTTCCCAGCCTCCTCAATCCACGACTGGGCCAATCACATAAACAGGCTCGATAAGCGCAGCCTGGCGATTGTTTTCCCCTCCTCCCACTCCCACTCCCAGCTCTCTCGTTCAGTCTCCCTCCTGGTCACTCTCTTCTTCCAGACTCTCGACTCTTGCTAGTAGATAGCAGTCTGCATCTCCGTCCTTTTCTTCTCCTCTAACCCTTGCATCCCAGTTGTACAGTTCTATCCCTCGTGTGTTTGCTTGATCCATTCGCTCCTTACCTAGATACCCGCCTTGCGTCCGCGTCTGGCCCGCTCTTTACCTACCCTTGACCCTTTGACAGATGTGGTAGCCGTCTTCGAGTCTTCTTTCCTTTCTTCAATTCATTCATCATGGCCGTCAGAATGTCCTCTGTTCACCATGCCGCCGGCATCTTCGCCGACATGTCAGTCGACGGCCCGGCCATTGGCACCCTCGTGGCGGTCGTGGACCGCGCAAAGAACCTCCCCAACAGGAAAACAATGGGGAAGCAGAACCCTTACTGCGCTGCACGTCTAGGAAAGGAAGCTCAGAAAACCGGCACCGACGTGCGTGGAGGCCAGACGCCCAAGTGGTAGGTTGATTGAGCTGGGACGACTGCTTTCGGCTAACACCGTATAGGGACCAGGAACTCCGCTTCACCGTGCACGAATCGCCCGACTACTTTCGTATGAAACTATCCGTCTTCAACGATGACAAGCGAACCGACCTCATCGGCGAGACATGGATCGACCTGCAGGATCTCATCATCCCTGGAGGCAGTCAGAGCGATCAATGGCACACCCTGCAATTTCGGGGGAAGTATGCCGGCGAGATCCGTCTCGAGATGACTTACTACGATACCAGGCCCGAGGATGAGGCCGTTATCGAACGGAGAACGCAAGGGACAGAGAGGGCCAAAACAAGTAGCAGCAGCAGGTCCGCCCCAGCACCCGCCGTGCCCTCGCCGGCACCGTCTCCATCGTCATCGTCTTCTCTATCCGGTCCGCGTCAGCTGAAAGAGGTCAAACGCCGACCCGTACCTACCGAACATACCGGCGGCCCACGCCCTGTACCTGACAAAGCTTATTCTACCCCGGCACCGTTGCCCGTCTCGCATCCGTCTCGAGCTCCATATGATGGCATCCCCACTCCTCCCTCTAGCTCTGGCATGGATTATGCCCATCAACCAAGACATTCGGTGCCCCAAATACCCTACGATGCAGTGCCTCGTCCGCGAACATATGAAACACCCGACGATTTCGGACGAGAGTGGGCTGCACCTCCTCACCATCCTCCCGCAGGCCGGGGTCAACCTCGCTATCAAGAGCATTACCCGCCGCGAGCAGAGCAGGAATACTACGCACGGCCACGCTCTGGCTACGACAACGCGCCGCCTGCCGATTATCGATCAATGAGACAACTCCCAGCTGCCCGACCGGACCAATACTACGAAGATATGCATGTCGAGGCCGCGCGACCAACTAGTCGCCATTATAGTCAAATCCCCCCGGACGCGTACTCGTACGGTTCAGAGGATATTCAGACTCGTTACCAGCATGCATCCAGCAGCATGTCCTCGCGTCATCGCATTGAATACCCGCAAGAAAGCGAGCCGTATCGGCAGCATAACTCGCTGCCCAGGAGAGGCCGCAGTCCTGGCCGCTACCACGCGGAGTACGCGGCAATGCAGCCGCGAGTGGAAGACGAAGTTGAAGAAGGAGCACCACCTCCGCCGCCCGTTCATCGGACAGCAATGGCTCACCCTAGTCCGCAGTTAGTACCGTCACCAGCTCCTTCGTACAAAGCTTACTCCCCAGAGTACGGCCCCAGATCGACTCACGATATGAACATCCCCCAACCTACGGAGCTGATGCTGGACCTTCCGTCGGCCACGAGCCCGTCGTCTATGCCCCCCAGCCTGGTCGCTGGGCTTGATCCGGTGGTCGCAGAGGCGGAGTCGGAACGCGTCGTGCGTGAGATTCGCAGACGCAGCGGGATCTTCGAAGAAGACCTGCCCAGACATAACCGCAGTCGCGACCCATCGCCGTCTCCGATCTCGCCACCTTACCCAGAAAATGTGCCTACGGAAGACCTCCGCCGGTCGCTCGTTAGCCGCAGATCGATGAACGGAGATGTTCCCTCGCAGCAGCTTGTCCTGCGCAAATCGATCAGCCCGCGACCACCTCCTTCCAGAGGCCGCGGTGGCTCTCGCGCGTCGATTACACAGACTCCCTTCTCGCCAGACTCCTTCGATTCGTTCAACCCGCACGCAGCGCGGTCCGCCGTGAACAAAGACCCGTTGCCGGCGTACTCAACTCCAGCAGAAGCTATGGAGGTAGCAAGGCGGACCGAAGCCGCAGCAGCCCGACCAGACGGTCCCATCATCGGCGACGACGGCCGCGAGATCGACCCATCCGACCACCTACCAACCGATACCTGGGCGCCCGAACCCGAGCGCAAAACGCGCAAGCCCGGCGTGATTGTTCGCTTCAAGAACGCGCCTACCAGACGCAGCCCCGTCGCACCGCGCCCAACATCATCCTACATGGTCAGCACAGACGTTGAGCGCGGTCGTCCAGGGTACGGCGGAGGCAGCCCCGGCGGACCTGGGCATGCACGAACCTACAGCACGCCGTCTCCGAACCCCATGCCTCGCCGACACTCCATCTCGCCTGCTCCATCGCCAATGTATGCGCCTGCCCCCATTGGCCCGCCCATTCCGGCGAAGGTGCCCATTGGTGCGCCAGCCGGTGTTCAGGATGCGCTGAGCCGAGAGCTCAATTCGATTGATATTGGCTCCGTTGGGGTCAGTTCGAGTCGGGCGATGCGCAAGTACGTCCCTAGACCGACCTACGCCATGTAATGCTGTATAGGCTACATAGCCACCAACATACGGCAGCAGAACAGCCCCGACAGGGAAAGGGCTGAACAAAGAATGAATATACCACACCAACATACCATATCATATTCTGTGCACCGAACGCAGAACTAAAAGCGAAAACAAAGCAAAACCGCAAATATACCTTATACAACGAAAGCAAGCGATGTGCCGGGAAATTGAAATTGAGATTGATACGGGATTGAATGAGCACGAGGCACGATTGGATGGGATGCATTTCAGGCGTTGGGGTCTTTTCTTTTTTACTTCCTTTGACTCTTTATGCTTTCTTCTACCTAAGCTAGGTAAACAAACGAGCTACAAGCTACGAGCTCTTTCGGCATCTTCACGTTCACCTTTATAACCTCTTTATTTTGCCATCTTGTCTACCTACATGGCAAGCAGTTCTATGGTATACGACCAAATATAAATATCTTCCTGGCTACGGATTTCCTCCTTTCCATCTTCATCTCTCTGAGCATCTTGTTCTCTGACCGTTTAGTCTTGCTTCCAACTGCTACGCGCATCTCATTGCATTCCGTGCCATCCAACACACTCCAACCAACAACATCTTGTCCACCACAGACCCATCTATCAACATTGGACGCCCGCCATGCCTCGTCCTGCCCTTTCCATAGACACCAGACGCAGACTCAGCGCCAGACGCCGAACGTCCACATCCCCATCTTCCTCTGGCTCTGACGAAGATCGCCCCTTCAGACGCAGGTCCCGCATCCGCTACCGTCCCAGCGCCAGAATCAGGGCTCGACGCGGAGAGAACCGAACTCGCCGCCACAGCTGGTTTGAAACGTCTCGTGAGCGATACAACCATTGGCACCCCGAGCTTGAAGCCGAGCCCGAACGCGAATTCGATTCCGATCCCGACCATGCGCTGTCCTATTGCGATGAATCTACGGCTTCCCCGGAATCGGAACCGTCCTCGCCTGGGGATCCGCAGGGCCCTTTGCTTATCGATGATGGGGAGTATGTGTCGAGCGGTCCGACGGCAAATCGGTATGTGTACGTACTGGACATGAGGAGGCGGGCTGGAGACAACGATGACGACGAGGAATGTGACGGTTTGGACGGGGTCTCGAACGACGGGTATGATAGTGAGCTGGATGGGGATTTTGAGCCGGATGAGGACGAATCGCCGGAGGAAAGTCTGTGTTCGTTAGACTGCAACAGCCAGGACCAGGACCAGGACCAGGACCATACGGAGGAGACCGATTCGACGTCACCCACTCTTGATGACCCAGCTATTAGGCAAAGGGAAATGGGAAGAGAGTTCCTGAACCGCGGTGCCGCTAGAGCGAGTGGTCTGATTGATATGAGGGTTTCGATTCAGGGTTCCGGCAATGGCGCGGAAATATACCGTGGATGCGGGTCGCATATGCGCAGATGTCGGCCGTGCGAAACTGATTTTCTTCATGATGGCAACGGTGACGATGGGGCTCAGGTTGATGCCGGAGACGAGCAGAATCCCGATAGGTTTTACTCCCCTGAAGCCTCGGCTCGCCCGTCCGGTTGTATTGCGGCTGAGTCTCGGTCACGGCAAGACGACCTTGGATATGCATTCGATCTGCTGGGCGAGACGATAACCGAAACAGGCGGATACACGATAGAGGATGAGCTGGCGCAGACTGCTCTATACGAAGACTGTCGGCTGAATCGGACCGGTTTGAAGGACGAAACGACACCTGATAACGACGGATACACGGTCGGAGCGTCTGAGCTGTGCCAATCTGTTATCCTCGAAGACATCAAGCAGAATCGACTCAAGCGGGTCCCTTCCACTGACAGCAAGAAAGAAAGAGGGACAAGTCAAGTTTCTTGTGGAGAGAACGAACAAAGGCAGCTGGCACCCCCCTCAGCCCGAGATTCCAGAATTTGGTCGAACTTCAGGTGCACTGACACTGAAATCTGCGATGTCGACGACAGCGATAGCGACACCGTGACTGAGACCTGTTCCACACCAAGTCCCTCTCCAGCAAGAGCGCGGTCTAGAGTGGAAGCCAGTGACCGGGATGTCGGAAGAAAGTCGCATCACGCTGGACACGAACCACGAGAAGATGAATCTTTGAGTCGGCATCGGCGTCAAGGCCATTCACTGAAACAAGGACCTGGACCTGGATCTGAGCAAGAGCATGGAACCGAGGATAATGACGCCGAAGAAAGAGCAAAGGACGGAGAGGGACGCAGCAGCGAAAACGGCAAGTCCGACAATGACACCGACGACAACATTGTCCCAAACCCTCCTCCATCGTCGCCCTTCACCGAGTACTTCTCAGCAGAGTCAGAGGACGAAGATGAAGAAGAGGGTGAGGAAAAGGGGAAAGGAGAAGACGATGACGACGACGACGAAAAAGGAAACGTAGACGACCTGTCGCCATTGGCCATTCCGCCTGAGACCCCAGACTCTGAACCGAGATGCAACTTCTCGTATCCGAATCCGTGCGCCGAGTGCAAATCCGACGAGAATCCATACCTCCGCAAGGTCATTTCACACGTCTTTGGTCGCAACAAGAAGGTCACCAGGCAGATGCCGCGTTGGATCTGGGTTTATTACTGCCGAAAGCATTACCAGCGGGCCAGGTACAGGTCGCGTCTGTGGGCAGAGGTGCAATGTGACAGAGTACTTGACTTGCTTGACGCAATCAAAAAGTGGGGCATGGTCAGTGGGTTCACGGTGCAGTTGAGAAATAGAGAGGTGGAGAGATTGGCTGGGTTGGCTTCATCTGCCGGTGGCTCTCGAAGTCGTGGTAGAGGGAGGGGAAGGGGAAGGGGATGCGGAGGACAACGAGGAGCCAGGTCTGGAGAAAAGGGAAAAGGAAGAGCACGGGCTCGGGATCAGACGCCTACAGACGCCAGCGACGAAGATCCGATCCAGCCGGGAAAGCAGCAAAAGCAGAAACGTCCCCCCGTTCCCGCGCCAGTGCCGACCTGGTTAAGATCTTGGATCCAGCGTCACCAAGGTCATGAGGTCTCAATCGAGGAAGTCAAGGAACTTATCCAAAAGGTTAAGCGTGATCTTGACACTGTACAGGATGACGAGGATGTCCGCTTCCCGGATATCGAGATCTTGCCTGTGTATAAGGAGGGTTGGCCGCCGGCTACTGATGATACCCAGGCCCCTCCTGGAAATCGTGGCGGTTCTGTCCGCGGTAGAGCTAGGTCCGCCCCGGCTCGTGCTTCTATTCCTGGTTCTGGTGGTAGACGACGCCGCGGTTCTGTTCGTACTGAAAGCACCAATTCGAACGTTGACAGACCATGCAAGAGACGCAAACTGAGCGATGACGAAGATGAAGGTCCGCGGAAACACTGAGATAGATAGATAGAATTAGAATGCAATCAATTGAAGCTGTCATTAACATCAAAATAAAACATATCAATCGTAATCGTAGTCTGACGCCTGCCTATATAACGTTAACTGTAATGGACAAACCGAACTTGGGGCATTAGACATGACTGTAAATAGTCAACTTGAACAAACACGTCATAGTCACGCCGCCACCTTTTACCATGTATAAAAAGCTGAAGGCTTGCGCTAATCGAGAAGAGGAGAAAGTAGACCGCCGACGACAAGGGCGAGGAATCGATGGAAAGACGAAGAGAAATCACGGATCAGAATGATCAGGAATCAACTCATACCCTCCCTCCGAGGGCAAGCTATACGCGGCGAGGATAATCGCCCCAGCAGAGAAAACGCTCACACACCAACTGATAGTGCAGTAAATCCAGGACTCGTCAAGCCGCCACCCCACGAAAAAGCGTGGTTCGTTGTCGACTAGATATGCCTGTAGTCCGTCAGCTTACACTTAAACCACAAAGTCTATAGCCGACACGTGGACATACCACAATCCCCATACAGGCGGCCTGCACAGCGGCACTAGCGAGTATAAACAGGCTGAGAATCCTCCACCCCTCCTCCCGGAGCCTCTTTCCACCGCTGAGCACAATGAGGAACGCAACGACGCTCAATCCCTCAAGAACAACCGCAAACGACATCCCAAACCCGACGGTCCGCCACATCGAGCAGAAGTACCGGTCTTCACCTATACAGTCCTCGCGCGTCGGGAATGACTCGCATGTATCCGTCAATGAGGAGCAGCGCCGATGGAGGCCGTACGAGTAGCTGTAGGAGGAGCTGTGGTAGGACACCCAGTTAGGGATTGCGATGGCGGATATTGAGAGGGCGAATGCTAAGCAGCAGAAAAGGATTAGTTGGTTCGTTCTTCAAGGGTGACTGAGAAGGAAGGGGGAGGGGACGAACAGGCGAGGAAGAGGAGTAGCGAGGCCGTGTACACGATTGTTTTTGTAAGGAAGCCCGTGTAATTGCGGTCTTCACCGCGGGGTATGAGATGAAAGTCCATCTCGAGGATTGAGCCACCGTTGTGGTGGTGAGTGCGCACTGTAGGTGAGACTGGGAGGTCGAGGTTGATTATGCGATGACGCAGGCAGCCGTTGGGATTGAGAGATAACAGATAGGCAGGACCGTGGCGTTTACCCCGGAATCGACGCGGTGGAGACGCAGTGGTCCTGAATGATTGACACCTCGACCCTGTATGTAGTCTAGGCGAACAAGAGAAGTCGAAGTAAATTGAGCAGATAAGAAAGCTGGAGGAGAGGGATAACAGCAGGAATATAGGGACGGTGAGGAATGAGGAATGAGCCTGGACGAGGAGCACAGACACCTGATCTCTGTACCACAGTACCACCACCTAGTCTACCTGCTACAGACTACGGGCTACAGTTGCAATAGCACACCATCCAGCATTCCAGCTTAGTTTCTCCATCCCGCGCTCATCTGATCGCGCAGATGCAGGCTAACGTCGCGAATCCTGCTTTGCTCGACCCCCCGGCCAATAGCCGCTGCTGCCGCTGATGATCATATGAGGCGCAGATGACGGACGTTGGTATCCTTATCAGTTTACACCACTGGATTTAGTACTTTTGATTCGGTGATTATCTGCTAGGACGCTGAGGAATTGTCAAAGCATCAAGAATCCATGCATTATCCCCTCGTGGTATCAGCATGGACCTGTTCAAATCTCGGAATAGCTTCATTCAACCCCCAATCAAGCTACTATCACTGACGTCATGCTAGAGAAGAAGCAAAGAGCTGTCGAAACGAATCGATTCGTCTAGGCCTGTAACTGTAACCTATAGATAAACTGTAACTGTAGTTGACCGCCATGTCTCCGCCCTTCGTAAAGATGGCCCCTTCATTAGAAAGCGACAAAAAAGCGCATGCACTGAACACTATTCTACAGCGCCATGATGGAGAAATGGCGAAGGAGAAAATGCATGAAGAATTGGGAATAAAATACAAAACAGAAAAGTTGATGCCAGAATTAAGGAGGGTTAAAAACCCTGTCATGCAGCCGTTACAACCTATAGGTGCGCCCTCATTATGATGCTGATTCCGATTCCGGTTTCCCCTGACTCCGCTGGATCATCGCACGGAAGTCGTCATTGCTCTTTCGGTTCTTGCTCCCCTCGCCAGAGGCATTCGTCGTGGTCGTGGTCGTTGTCGTCGTGGTACTCGTTTGCTGGGCTGTCCCGCGCTTCACCCCCAGGTGCCCGCGCTTCCCACTCCGCCCGCCAGGCTGTGGCGGGCGTTTGATAGGCGCAGTCGGGGTAAGGAATGAGCTCTTGGGTTTGTCCTTTGACTTTGATGCCTGTCCAGATGCTTTCCGCTCAGCAGACTGCTTCAGCATATCCCCCACTGTTCCGATGTGGAGTTTTCGCCCAGGCGAGATCTCCTGTCCTTCCAGTTCCAGCGCGGCTTTACCTGCGTGGTTGACATCCGCATACTCAACAATCGCGCCTTGATGGTCAGGACGGAGTATGACTTTGACGAGTCTCCCATATGGCTCGGCGAGAGCACGGATGCGCGCATCGTTCACCGTGTCTGGAACGTTCATCAATCCAAGCGTGCGGTCCCTTCGCTCACCAGTCGGCTCCTCCAGATCATTTAACGGCGATGCGCCATTGGCATCCGGGGCTGGAGACTGTGATTTACCGACCCGTGTCACGACAGTTGCTGCGGTACGTTTTGCGCCCTGGGGAGCAGACAACTTCACGTGGAGCGGGCGTCCTCGGAAATCTTGCTCATGCATCGCCAGCGCCGCAGCTGCATCCTCTTTCGAACTGAAAACAACATAACCAAATCCCTTGCTGCCCCCGTCGACCTTCCTGGGAATGCGGACCAATTCCACCGTACCGAACCTTGAGAATACTTCTTTCAGCTCCTCTTCCTTCGCGCTCCAATTCACATTGGAGACGTGAATCTCTCGCCCTTCGTATATCGGACCATTGCGGTCTTGTTTGCGAGAAGGATCGGAGATTTTGACAACCAAATGGAGGCCGTTGCCAACTGCTGAGTGGTCCAGTGCAAGGGCACTGTGTGCAGCTACGGATGTTTTGAACTGAAGGTAACAGAACCGTCGGTGTGTATTATACTTTAACGATGGGAACCGAATGTCTATAATTTCGCCATACTATTAACCGTTAGATCGGAAGAAACAGGACCGAGAATGGGGACATACTGGGCTAAACAAGTTCCGAATGTAGTTCTCATCGGCTGTTGGGGGGAAGTTGGTGACAAACAAGGTCGTCTCGGAACCAAAATGGACCTGGATGGTGTTGCCATCGATAGTCTTCTGGTCACGGGTATGCGCAGCGGCGGCGTCGTCTCGGGTATTGAACTCGATCATGGCGACCTCTGAGTTTCCGTCTTCTCCGGGCATCATCTTGATGCCATTGATCACACCGCACTAGACAAGTTAGCGATCGCCGCAGACACTGAAGAAGAATAACTTACATCACGGAAGAATTGCCGCACTTTATGCTCAGTGACACCCATTGGCAAGTTCTTAACGACAACGGTAGAATTTTCACGATCACGGCGAAGCGCGACTGGCTCGGCTTCAGCTGGTGCTGTTTCTCCTCGCGGTTTCTTTGCTGGAAGGCCGTTCACCGTTGATTCTTCTTCTCGCTTTCTCTTTTCCAAGTGCGGAGCCTCTGTGGTTTCAGCCGCAGCCTCCGGTACTTGCTGAGCCTGTTGAGCGGCGGCTTCATGAGCTGCCCGCTGACGGCGGGCGTTGATGGCCCGCATCGCCTTTCGAGTTTCCAGGACTGCAAGCTGCAGTTCCTCTGAGTCTTCGTAGTCCTCGCAGTGGGCAACATAGACGGTCATGATCTTTTCCGGCCAGTCGAGGTCGGTCCGTTTGATGGCTTGCTTAAGAACGGCCGTAGCGAAGCTGGGGTTAGGGGTTCGGCGGGCAGCGTCGACGGTAGCTTCACCCTGCACAAACTTGCTCCACGAAACCAATTCCCAGTGATAGTATGTCAGCCAGAACTCGTAGCTGTTGCCGCGGCGTCCTACAAGACCCTTGAATGTTTCCCTAGCACTGTCCCAGCTGCCGCTTTCACTCAGGTAGCGGATGTAGATACGCTCCAGGCGGAAAAGTGGATCGCCTTCGTAAGAGCGGCCGTATTTTTTCTCGCCAAGCTCCTGAACGCTCTCTATTGCAGAACGAATTCCTACCTCGGCCACGTCCAGGTCTTCGTCGGTTGCCTCGGACAAGAACGCCCGCCGACGAAGATAGCTGCACCATGCGGTATGCACCTTCAGCACCTCTTCCATGCCGCCGACATCAAGTAAACCGGTGCTCGTGGCCTTGTGCTTTATATCGGCAATCTTCGTGAAAGACTGTCCTTCCCTTTCAGAGCTGAGCAGATATTGCGACCACAAAGTACCGGAGCCAGGGCAGTGGCGAGTGGCCCGGTCCAGCGCAGAGATCGTGGTCGGGTGTGCATTGCCGTGCATTGATTCATCGATCAGAAACATAATATAATCTTCCCACATATTGGCATCGGTCTGGAATCGCAGGACCGCCCTTTGGTATAACGCGTTGATGAGGTCGAAGCTGGTATGGCGCCTCCGACGGCTTCGATTAAGTTCCCACTCAACGTACTCGCCATATAGTGACCACTCTTGAGCCCGGTCGCCGGACTTGGCCACATTACGGAGTCGAAACTCGAATTCCTCGCGGGCCGCATACTGATCCTTGACCGGAGTGGCATATTTCCCTGCCGTCTCGGCCATTATGTTTTCGTAGTTCGCGTTATAATAGGTAGAGATAAAATTGGAGAACGCCTGGAATGTGTTATCCCATGTGGCGTGAGGGGTCTGCAGTCGGATGTCAAACAGTTCGCGTACTCGCGCGATCTTATCCTGAGATGGATTCCGAGACAGATCGCGCACTTGGAATTCTAGCAGGCGGTCCCAAACGAGATGACTATCGTTGATCCTCCACCGCGTAGCGTCAGCCCCTCTCTGCCATGTATCCAAGACGCTTTGCCATGTAAAGACTTCACGACCAATCATCCTATCCTCCTCCGACCAGTGGCTTTGACTCGGGTCACCATGAGCGGAATTATACAGGTATAGCACCCATTCGCCGTAAATAGCCCAAAGCTTGGTGCTGCCGTATTCTTCCTCGATCGATCGTTGGCAGAGCTCCATCACTGCAATGCGTTCGTTCACCGAGGTGGCCAGCATACTCTCATCCTGGATCCACTCCGCCCACAAGTCTTCACCCATGGCAAAAAGCTTGTCCATCTCCTCTCGCGCAGTCCTCATATCTTTGAGTAAATCGTAGTCCCGCGGATCGTTATGTATCTCCGGGTGGTTCGGCGGATAGACGTGATTCACGAATCCGTCATGTAGGAGGCGGATGAAGTTGACGTGCGCTTCGTAGGACTGGGGGTTAACGTGGATACGGGCGAATAATTCCGTCGCCATTCGTCGCGCATCTGGGAGCAACGAGGAGGCTGCATAGTTCCTCCGGGCGCTCTCCCTCGGACCGTCGGACATGGCAATATCAAATGACGATCGTGGAGTCGGTGTGTTATGCGAGATCTGGTTGACATTCGGATACATAGTCGATGGTGAGAGTTGACTCTCGTAGGATTCGGTTCGTAGGTTGGCGGCTCGCGGCCGCGGGGGTTGATGATGTTGCATGGAGGCAAGATCGGCAAGGGTGTCCATGCCTGGGGTGGACGGTTGCCGCGAGCTCTGCATTTCTACAGTGGGGGGTGTCCCGCTGCCACTTTTTCCTCCCATGTTCACAACTGGACTCATTGACGATGGCGGGGAAGGTTCAGGGACGCGGGAAGGAGGGGCGTAGACGTGTTGCGCGAGCGGTGATGAGGCCATTACGGGCCTGTTTGCAGCAGCGGCGCGACTCTTTCGTAGAGGCTTGGGAGCTGGCCCAGGCGCAGGAGTAGTGCTACCGGAAGAAGACGCCGTTGCAGGCGCTGGGCGCCCCGATTGTGAGTTCGCATCCTGCGGTGAGAGGAGTGAATTGATGTCCATCATCAAAAGCTTTTATCAGATGGACCGGAGAAAGAAGGCGCAATGCCGACGTAAAGAGAGATTATAGAGACGGAATAATGATGTAAATTCCTTATAGAGCAGCCCACAATCTCCTCATCAATGAGTCCATTCCTGCCCCGGTTCCAGACTGTCCAGCTCCGCGACCGGTGGATATTGTCTTGCTTGCTGGAGCGGATATGTCTCAGACCAGCGCAAGGAGGAAGACGAGGCGGGAAAAAAGATGATTGAAATGATTTGTTTCAGAAACTATCCTCTTCTCCGTTCTTCGAGGATGCAGGATCGAGAGCTCAACGGGTGGCTCGTGCGTGGACGACCGAATGCTGAGGGAAACGGGTCGACCGATCCAGACGGAGACAGGGAGGGGGCAGGGAGTTAGCTAGAGAACGCGCTCTAGCGGGAACAGAATGAGCTTCTAAATAGGCAAACAGTCAGCGGGCGCGATATGGAAAGAGCGGCTGGGAGGGATAGCGACGTACAGAGAAAGCCTGGAGGGAGAGAAGGTCAGGAAAAGACTGAGAGTCGAAAGATGAAGAGAACCTGAACCAGTGGATCGACGCTGGTGGAGATGGACCGTGGACGCAAGAGCAGCTCGGCAGACAAACGGGCCAACGAGTGCGAGTATGATGGGCTTCTTGTTTTCCTAACACGTTTTCGACTTGCTCCCAAGCCCCAAGCTGCTAGTCTGGAGTTATCCTTGCAGTTTCAGGTCCGTCATTCGGCCTGGAGACTTCATCCGAGCCTCGACTATGGCGGAAGTGCATCCAGACAGCCTACTCCCTGCAAATTCTGCTTCCCTACGTCATACCATCCGGACCGCGATATTGAGGACAATCTACTTAGCGCTGCGCTCTGGACCTCTGACCTCAGTCACCTCAAGGCGCAAGAATAATGAAAGTTAGACAGCGCACAGACTGAGTCTCAAGCCCTGCCGGTGCTGCCAGAGCACTGCCATATCAGATCCACTACCCGTAAACCCGTACCGTATCCGTGATGGATCCTGAACCAGAATGAAGCTGAACTGCCGGCTTGAGGCTACTGTGACTGTCTATCGAAATTTTCCCAACACCCAAGGCAACCCAAGAGTCACGTCAACTGTATCTTGAATATCCTGTAAAGCGCGATGAAAGTGCAAGACGGCAGATGCTGCCAGTTGAAGCGCAAACATGAGACCTGGCCGACCAAAGCATAATTCCAAATCGGGTTGACGTGTCTTGTGGAGGAGATGAATCCAACCAGAGGGGAACAGCTGGGCGTGCTTAAACTCAAGTTGGGACTAGGGAAAATTTCCAAGCAATAAACAGGGTAGAAACACGATAAAACTGGAGATTTCTAGAGATCCGAGACTTGGACGATGGAGAGCGTTATACAAACCGGGGATGTATATGCAGCCTGATCCCCCAGGCACAAGCGCCGAATTTACGGCACGCCAAACCGACCACAACCGCAGCATCCCCAATCAACTTTTTCTCGCTGGCCGGAGCACATCAGCCGGCTGTTATACGTCCTTATGGCTACAATGGGTTCTCTTCACCCTTACGGGCATTTGATCCGGTCAGGTACGTTCTTTCAGATCCTCTGTGAATTCTTCACACAATTGCCGCAGGAATTACGTGGATTGGTGTCAGCTAACCTCCCCAGCCCGGTCCGGCATCACCTACGTCCCTCGCCGCACTCTCACATACACACCCATTCGACGAGCCGAGGAAGACCCCAACACCCCCAAGGACAAGCCCGAGACGCAAGAAAAAGGCGGCGCCCTCTCCTCCATCAAAAGCTTCTTCGGCTTCGGCAAAAAGTCCGAAGCCCCCAAACCCACCGTTCGCCGCCAAACAGCCCCTCTAAAACGCGAAGGTGAACTTGGCGCAGGTTCCATTTTCGCCGAAGATGAAGCAGGCCCGAAGCTGATGGCCTCTGGCCGAACACCGTCCGCACGAAAGCAGGCTGCCCCACCTGCAGAGGAAGGAGACGCTCAAGAATGGTCAACGGAGAAGCGGAACTGGAAGCATATGGAGGCGGTGCTGGATCCTCGCCCGCAGGCGCGTATCCGATGGGAGCGAAAGATGGTTGTGCGTGAGCTGCGTAGTCGGGGCCGGCTGTCGAAGACGGAGAAGATTATGCGTACGGAGCGGGAGTCGCTGTCCAAGTCGCACTGGTTCAAGACGTCGATCAAGAAGTTGGGCCCCTTGGCCCGCCAGATTTCAGGGAAGAACATCGACGAGGCGATCGTTCAAATGCAGTTCAGCAAGAAGAAGGCCGCCAAGGATGTTCTGGAGCACCTCAAGCACGCGAAGAACGTCGCCATTGTCCGCTCGGGTATGGGGCTTGGTGCCATCGAGGCTGGCGAGGACGCACCAAAGCCGAAGCCCGTCAAGATCATCCTCAAGGATGGCGAGCGCAAGACCATCACCGACGCTACGTCCATCTATATCGCCCAGGCGTGGGTTAACCGAGGCCCATACGGCCGCGAGTACGACCACCGTGCTCGTGGTGTTATCAATATGATGCGCCCTCCGTACACCTCTCTGTCAGTCTTGCTGAAGGAGGAAAAGACACGGATCCGTGAGTGCCAGGACCGCGAGGCCCGAGAGCTGCGCAAGCGCAAGGCGAACCTCTGGGTACACCTGCCGGACCGCCCGATCACTCAACAGAACCAGTATTACAGCTGGTGATTGCCCCTTTGTCGGTTCTATTACACTAGTATCCTCTGGCGTTTTGTATTATTTACATCTTTGGGAGCACTCCGCCTGGGCCGGATCAGCATATTTTCTTTTTTCAATGGCATACTGTCAGAACTCAACCATGTACACTACGAAATATAACTACATATCAGTTCATCTCTAGGTCTTACACTCTATATCTCCCAGTGCCGCCCATACCTAGCTCTACTCTATTCTAATTCTTCACACATCCCTCCCCAGGACACAAGGGCCTTCCAAACCAAGGCTCAACAACCCTCTCCGGCGGCGGCCCAGCTCTTCTCTCGGCCTTAACAAGCACCGGAATAACACCTCCCGTTTCCAATGCAAACCGTCGATGCCCGACCACGTTCAAAATACTTGTAATAGCCCCCGAATGCGCCGTCATCGAAAGGACCGAGTGTTCATCATTCGCAAAGACATCAGAAAGGAACTCAAAGAACCGCGCATCCCGCGCGGAGTCGCTCTCCCGCAGATCCGCCTTATGCAAGGGATCCTCCTCGCTGAAGCCCGGCTCAAACAAGTAAGTCGGATACGCAGCCGCGATGACGGATCTCGGTGAGCGTGCGTCGCAGGTATGCAGTCCGAGGGTTTCGCGGAGGAGCTGCGCACGTTAACACTCCCCTCCCTTATACTCGCCACTCTCCTAGTAAGGAAGCTTGGTTGGACATGGTCAGGAAACCCACCTCCTTAACAAGCGGCCTAAACTCCCCCTTCTGCGTGCCGGGAAACCCCACATCCTCAAACGTAACCCTTGCCGTCTCGCAGCACCGCATGAGCGGACTGACGTAGTAAGTCTGGGGGCGCGGGATGCCATTCTTGATCTGCCGTTTCCATGCCTCGTGCGCCGTGCGCGCCTGCGATACCCCGAGGTCCGTGAGGCGCGCGTCGAACCAGTCTCCGTGTTCGTCGCCGTTTAGGAGGGAGTAGCGGCACTGTGCATCCGTATCCGTGTCAATTAGCTACGCGGCTTGCTCGGTGAGGGGGCGGAAAGAGAGCGTACATCCCACAGCGCAGTCCCGTAGCGGCTCTCAGCGACATTGTGGACGCCCTGGCCGTGGCGGCCGAGGAAGAGGAGCTTGTATGTGGTTTCTGCGGACGCGGTGGTGTTCAGGTGCGTTATGTATTCTGCGAGGCGGGGCCATTGGGTTGACGGGTTTGGGGTTTCGTCTTGGGGGTCGGAGGGGTAGGAGCGGTTGATCAGGCCGAAGTTTGAGGAGGCCTGGTCAGTAGAGTATGGCGTCCGTTAACGCGAAGCTCATGGTTGTCAATAACTGGTGTTAGAGAGGATACGTACATAGTCGAATGTATCGGGGTTCGTGGATCCTTCGTCCTGGAGGAATATGCCGGTTACTGTTTTGAAGTCGAAGTGGAAGTGGGATGTCGCGGTTGAGTTTGGGTTTGTCATTTTGTGGACTATAGGCGCAATTGTCAGGCTTTATCACTGCAGACGATGTCCAGGTTGGCTTTTTGATATGTCCCAGATCTACTATGGTTAGGAAGATAAACTACGAGCCCGGCTGAAGCGGACTCAACTGAGTTGACTCCTTTTTCTGGGGAAATTATTTCGGCGCTTGGCGGGGCTGATCCGGGGACTTCAATATGGGGCTTTGGGCCCTGACCATGTCCAGTTCCTACTTAAAACAGAGGCGATTCAATGCTATTCAGAACCTAAAACATGCAGATCCTATTGTATTAGATCTAGTGACTAGAATTCTGCTTGGTAATATCTAACAAACAATGCATCAGGTAGGTATATTGCAACTCGCTAAGTCCTCACGACAACCCGTCACTTCTTTTCAACAATCGAAAACAAAATTCAGTTGAATACATAAGCTGCCGCTGGAAGCAGCAATCTAGATGAGCCCCATTCCCTTTCTATACTGTATATAGAGCTTGGAAGAGAACACTGCAACACGGCTGAAGAACTGGCGTGCCGAGGACGCAAGCGTCGATGAGCCTTGCCAGAGAGAGAACAAACCCGCTGCGGTGCTGTGCGCGGCGGTGGTTGCGCGTTGGACGAAGGTTGTATCTACAACTCTCGAGTTCTGTACGCTCAACGTACCGCGACTTCCAGCAGCAGACTTGTCCGCTGACTGGGGTAAGGTCTGGCGCGCAGTTGTGCTGCCGTGTTGGACGAGAGTTGTATCTACAACTCTCAAGTTTTGTACGTTGATCGAGTTCTGGACGTTCAATGTACCACGAGATCCGGAAGGACACATGGTGTCCACGGATTGGCGTAGGGTCTGGCGCACAATTGTGCTTGCGGGAATGGTAACCGTTGCATCGGCAACTGTCGATGCGACTCTCGAATTCTGTACGTTCAGCGTACCGCGACTTCCGGACATGGCCACAGGGGCCGCAGATTGGCGTTGCTGTTGGCGAGGTTGCTCCTCGCCAAGCTTTAGTCTGATGACATGCTTGTTCAGACCCTCCTTGTGTCTGAATAGAGCAGGAACAATCAGCAGTCCGCCGTTTGGCAGTCCGCCGTTCGGTAGTCCACGGTTCTGGAGTCCGCCGGTTGGTGAAAGTTGAGGCGTAGTTTGAGTCGAACCTCTGTTGTGGCTTGTAGGTGAAGCGCATGTCTGCACCGGTAGCGTGGGAGAGACATTCGGCTTCTGCACGTTGGTCGAGTGTCTGACAACGTGCTGGTCGCGGCCGGCAGCGGCCAAAGATTGTTGCGTGGGAGACAAACCCGGTCTCGTCACCTGTACCGGCTGGTTTAGTGAGCTTAGACCACCAGTATTCGCGGCGTTGACTGGTCGTTTTATGGTGTGCTGGTCGCGGCCTGCAGTCGCCAAGGGCTGGGTAGGTGACAGGTCTGGTCTCGTTACCAGTACCGGCTCCCTTACCGGTCTTGGTAGACCAATATTTGTAGAGCCTGTCGAATTCTGTACAGAGCGTTGGGGCGACTTGGTGAGGAGTATTCTCTCGTGGTTCGTCTGCGGGCTTCGGGTGCTGGTGGTAGCAAGTGAAGCATTGACATTAAGATGCGCCGCTGCTGCCTTTTCGAGGCAATTGCACTGTTCAAGTCAGTCGTTTATTTCCCTATTATTGCACACTGAGCAATGTCTTACCCTCTTGTGCTGCTTGCGATGCTTCTCACAGACTCCATATTTCCGGGCTTTGATGTAGTTCTCTCTCTGTGCTTTGGACCTCGGCTTTTGCTTTTTCGGCACATTGGTGGTCGTGTTCATATTGAGATCCAACACCAGCTGCATCGGTGCACCAGGCTCCGGTAGAGATCGCGGAGATGCTTGGGATTCAGCGGCAGGTGAGGTGGATGGAGCTGTAGAAGGCTGGGCCGGTGTCATCTCGAGTGATAATTCGGACCAGTTTGGAGATGAAAGGTTGTTGCTCGAGAGGCTAGGGGTGTTCATTTCGGAGACCAGCTCCTCCTGCATGCGCTGCAGGTGTAGTGCGATTGATGCATCTCGTCGCTTCTCTTTCTGTGAGAAGCAGCGGGGGTCCATGGCCGCTTGCGATTCGACCATGTACCGGAATGACGCGAAGTCTTGCGCATCTGGGAGGCATGTGTTGTCGAAGATCGGGTCAACAAATTGGTTTGAGAGTGGCGGCGCTGTCTGTAGGACATCATTAGGGTTGATGAAAGGCTGGAAGTCCATGGCCTGCCCTAAGCCTTCCACTGGAGCTTCATACCCGACGAAGTCGGGGAACATGGCCTGCGAGCACATCGCGGGGTCCGAGTCCCAGTTCAAGAAGTCCGTGTCTGTGAAAGTCTGGTCAAGGTCTCGCGGAGATATTGACTCCACGGACGTGGGATTGCTTTCTAGATACTCCGTAGGGAGTTGCAACAGGGCATCAAAGTCGAGCCACTCATCCTGGCGAACAGAGAAGTCCACTGGGTAAAGCAATTGGTCGGCGGACATCTTGAACGTGGTCGGGATAACAAAGTGAAAATAATAAATATAGTTATAGTCTTTATGTCTGGCGTAGTTAGAGGCCTGAGGCTGAAAATCACTCCTGAGGCTGAGAATCAATTGCGGGGCGTAAGCCTGATGGTAAACGAGCGTTGATTTCAGTCACAAAGGCCGCGCCTTGACAAGGAAAGATCGAGATGCGAAATCGCACGGAAATAGAGGCGTCTCACTCGGAGCAGATGAGGATGAAGAGAAAAAAAAAAGGACGAAGCAGCAGGCCATCATCAAGAAGGGGAGACCTGAGGTACTCAAAGTTCCCTTTAGCGCGCTAAGCCCAATCGACTAAGCCCAATTCAGTCCCCGACCGACGACCCTGGCCCAGAGTGTGGCTTTGCATCACGGAGATGAGTCAACGTGGGCAAGAAGGGATCTCGATGTCATTATTTTGAAGATCGCTTTTTGGATGTCGGCGGTTGCCGCCGGTTGCAGAAAATCAAGAAGTCTGGGTACCTGGTTCGACCTTGTTCGTGAACGTTGAGCGGGACTTCGATTGCGGGTTGTATGCTCGGTCCAAAAATATATATAGCCTCCAGTACTATGTCAAGCATATAACCGCTTTTGAACACTACTTACCACCAGGAAATGAGAAACGCACTTGGCTATTCCTAACCTGATCATATAATCAATAGAAAAAGACCCTGACCCCAATCTTGATAGATATGCGCATGGTCTGATTCTAGTCCCGCCCTTAAAGCTGAGTCAGGTCAGGATAATGGCCCCAGTGAGCTGGGCGTTCGATTGCCTCCATCTGATAAGACCCAACGCTTGTTCCAGATATGCATAAATGCGCCTAGCTCTGGAGCAAGCTCATATCAGATCCTCTTATTCGGCTGAAGATTTTGTGCATAGACAATTCAATGGTTAGACCCCGGCCAATGGCGACGCCCAAGTCCTCCAGGGTTGGCTTCTGAATATAACGTATAGGGTGTCGAAAATGTAATCGGAAACGAGCAAGGACCAAAAATATTTATTTCTTCATTGGGAATCTAATGTCATTAACGCCATGAGATGTAAAGAAACGACCGTGGACTAAAATACAACTCCCCGAAGTAATATAGCAACCCGCTCTTTTTCATTTTAGAGTTCGGGGCTCAGGACTTTTGACCAGGATATCATCAACAACTCCACTCTGCAACAACTATTCACAAACACTTCTTACGCGGACATGGCCTCCTTGGGAATCTCCTTGGCGGTTCCAGAAAGATCCGTGGCCGGAGTGACTCGCTTCGATCGGTAGTTCTTGATGGCGGCGGTAACGGCATCTTCCGCAAGGAGGGAGCAGTGCACTTGGAGACGCATGTCAGTCAACGTAAATGAAATAACGAACTTGACAGAACTCACATTTAACTGGCGGTAAGCAGAGTTCAGAGGCAATCTGGGTGTTTGAGATCTTGGAAGCTTCCTCGACTATTCTTTGTCAGCCGCCGATTTCTAAGCCGGCATATTCGGAATAAACATACGGGTCTTTCCCTTCAGCAGAGTGGTGAGATAACTTGAACTAGCAATGGCCGATCCGCAGCCAAAGGTCTTGAATCGGGTCTCGGTGATTTTTCCAGTCGCCTCATCCACCTGGATGTCGAGGCGGATGACGTCGCCACAGGCCGGGGCGCCGACGAGACCGGTGCCGACATCGATGGACTTGCGGTTAAGAGAGCCGACATTGCGAGGGTTTGAGTAGTGGTCAATCAGTTTGAGGCAGTTAGCTTTCAGAGCATAACCGAGGTCAGGAAAGCTACGTATCTTTCTCATGATAGGCCCGGACCATGGCAGGGGGGACAACGTTGCGTCCGGCGATGCCAGGACGGACGGCGCTGGTAAGGCGGAGAGCGGTACGGATAGTTTGCATTTTGATACAGCGGTTTGGTGATGAGTGAAACAGTGAGGGGAGATGCAGGAGTAAGAAGTTATGGGGGAGTGGCAGAGAGTTGACGTAAAAAACCTTATCAGATCGTTGGAGGCAAACCGGCTGCTTATGAATAGGTCAGGTGAGAGGCCTCGGGAGCTTGGCTTATTAAGGGATGGCGCTTGATGTAATGCTATCTGGACCAATGACATCAGAGCAAATTGCAGCCCGCCTCCAACAGCTCGGTCAGATGGGCGGAGCTAAACCCTTTCCGCCTTGACTTGCCCGCGGAGACACGCCTGAGTCTCCGAGGATGGTCGGAGATACCAGACTACTCCGTACTCCGTTGAAGCTCGGGAAATTCTAGACTCTAGACTCTATCTACCCCGACGTTGAGGGATCCTTTATCGCTATTCGCTACTGCAAAACGCGACACAGTACGACTGTCCGAATTTCGGCCTCCGCGCATTCAACCTTATTTCGACTTTTAACCACAATCACATTGCCTGTTTCACTAACCCCAACCGCAGAAGCCAACAGCAACTGTTGAAAAGACTAAGGCACAGACGAGGGTTATTTCGTTTCCACCGAGGTTTGCTGCACCGTTTCCACCATCATCGCTTCCACCACCTGCAGTAGCGTCTCCAGCTGAATCTCCCGCCTTGCTGGTTGCCTTTATCTCCGGTTCGAACCCAACGCATGCCGTGGGCAACTTCCGCGCGGTTGATGTTAGAACAGTTGCGACTTCCCTGGAGTCAGTCCAAGACACAATTTCTACATCATACCTGGCGATGGCTCCCACATCTAGTTCTACGGACGGGATGAGAAGGGTTGCGTTGCCGATAGCGTCGTCAGTAACAGTCACGGCCTCACAGTTTTCATTGACGCCTGTGGCCCGAGACACGTTCAAAGACAAAGTCGGCAGGCTAACAAATGCGCCTATGCCTCCATCAATGTTTACTTTGCGAGAGCCGATGCCAGTATTGATGCCTAGAAGGATCTGCGGCTGAAATGTAATGCTCAGGGCCATGGACGTTACTTCCGTTGTTGTCTCAAAGGGCAGCGTTTCGAATGTCGTGTCCTCACTAACAACCGCAGGATATTAGTCAATGCTCAACGCGGCCACGGTTCAGTACTCACAAGCCAGTTATCTCGGATTCATTGAAGTTGGGAATCCTGATCAGCACCCGCGAATTGTCCGGGACCTGCTCTATCAGCATCATGGACCATGGCATTTTCGGGAAGGCTTACGGTGACATTGAAGCCGTAGGAGAATCCAACGTCTCCTTCGAGGTCCGCCGTTATAATGATCTCCGGCACAATCATAGGGCCGAAGGTTATGACACCTGCAATCTGCACTCGACGTTATTTATGCTCAAGTGCGTTCGGCGTTGCAACATACCTGAAAAGGCGTGAGTCCAATGGCAGGAAGTGCGGTACTGAGCTCAATGAGAGGGCCTTCAGACGCAAGCTCGAGCTCGAGCTCAATCTGCGAGAACATTTGTTTGACCAAAAGCTCAATGCTGCTATTGGTGAAGAACTCAATCGCTTCATCCAGCTCAAAATCAAACTCAGAATCGTCCTCGTCCTTCTCCCCAGCGGTAAATTGCCCTTTGGATAGCTGGATGTCACCCTGGAGCGTGCATGTCTTGCATCTTACAACGACGGGCAGCTGTGGCCTGCGAAAATCAGCTCGCCATCCGAAACGCATCGGAGCCCTGACACTTACATAACTTCACTAGCAAGCGCATTGTCAACCGGGTAAATCTGCAGGCCAGGGTGGGTAACATTAAAGGTCTTACGTGCTGTCGAATTGAGGCCATCAACCTCCGACGGAGCCACAGGAAAGGACGGCGTAGGCGATGGTACATTCTGCCGTTTGACTGGCGTTGGATTGCGCTTTTGAATTTCTGAAGAGTGCATGTGTGAGAAAGACACCTTAGTCGCGGAGAATGCCACGTGCCAGTCGATTGGGACCGACTTCAGGGTTATCGTGTTGCCCTCAGGATTCGCGCTAATGCTAGTTACTCTGATTGATTATCAGCATCGACCTCCATGAACTATTCAGGAATGGTTATACCGATGCGCCGACCGTTCTCCCTCAAGATCACAACCCTCATGGGAAGTGACAATGACAAACTCTGGCGTCTCTTCAACCCCTGACCTGAAATTCTCCTCAGCGGCGATGGAAATGAACTGCAGCTGTATTTCGGACGCTGTGCACGAGACACTATCTAGGCCAGTGTCCAGATCCTCCAACCTGAGAATCGGCCATTCCGACTCCACATGTAGGGTTGTGGAAAATACCAACTCTCCCTCATTGTCGTCGGCGACATAATCAAAGCTTGAGTTTCGATCTAGGGTGATGACATTGTTCTCGGCCCTGGCATTGAGCTTTGATGACATGATCCCTGCAGAGAGGCGCTTTGGTTCAGGGAAAGTTTGTTCCTCACGGCGGGTTATGCTCGGAGAACTCGCATGGACAAGCACCGAACATAAGAAGAGAAGTGCAACGAAAAGAGCCATATTCAATACAGAGAGAAGCTCGCGTCAATAACTGGAGCCCAGCTCTTACAAAGTCCACTATGCTACTGGCATAATTGGGGATCTCACTCCTATTAAGTAGACATGACACAAAACAGACCAACGTCCTAGACGCTGGACAGCTACTCAGCCGCGCAATTTCCTACTGCAACAGCGCCAATGCCTAGTGACCAGGATCTCGCTGTCATTTCTCGTATATACGGGGCAGTTGTGCGAGTGCTTGCGGCCCCCACGTTTGAAAGGCTGCACCCTGCCAGCTGGAACGGCGCGAACTCCCACAGCCTCATTCGCGACCCCCTTTAATCTTGAGGCTACTGCATGCGCAGCCATCCAACTGATACAACGCAGTTTGAGACACAATCAAGGAATCCGCGCTTAAATGCATGGATCAATTGACTCTTATTCGAATAGCTGCAAGGCTATGGCCGGATCATTACGAGCTACTCAAGCCCTCCGTCAACAACCTTGAAGAATAAACCGCTCTTTTAGGGCTACCCCCTTGTTCTGACATCTGCCTCCACTTCGTAGGCTGTCTGACAGTTGCACAGCGAGGGTGAACCGGCGAACTTCACCCTGACCAGCGCCCCCGCGCAAGGCTCTAAGAACACTACCTATTGCTGACCCCGTCCTATTTCGAATCGGGGCTCACTCTCGATCATGATACGCTATACACAGCATTAACGAGAATTGGAAAAATAGCATGGTGATTCCTGATAAACCGTGGCGCCATCTAAGCGACCAGGATTACCACCAGACCATCAAATTCTTGTGACTACGCGCCGATATCAACTAACAAGATATTGATTGGTCATAGCGAGAGCCTTTGCTAAAGAAAACGGTCGGAATCGTGAGACTGGTTGTGCCGCAGTCTTCATACAGTTCTCGATTTCATCGAGCACTCTCCATGCCATTATCCCGACCCAATGCAGGGGCCGAAAGATATAACAAAAGAAAAGACTAGCATTGAAGCCAACTCAAGGCTCAAGGACAACCTTACGTTTCTATTTTGGGCTCCCAGTATGATAAGAAAGAACGTTTATTGATGAAACTTATCTGACATGCCTGTTCTTGGAACCCTTGGCTGTCATGTCAATCTAAGCCCCCAAACTCCAAAAGTCGCGACCCAGATCACTGCACAGCTTATTTTCAAGCTAAGCCATGTCCTGCATTGTCTAGTACAACATCAACTCCGTAATGTGACCTGATCAAGTTACGCGGCGCCCCGTCCCCCTTCGCGCCGTCTGCCTCCGAGTAAATCTCGGGACAGTGTCCCCAGGACTCATCCTCCCGCTGGTCATACCTCCAGAGGCTGAGTTTGTACGCCCACTACCGCGTGCCGTCTGTCTATGCGTTGTATACCGCGTGGCTCGGGACGTCGTATCCATGCGCCGCGTGCTCGGAGCCGCAGTTCCAGGTCTACTTCCTCGAGCCGCATTCTTTGGGGTGCTTCTATCACTTGCAACCCTTCGCTTTGCTGGTGGCCTCCCACCAGCGCTCCGGCGTGCCGTTTGTTTAGGTCGTGTGGTTGACGTCTTCGAGTCATTGCCGTTGCCGTTGCCGGTCGACGTCGAGGTTGGACTCGTGCCTGAATTGTATTCAACTCGGAGGTACTCGGAGCGCTCAATGACGACGGCAAGGTCTTTAGACTGGGAACTTGTACTGCTCTGAGACTGCACTGTCTTTAGAAAGGGCCTGAACCGACGGAACGTACAACACCCTGTTACAGATTTGGAAACGTACCTGCACACCGGAGGAACCAGTCTCCTGGAACAGGAGTGTGGCTTTGTTTGGTGCCATGTCGTTATATTTTGGGATTACAAGAATATGTTCTTCAAATGATAAGGTATACAAACCAAGATCGCGAAGAAGTGCCTTGTAGCACTACCCCCGCCGGCCATGGTCTCCGGGGATGATCACACATTGGCTGCATTTAGGTTAGGTAGGAAAGTTCTCCGGGTTATCGCTCCGCATAGATTCCGACCGTGTCCTCAATAGGGAGAATCCGGCATAGGGACATGGTTCTCTGTTCCGGCTGCACTTGGAACATTTTCGAAGCATCAACTCGAACAAAGGGAGGGCGCGATCTAACAGTCATACAACGCAGAATGTGTGGGCGACAAAGGCCCAAACAACCAGAACAATGACGGTTTTCGAAAGTTTCAAGGAGGTCATTGTTCGAGATAATGCTCTTGAAACCAGCTATTCTTAGGTAGCATGCTCATGATGGACAGGGTCGAGTACTTAGTCCTGGCGTTTGCGCCATTCGATTCTGCGCATCATGTACACTCAATTCCACTTACTCTAGATTATAGGCAACGACCATAGCCATGCGCAAATCAAGAGAATGCTCAAGGTCCAATCCGCACGCGAACCCAATAAACCGGAAGCGAGGTCGCGATGACACAGACACTGAAGACGACCAACCCGACTTCAAGAGACACCGAGCAAGCCTAGAAACATACCCACTAGACTTCCAAGAGGAAGTCAAGCAGCTCGCGACCGATATCGTCGCGTCGATATACTACGACATAAACCACCTCTGCGCCGTTCGCAAGCGCGCCAAACTCGAAAAGAAGGACGAAGATGTCAAGTTTTACCGCCGCCAGTATTCCGAGAGCAGTAGGCTGCTCGATATGCTAGTCTGGTCGACCTGGGAGGTCTCGAAAATGGACAAGATTGACGATCCCGAAGGCACACTCCGGCGCATGAGCGAGTTCGCATCCTTGTGCGGGTGGAGGATGCTCTCGATCTGCTTGACCGCAGAGGGATTCCGCCGGGCTCTGAGGCAGACCACAGAGGACGTGAAATGGGGCGAAGTCGTGAAGAAGATTATGGACAATCAATGGAGTATCGAGGTATACGCGCGGTCCCGCAGGCTCGACTGGCGGGGACTGTGGTTCAGATACGCATATATGAACCACGAACAGGTGGATGAGCAGCTACGATTCCGCCGCAAAATGTGGGAGGAGCACCCACATCACATTGTACAAACAATTGACAAGAAGGTCCGAAGACCACGGTTCGAAGGTGAGGCGCAAATCCACATCGACGAGCACATCTTCGACCCCAACTCGGACCTCTGGAAGGCCAAACGCCGGAAAAGGGATCCTACGCTGCGACGCCCCGAAGACGGCAAATGCGCCCTCTGCGGCAGGAAAAAACTCTGCGAGTGCAAGCTGGACTTCTCCGCAGGGAACCTAGTTGAGCTCGTTGAGCGGCCGCTGATTGGGACTGGTGTGCGTGCGCTATGCGCTTTCAAAGCGCGCGATATCCTCGGCCAGTTCATCGGCGTACTCCAGCCGCCGGGCTTTGAGGGGGACGAGGTGTATGCGCTGTCGCATGTGTCCATGATAGACGACAAGGAGCAGCTTGCGGTCATCTCGCCGAAGAAGTATGGCAATTGGACGAGGTACATGGCGCACTCGTGTAAGCCGAGCACTAAGTTTATCCTTAGGACGATCGGACGGTATACGGTTGTGACTATTGAAGCGGTTGCAGATATCGCTGCTGGCAAGGATATCACGGTTGACTATGGGGACGAGTACTGGGTGGATAGGGAGGATGAATGTGCATGCGGGGAGAATGAGTGTATTAGTAAGAAGAAGGAGGAGGAGGAGAAGGAAGAGGAGGAAGAGGAGGAAGAGGAGGAAGAGGAGCAAGAGGAGCAAGAGGAACAAGAGGAGCAAGAGGAGCAAGAGGAGGAAGAGGAGGAAGAGGAGCAAGAGGAGGAAGAGGAGCAAGAGGAGCAAGAGGAACAAGAGGAGCAAGAGGAGCAAGAGGAGGAAGAGGAGCAAGAGGAGGAAGAGGAGGAAGAGGAGCAAGAGGAGGAAGAGGAGCAAGAGGAACAAGAGGAGGAAGAGACTGTTTATACATATGAGTCTAGCGATGAGACCTTTGATACGGATGACTCTGGTACAGATGAGTCGAGTGGGGATGATCGTACATATGTCAGTGGTCGGTTCAACTGAGTCTCGAGTTGGTTGCCTGGTGTTGAAGTGTTCCTGGAGAATCACACCCCCGCATTTGGCAGCCGACCCCGCATCCCCTGTCACTGTCACTGTCACCGTCACCCGGCCTCCTTCCTGCCTCCTCTCTTCTTTCCTAGTTCTCGAGTTATTCCAACCTAGTTCTCAGCCAGTGTCAATTCAACTTGAATCTAGTTACGACAGTGGCCGTATCTTCTGTTATTCTCCCTTAGCTTGTCTATCAGTACCCAACGGAGTGCGGAGTATACTTCCATCCCTTGTTGACCGTCGGCTCTCGAGACCGTTGAGAGCAACTACGCTTGATACTTCTGCAGAGTATACATGATTATGGAACAGTTCTTGGACCAATAACACCAACGTCATGTCTCGAGCCCTGTATCGTCCCAGCGTGCTACGCGGAAGAGCCCCGAGGGTAGCCTACCAGGCTCTCTTGTGGTCTACACCACTGGTTAGACGCGGCTTGCTTACACAGAGCTATGCACGCGGTCCGACAGAGGTCCAATTGACCCTGGCATTGCAATGGTGTAATATTGCTGACGCCCTTTAGCCGCCGCTTTTCGAGTCGACCATTGGAGAACACTTTGCCCGGATTGTAGAGCAGTACGGGGACAGGACAGCGTAAGTCACCTCCTATCCAGATGGGTGATCAAGCTAACTGCCCAGTGTCATTTCCAAGCACCAGAATGACAGGGTGACCTACCTCGGTCTCGACGCTAAGAGCAATGCACTCGCACGAGGACTGCAATCCGTGGGCGTCAGGAAGGGAGATCGCGTTGGAGTGATGCTTGGAAACTCGATGGAACATGCGACTGTACGTGACAGAGCTATAGTCGGTTCTGGAAGGCTGACAGAACTAGGTAACCTATGCGCTCTTCAAACTGGGCGCTATTCTGGTAAGCGTCCATCCCGTTTAATAATACTTCGTATACACTGACAGGCCAGGTCCCAATCAACCCCTCCTTCAATGCAACCCAAGTCGTCGCAGCCCTAGCACACCTGGGAACAAGCCACATGATCATAAGCAGCGAGTCCAACCTCCCGCGCAAGCAACCACGGAGCAACATCCCTCTCCTCCGCCACCTCGCGCAAGACCTCCACGCATCAAAGCTCGAATCACCCGTCGTCCCAACCTTGCAAAACATAATCCTAGTCGACAACTCGACCGACCGCATCGGCACAAACAGCTCCCTGTTCACCTTCAGAGCCCTAACCCCCTACAAATACCTCACATCGTCCAACACGCCAGACACAGCACCCCTCCTGCCTCAAGACCTGGACGCAACCGAAATCGTCAACATCCAATTCACCTCCGGCACTACCGCAACGCCTAAAGCAGCGTGCCTATCCCACCGCTCGATCCTCAACAACGGCGCCCAAATCGGCGACCGCATGCGCCTTTCTCCAACCGACGTCGTCTGCTGTCCCCCACCCCTCTTCCACTGCTTCGGCTCGGTCCTCGGCTACATGGCAACAGCAACACACGGGTCCGCGATCGTCTTCCCCGCCGAAGCCTTCAATGCGCGGGCCACGCTCGCCGCGGTACAAGAAGAGCGTTGCACGGCGCTCTACGGCGTGCCGACAATGTTCCTCGAGGAACTGGGGCTCCTTGAATCCGGCGAGATCCCGCACAGAGGGTTCGAGCATCTCCGCACCGGTATCGCAGCGGGGAGTTCGATCCCAGCCGAGCTAATGAAGAAGCTACATAAGACGCTGAATCTGACGGAGCTGACCATCTGCTATGGCATGACGGAGACGAGTCCCGTTTCGGCCATGACCACGACAGATGATCCGATTGAGAAGAGGATTAATACCGTCGGCCGCCTGATGCCGCACGTTGAGGCCAAGGTCGTGGATCCGAGTGATCATACTAAGATCCTGCCTGTTGAAACCCGTGGTGAACTTGCGGTTTCCGGATATCTGCTTATGAAGGGGTATTGGGATGATCCGGAAAAGACGACGGCGGTAATGAGGGAGGATAGTGAGGGGAGGGTGTGGATGCATGTATGTCTCCTCCCTCCCACGATAATGCATCATTTGAGCGGCCTGCTAACACCGGTATTTCTGTGTCCAGACCGGCGACGAAGCAACCCTTTCACCAGACGGATACGTCACGATAACCGGCCGGATCAAAGACCTGATCATCCGTGGCGGAGAGAACATCCACCCGCTCGAGATCGAAAACGCACTGTTGACCTTCCCCGGCATCGCGGATGTCTCGGTTGTGGGTGTTCCCGATGCGCATTACGGCGAGGTGGTGGCTGCGTTTGTGATTTGGAAATCGCACATGCAGCATGAGGATGCGGATGCGGATGCGCAGGCGGAGACGGGAGATAAGATCCGCGAATTTGTGAGGCGGAAGTTGAGTGGGCATCTTGGTAAGTTCTTGAGTTCTCAAACTGTTTTGTTTTTTTGTTGCTTTTTTGCGTTGGGCTGATCATTGATGTGGTTCTGGCAGTGCCGAAATATATATTCTTCCTTGAGCCGACGGAATCATTTCCGAAGACGGCGAGTGGGAAGATCCAGAAGTTCAAGCTCAGAGAGACAGCGATCAAGCTTTTGGGTGGACAGTGAGCGTAGAATTGCTAACATGGCATTCTGGTTTGATCTATATACCATATAGCGTGCGGCCATGGCTAGCTAAAGACATAGAATCATCAAAGACCGCTATTAAGTTTCTTAGTTAGCTTGTGTTTAAACAGGTATGATCGGTCCATTCTTCAAGAAGTTTGCCCTGTCAAGACCATGATCAAACTTAGGAGTGTAGTGTTCGGCCTGCGCGGCTTGCGCGGTCTCAACTCCGCTTGCAGAGATATGGCACACACATCTTTCTAGAAGCTGGTTGACATGTGCTCCTCCAGAGAGCAGTGCACCATTTTGATTTGCTTCCGTTGGTATCGGCGAGGAGGTTCTGGATATGTTAGGCCATCTCAAAACGAGCTCATGGCTTTTACCCAGAACAACCGGCTGGGGTAGAGACGAGTCAATGGGGCCGGTGGAGGGGATGTAGTGCAGAGCCTTGGCTGCCAGACTGAGCGCTAGGGCGCCCGTCGTCGCCGGGTGAACCGTCAACGGGGAATAGAATCACCCGAGTTGCGGGAATAGCTGACCAGGTCCCAGAGAGCATTCATGAACGCGCAGGAAAGCATACAGCTCGAGAACCCAGACCCCACTCAGAAATCTTGAATCCCAGTTTCCCCCGTCAGTCTCTCTCTCACATCGCCATTCCCTTGCCCCTCAATAACCCACTCAGGCTCCTCGTCATCGAAATACTTCTCCTGCTCCTCACTAGCATCATCAAGCTCCTCATTCCCATCAACCTCCGTATAATCAAAGTCGTCATCCTCCCCGCGCAGGAACCTCATCGTCATTTCAAATCGCCACGCCTTCTCGCCCTCCTCCTTACTAGGCGGAATCTCGTCGCGGTCCTCCGCCAATATCTCGCCGTTCGGCCCGCGAGCGTACGTAAACAGCGCGTGCGGATCGGGATGGCTCAGCGCATCCATTTTAGCTTCCGATCGCAGAAGGTCGGCTTGGAGGACGCCGGAGAAGCCCTTTGCGCGTCCTTCGGCTTCGCGCTCGGACGGCGTTTGGAAGCGGCGGATTAGGCGGTCGTAGAGTAGGGGGTCTGCACCGGACAGGATTATTAGCTCAGCTCAGCTCAGGTCTCCTCTGGATAGACCGGTAATATTAGCCCGTAGAAGGAGATGGCATGAAGTGCGGACCGGCTAGCTCGAGGTCTGCAGAGAAGTACTCTGGGTGGAGGTCTAGGTAGCGCTTTCTTCTGTTCTTTGTCCTGGTGGCGAGGGAGACGGGTGTTCCATGATGGTTTGGGTCGGAGGTCTGCCTCTGATCATTCTGGACGCCGGTTCCCATTGGAAATAAAGGCATATTTGATGGATTTGTGGTTTGGCGATGTGCAGGTAAGAGAGTGGATGATGTGAAGAGAGTCGGTCCGCGGCGGCAAATTGGGTCCCCACTCGGGTCGAGCAGAAGCTCAGAGGGAATCTGTCAAATTAGTCAAGCATTATTCTTTGAAACAACAAGGATCATTGGTTGATGAAAAGGACATGTAAGAGACCCCTCCAGCTGTTGTTTCACATCTCTTGGCATATAACTGGACATCTCTTGCGGCCATGGCCCGAACTAACAAGTATCAGGAGCTCCTCCGTCTGCGCCTGAACAAACTGAAATCAACATGGCGCCGTTCAGGAGCATCTACCAGCAAGATGCGACCAAGCAGCTGGGTGTCGGCGCAGCCCTACTCGTGCTCGCGGCTTTCTACTCTTACGTTTTCTTGTTGAACTTGGCCCCGGTGTACGGGTCTACCCCGTCGCACATCTTCCACGGCTACGGTGTCGGTATCGCAGGAGTCGCAGGCTGGTTTGCAAAGGACATCGTCGATCGTGTCTCTGGCCGCAAGGCCGTCTATGTGGTTCCCGTGCTGGCCTTTTCTCTGCCGGCCCTCCAGTACTTCGTTTCCCAGCAGAGCTCAACCCTGGGTAACCCTGCTGGCCCTATCATCACGGAAGTCCTGGCCCTGTATCCGCTCGTCTTGCTGTCTGTGGCCTGCGCCGGGAAACTGGTGCAGCTGGGATTGAACCTCCAGCGCCATGGTGACCTCGTCGCGGAACATATCCCGCTCCTGGGCTCGTATGTCGTCTACTCGGCCGGCGAGCACCTGATCAAGGCGTTTCTGTCACGGTTCATCGGGTCGACTGTGCTGCTCAGTCGAGCGGGTCTCCAGATCTTGGTTGCCATCTTCTACGCGGCGGCCGTCCCATCAAAGGCCCTCGTCTTGGCCATCCCGGCTTTCCTCTTCTCCATCACGTCCAACACCCACCTACCATTGGGATACACGACCACGGCCCTCAACAGCGCCATTGCCGACGAAGGGTTCGCTCTTGTAGCCCGCCAGGACTCGACGACAGGGTATGTCTCCGTCCTGGATAACCTTGAGGATGGCTTCCGTGTTATGCGCTGCGACCACAGTCTCCTCGGCGGCCAGTGGATTAAGAAGCGCCCCAATTACACTCCCCCGACCGTCAAGGACCCTATCTACGCGGTCTTCACTATGCTCGAGGCTGTGAGACTCGTTGAGACTGCTCACGGTGCTCCACGCGCTGATGCAGGAAGCAACGCGCTTGTCATGTAATCTTTCTAACCCTTCCCTTCCCTTCCATTACCGCCCATTCTGACGAACCCCCAGCGGCCTCGGCATCGGCACAACCCCCGGCGCCCTCATAAGCCACGGCATCGACACAACCATCGTCGAAATTGACCCTGTTGTCCACAAATACGCAATGCAGTACTTCGAGCTACCCGAGAACCACACCCCCGTCATCGAGGACGCGCGGGCTTTCGTCAAGCGCAGCCAGAACGTAGCCCAGCCTAAACAATACGACTATATCGTCCACGACGTCTTCACGGGCGGCGCTGAGCCAGTCGAGCTCTTCACATATGAGTTCATCAGCGGTCTCCATGCGCTGCTGAAGGACGACGGCGTTATTGCTCTTGTACGCCTCCCAACCCAACCCAACAACCCACCAAAACCCAAACAAGGAAGCTAACCCAAACAGAACTACGCGGGCGACACATCCCTCTACCCAACCGCGCTCTCAATCCGAACCATAAAATCCGTCTTCCCAACCTGCCGGCTCTTCCGCGAAGACGCCACCCCCGAAGTCGGACCCGACTTCACAAACATGGTGATCTTCTGCACCAAGACCTCCGCCCCCTTGACATTCCGCGACCCCGTGCCTGAGGACTTCCTGGGAAGCCGATTCCGCTCCCGCTATCTTGTCCCGAAGCACGAGGTTGATGCGGCACAGTTTGAAAATTTGGGGCTTGAGGATGGTCCGCTGGGTCATGGGAGGCGGGTTCTGGTTGATAAGGAGGTTGGCAGACTGCATAAGTATCAGGATCGGGGGGCGCTGGAGCATTGGGGGATTATGAGGACGGTTTTGCCGGATGCGGTTTGGGAGGGGTGGTAAGTTTATATATTTTTGAAGAGAGGGTAGAGAAGGAAGGCATGGGTTATACGTATGAGATGGCATGTTGTGGCGGTTGTACGATTGTTATAGTCAAGTTCGTGTTTGTCTTTATATACAACTTCTTTTACACTGTATTTTTTACGGAGCCGCCAAAAGTGATTAAAGGAATGCTTACCTATTACAGTCCAAAACTACGCAGAATAGGGTGGAAGATATGGTTATAGTTATCATTGAAATGCCACCTGAGTCTCGCCAGTCCTAAATGACAGCTATCAAACACGACCCCTTCCCATGAAAACGTACTAGAAAAGGTATCTACGCTAACCACTGCATAATCAAAAGGAACTTGAAAAAGATACGCCCTGGGGCGGGGTATGTACTTCAACGATCGAGTGAAATGTACCAAGTCGCCAGATCTTTCATGTGGCTGGTGGTTCCCTGAACCTGGCCGGGGCCACCATTCGCAATGCAACGTGAACGAAACCAACGAGTCCAACTCAACTCCGGTGTACATCCAACATAGGAAAGCGTGGCGAGTATAATTATTGGAACGAGAGGGTCAGTCATAGCGAGGGGCTTCAGGCTCCACGGGGACTGCCACCGGGCTTCTTAACTAGGCCTGCGAAGAAGTTTGCTAGGGCTTGATTTTGTGTTTTCTCGTCCCCTGATGATAAAACTGGGTCTTTTCGCTGGGAGCGGCTGGCTTCTCGGTCCTGGATTCATGTCGATTAGCATCGCTTCTGTTTGAAAGATTGTCCACTAACTTTTAATTTTTGGAGCATATCATCGGCGTCGACCTGGATACCACCCATATTGAATTGTACAGGGCCAATGTGTTCGTTGACACGGCTGTTGTCCTCTAATGGCGACATTTCCAGCTGGGGCGCCTTCTTGGCCGCACGGTCTTTTTCATCTTCAATCTTCAGCTGCTCCAAGACTTCCAGCTGCTTGGTGAGGAAACCTTGCATATCTTGTGTTTCGATTTCAACCTTATTCCCGCCTTGCTGGCTTCCCGGGTACGCCAGCGAGGTGTTCCGCTTAGGGTCTTTGATTGTCTGCTCGTATATCTTGACAGCACTTGTCCCGTCGTCTTCTTCAGCATCCTCGTCTTGTGTTTGATTATCCCCATTGCTGATCGGCTCAGGCGGATCTTGAATTTCAATGGACCAAGCTGTCGATATTCCCTCCAGATTTGACCCTTCTCGGATAACCCGAATCTTCGCCCATGAGTCCCAATTTGTAGGTATTAAGATCTTGTCGCGTTCAATAAAGTTCGCTTTCAGAGAAAGTTTCTTAAGGAGAGAGTGTATGCCGAGGGAGGAGTGCAGCACGCTGTGCAGGTTGTTCGCCTGGAAAGGCTTGGTGTATATCATAGATGCGCCATCTGCACTCAGTTAGAGGGGATGAATATGCACTGACAGGGATTCGTACGTTTCACCAGTAACGTCCTCATGAATTGATGGATGAAATCGAATTCTTCTTCGCTCCAACCATGATCCCGCTCCAATTTCTCCATCTTGTCCGTCTGTACGAGCGTTAGCACTTGTCTGGCTAATAGATCTTACGGGGTACGCACTCCTTGACAGACAACACACAGTGGCACTCCAAGCCCTTCATCCCACTCCCCAGGACCTATAATCGCCGCTCCGGAGCTGGCCGCTTGTGATCCGGTAGAGCTGGCATCTATTCCCTTCTTCCGCTCCTTCCACTGCGTCATATTGTCCTCCATTACAATCTTGGTCTCGTCATCAAGTGAGATAAGGACATGCCGCAAGAGACGGACCCACTCTCTTAGTCGCCGTACCCATGTCCACGGATCTGACCAGTCGAGGAGAATTACGACGGATGTTTCGGGGATGGATTGCGGTGTCAAGAGCGGTTTTAGGAGAGGTGCGAAGGATAATGAAGGCTCGGAAAGGAGGTACGCGGAGACGCGCGCCAATGTATCTTGTTATAGTCAGCATTCAGTATCATGGTAGTCGCAGGGAGGTAAATATGGGCATGCCCACTTACCTTCTTGGTCCGCATCCAATACATCTAGATACGTGTATCCTAGAGCGAACTGGTTGGCAACTGGCGGTACTTTCCCTTTACCCTTCCGCTTCTCATTAGATAGACTGGGATCTGAGGTGTCGGCAGAGTAGGCTTCCAGAAACTCTCGCTGACTTTCCGGGGTGCCTCCTGAAAAGGCGGAGTTAGCGGCGCCCCCAAAGCTCAGAAGGATTCGCGCACCTAGTATCAAAAGGTTCTTTTCCGGCAAGCGCTTCCCAGTCGCAGCGCTATCCAGCATGGAAGACCAAATATTCTTCTTCGGTCCATCTTTGCTGGACGGCCGGCTGTTACCTGTGCTTTGTCTCTTCGATGTGGACATCGTCTGTCAGAAACCCACCAAGCTTGGTTTGCGCAGACCAGAAATTCTCCAGAGAATGTAGCCACAGCCCGGCAAGTTTGACGCGTTGTTTGAGGCGGAGGAACGAGGGGGGTCGGCAGAGAAAGCGGCAGCGGAGGACGTGTCTGAATGTTGATAGACTAAGCTTGAGGAGTTCGTAGGTCGGTACGGTATGAGTGTAAGTCCTTGAAATCGGTAGATAATCGCAGCGTCACACAGTTCATAGCATTAGAGTAAAGAAGTTCAGCATTGCGCCGGTGGTAGTTCGCTGTTCTATTGTCCTTCTCCTTATTTTGGAAAGCCTATCACGTGATGCACGATATCCGCGGAAGCTATCGATTGGCCCAGGAACATGCTCAAACGCTTCTTTCAAGCTAGACCAGATCAACACCATGAACAATATCCGCCAAGTCCAAGCGCTGAACAAGCGCGAGCTTGAGAATGCTGTGTATGTGTATAACCTTGCTTCTACGACACACCTACTGACATGGTCAACTTGCAGCCCTCCCGAAGCTTCATGGCATGCCGATTACCGCGACACGGCCTACATCTACATCGGCGGCCTTCCCTTCGATCTTTCCGAGGGTGATATTGTTACCATATTCTCACAGTACGGTGAGCCGGTACACGTGAATCTCGTACGCGATAAAGAAACAGGAAAGAGCCGAGGGTTTGCCTTCCTCAAATACGAAGATCAGCGCAGTACCGACCTCGCGGTTGACAACCTGGGTGGCGCGACAGTTCTCGGTCGAATGCTACGCGTGGACCATACAAGATACAAGAAGCGCGATGAAGAAGAGGATACGAACAATGTGGCCAAGTTGATGGGCGAGACGGCCGGTAAAGACGCTGATGGCGATACGGACGATGAGGGAAGAAGACGAAAGAGGAGAGGACACAGCGAAGACAGGGAGCCGCGTCCGCGACGACTACTCAAAGAGGAGATTGAGCTAGAAGAGTTGATTAGGAACCATGACGATGAGGACCCTATGAAGGAATTTCTCATTGAGGAGAAAAAGGAAGAAGTGGCTCGAGCTTTGGAAAAGGAGGCAAGAAAAGAAAAGTCGTCGCGACGACGGGAGTCCAGCCGCGAGAGATCAAGTCGGCATTCCCGCCATCATCATCGCCGCCACCGACGCGACGATGATCGATCGCGATCCCGAGAAAGAAGCAGCCGGGACTACAAAGAGCGAGACCGAAGAGATAGATCAAGAGATAGGTCTCGCAAAGACAGAACTCCGGAGCGCTCACGATCACCCCGCCGCGATCGGGATAGACATGATCGCCGCCGATAGGAATCGGACCAGGCAAACCCACCGACTGCTTGGCACTGTCCAGATTCACGGTGTTCAAACACAATGTCGACTATAACAGACAGCAATGCAGGAGCTACACTTAGTAGTTGAATGAGCATCGCTACCAGCAGTTCCTTTTTCGCCTGCTGATGATGGCCTTTTCATTTGACCCATGCCACCAACGCCGAACCACTCCGCGGATACTGGTCGTTTATGTCGGAGACGGGATTGAGTGATCAAAATGCGCTGAACTGAGAACCCCGTTCTGAAGGAGATTTGTGGAGGTCTCTTCAGCTGGCGCTTGCCAGGTATTTCTTCCAGCCTTCTCTTATGCAGTATCGCTTTCCCTCCTCGCCGTCGCGGAGAACGAACTTTTCCCATCTGCCGTCACTACCGGAGCCAATGACTAGTATGGTGTTATCGCTGGTCCAACCTATTACACCCTTCAGAGGTCGTCCTAACACAGAGCCCAGAGGAGGGGCATATGTTGGGCCAGGCCCTTCCTCCCCCATCTCGAAGTGTGCACTAGCGAATGAATAAACATCGGAGAACACCCTCGGGAGTAGTGGTATTTTGCCAAGGATGCCCCACTTCTTGTTCACTCCCTCATCGGACGTAGACGCTTGCTGATTGCTGTATGGGGCGTTGCGAGGATGAGGGAGGTCAAAGACATGGAGGGTAGACTTGTCAGATGTCACGGCTAATAGGTTATTTGACGGCGAAATGGCAAGTGAGAATATAACAGCGTGATCTACTCCGCGACGGAGTTCAGCCATCTTTGCACAGTTGCTCGTAGCAAATATCCGTACCAAAGTGCCCTAAGACCACTGGTTAGCATGTTGTCGAATGATTTCAGAGGAGTATTACAGCTTCGCTCGCCGTCGCGAGTATCTCCCCATCTGGACTCAGCGTCATAGCGCGTAGGGGTGTACTGTGAGCGGGTATGATACTAACGTTCCCCGTCTCAAGCTCAACCAGTTGAACTTGCCCAGGAGATCGACCGGGAAATGCTAGTAGCTTCTCGCCCAGACAAGCCAGTCCCAATGGATTATCCGTTGTCTCGAAGACCGAAAGTTTCTTGGGCGGGGAAGAGAAGGCGAAGGTATGGATGCTGTTAAGCAAGGCAACGACGATACGCGACCTTGATAACCGGACGCCGAGAACGGATGTGCGGAACTCGAGGGTGATAACGGCTTTCTGCTTTACATCGTCCCAGATAACCAGCTAATCGTTCCGTCAGCAGAGTTCGCAGGGGGTGGTTGGATGGGCGCACCTTGTTCTGCGGGAACTTCGGTTGTCTGCCGCCACCGACGAGCGCGAGATAGTTGGTGTGTCCGAGCATGACAGCGAGGCCTATCCCGGCGTTGAAACCTAGGTAGTTCCGTGGTGAGTGAGAAGGAAGTCAATACAAGAAAAAGTGGTTATATACATACTTCTAGAGACCGTGAGCTCACATGGATTGGCTCTGTAGACTTTGGAAACTCAGTACGGTTTCTAGACCCCGGATGAATAGGTCATAGCTCGACCTACCGCAGAACCCGGTATCCAGACCAACGGAGAAGCAAGAGTTGTCACCGTTGAAGGTCGCCGATAAGGAGCCCGGGCCCTTTGAGTCGTCGATAATCTGCCGCGTATTCATCTTGATGGTGATGCATGTAGAGGATTGAGCTTGACAAGCTGGAGGTTGGATAGAGGTATGTCATATGATGGAGATATCAAGGAAGATCAACCGCTCCGCTGAGTCGCTGACGGAGTTGTTGCCCGCGGATCCACCTCACTGCCGCTAGGCCTTTTACGGCACAATTTACTTCGAGCTCAGCCGAGCCTCAAGAGCCTCTCAGCAAAATACGTTGTCACTAATAAATATGAGTGACTTGCTGGAAATTCATCTGATCTTAAGAGAAATCTGTCGTTATAGTTCTGCTTGGCCACCTGAAAGGTTGTGCCTCTCTAATGCCCTCAATGTGGCCGATCAGATACATACAGGCCGCGAGTACAGCTGAGCTTGGAGTGAAGTACTAACTTCACCTCGTCATTCATGCTCTTTATGCTTGTTTTTGATCCTGACTATCTATTATATAGCTCAAATGCCCCCTCAACTGCAGTAAGAACTTCGGGCAATTTCCATAGTTCTTAGATATCCTGCAGCCTCAGGCACTAAGGCATGCGTCTTCTGACCCGCAAGGGCCCACGGCCGCGGAGGCCAGCATTTGGCTCCCCAAATTATTTACCCCTGAAAATAAGACCAGCCCAGTCCGCAGAGGAGTTCGTGAGAACGATAGGCTACGTATGAGGACTTGCTTTAGGCTAGATAAGAGATATCAAACAGTAACCCTGTACTTTGTACATAAGTTGCTTTAAAAATTGTGACATGAACCGATCAGCTGCGGCGTTCTTGATATACGGAAGGTCACGGTGGCTTGAGCTTGACATTGGCGGGTTCCTGGGATCATCTCATTTACGCTTCTATATGGTCAAGCATCAGTGATTTAGTTGCGCCAATGGAGACGTCAGAGTTCTTAGATTCAACAGCAAGACTCTTTACGTGACTGCTATCAAATGAAACAGATGTGATTTTCTTCCAGGTGCTTGATGTAGCACTGCTGGATGCTGGATACACAGGTCTCAGATTGCCATCTTGAACCTGTGTATTAGCAGTACCAAAATATAATACGGGATACAGCTATGGGGCAAAGTTAGTGGCTATAATTGGTCTATCCAGATCATCGGAGAGAAAGGGGGAGCAGCTGATGTACGAGGGGCGTACTGAATACCACGGCCAAGGAGACTAATCCTCTTTGGGGACCTTCCCCCTAAACTGCCAGGTCAGTCAAGTCCCTCTCTACCAACGCTCTCTCTCGACCTCTCTCGACTCTACTGGTTCCAACTCGACTTCAGGAGTCCAGCAGTTCATTCTCTTCTTCATTCCTGCTCTCTCGTCCCTTCCACTCGCTATCCTGTTCTTTCCTCCTTAGAGTTACAACTCCATTCGCCTTCTCTTCTTTCTCCCTCTCCCCTTTTCACCCATCATGTCGTCCGCCTACAACCCGGTATGTGAACTTCCCCTTTCTGGTTCCAAGGCCTCAGCAAGATGATCCACCTCCCTTCCGTCCCTTTCCTCTCAATTGATGATTATCCTGGAAGAACCAGGCGTTTGCCTGCATCCTCTCCATTGTCCCATTGCAACTAGCGTGAATGCCGATAACTAACGCTCGTCGCGCCGACTTAGATCAAGCTCCGCCGGAAGAAGAATGTCAAGAAGGGTATTCAGTTTTGTCTGATGGTCTGCGGTGCCAGCGGAACTGGTGCGTGATTATTCCTAGAGAGGAGCCCCGATCGTTCGAGAATTAATAGATCCATCCGTCGGCAGGTCGCACAACTTTCGTCAACACTCTCTGCGGAAAGCAGGTTTTGCAAGGCAAGGATGCGGATGATGCCGCCAATGCTCACCTTGAGGAGGGTGTCCGCATCAAGCCAGTGACCGTGGGTATGCTTGCCCGCACCAAGCTCGTCGAAGAATCAGGCTGATCCGTTTGAATAGAGCTCGAATTGGACGACGAGGGCACCCGAATCTCTCTCACCATTGTTGATACCCCGGGTTTCGGTGACCAGATTGACAACGAAGCCAGGCATGTGGTTACCGCCAAACTAGACTACGGGGCACCGAACTGACCGTTTTTTTAGTTTCGGTGAGATTGTGGGATACCTAGAACGCCAATACGACGACATCCTCGCGGAGGAATCACGAATTAAGCGAAACCCCCGATTCCGGGATAACCGTGTTCATGTCCTTTTGTACTTCATCACACCAACCGGTCACGGCCTCCGTGAGCTGGACATCGAATTGATGAAGCGTCTCTCCCCACGTGTTAACGTTATTCCCGTTATCGGAAAGGCCGACTCGCTCACACCTGCGGAACTTGCCGAGTCCAAAAAGCTCATTATGGAAGACATTGAGCACTACCGCATTCCTGTTTACAACTTCCCTTACGATATCGAGGAGGATGACGAGGACACCGTGGAGGAGAATGCTGAGCTGCGGGGGCTGATGCCGTTTGCTATCGTTGGCTCGGATGACTTTGTTGAGATTGACAACCGCAAGGTGCGAGCCAGGCAGTACCCCTGGGGTGTTGTCGAGGTCGAGAACCCCCGGCACTCAGACTTCTTGGCAATCCGAAGTGCCCTGCTCCACAGCCACCTGGCAGACTTGAAGGAGATCACTCATGATTTCCTGTATGAGAACTACCGTACCGAGAAGCTCAGCAAGAGCGTTGATGGTGCTGCTACGTATGTATACTTGGTCACTATTGAGGTTCTCCAATGCTAACGAGATATAGGACCGGTACCGATTCATCGATCAACCCCGAAGACCTGGCTACTCAATCCGTCCGCCTTAAGGAAGAACAGCTCCGCCGCGAAGAAGAGAAGCTCCGCGAGATTGAGCTCAAGGTGCAGCGTGAGATCGCTGAGAAACGCCAGGAACTGTTGGCTCGTGAGAGTCAACTGAGGGAGATCGAGGCCCGCATGGCCCGCGAGGCAAGCCAAGGAGAGGGCACCGAGGTCGAGCAGTAATCTCCGCAACCCATCGTCCGCAGATAACGGCTTGCCTTTTCTTTCAAGCCGCTTGTGCCTATGCTATGAAACTCGTGGCGCAGCGGTTATAACTGTCTATGGGGTTAATATTATTCGACTATGTTTCTTCACGTTAATAGCTTTCTTTGGAAGAGAAAGGAAGAGCCAATGCAACCAACATTCCGTGTCCTTCGATGACTGCTATCCTGTCCCGGTGGACGGACGTGGAGGCTGCCGGTGCTCTCCACTCCCTCGCAGCTTTCCTTGCTTCTTTCATGTCTTTCTTAATTCGGCCGGAGAATCTCTTTGTTGTTTCACGCTCGAGGTCAAAGATAGCATCTTTTTAATCGTTGACAGCTGTGGCTGGAGCACCTGCATAAATTCTTCCTTACCTTTACCCTATTTCTTTATACCTGCTTTTATCCATGACACCTGTCTCCAATCTCAGCAGCGCAGCAAGATTCCCTCTTTTGTCCTTTCATATTGCGTGCTCTCCTGTTGCTTATGTCTTAGTTCTCCCTATCCTGTCTTCTAGTTGAATAGTAGTATATGAGGAAGAAAAGCATCTCTACTGATTATCCAGCACCATTCATTCTATAAGTAGCCATAACTAGACACTGTCCGGGTTACTTGAGGATCTGAGAAGGATTATAAGTTACGGTTATATGGACGTTGCATTAGTTAGCCAATTAATCCAGAGTAATCTTCCACTGGATAGCTTTTACTATAGTCATCGTGGACTTAAAGGATTTTCACGGAAATCTAATCAAGAATGCGTAGTAATATTAAAAATAAAGCAATGTTTTCGTGTTATATAATGGTTATATAACTATTAAAACCCTGCATATAGTCACCCGAAACCCCCAGTAACCCAGATGGTTGCAAGACAACATAAAAAGAAAGCAACCAGGAACCAACTGAGATAAATCAACTAGTCACAGATGATCTTGAAGGACTTGATGGCGACCTTGTTCCCATTCTTGTCGTCGCCGCCATCATCGCCCTGCTCCTTTTCCCCAGAACTAGAGCCTCCTCTCTTTTTCATCTTCTTCGTGTCGTTACCGTCGTCGTCGTCGTCGTCCCCGTCGTCCCCATTATCGTCATCATCACCACTATCATCATCGTCATTGTCGTCGTCTTCGTCGTCTTCGTCGGTGTCATCATCATCATCATCATCAACCTGTGTCTGGTTTCCGTTCTGCCTCCTTTCAAAGTGACCTCCAAGCTTTTTCTTAGGATCGTCTTCATCATCACCCGTGTCCTCGTCTTTATCGTCATCCTCTTCCTCATCTTGTTCCTTTTCGTCTTCTTCCTTTTCCTTGTCGCCTCCAGCTGCGGGCTTCTGTGCTTCCGAGTCGTCATCGCCGCCCTCGTCTTTCTCCTCATCGCCCTCATCTTTATCCTCCTCCTCCTCCTTGTCATCACCCTTATCCTCGTCCTCCTCCTTCTTGTCATCACCCTTATCCTCCTCCTCCTCCTTCTTGTCATCACCCTTATCCTCCTCCTCCTCCTTCTTGTCATCACCCTTATCCTCCTCCTCCTCCTTCTTGTCGTCATCATCATCATCCCCACCATCTTCGTCACCTTCATCATCATCCTCATCCTCCTTTTTAGGGACAGCGCAAGACGACGATCCATCGGAACTCCCAATCTTCGCTTCATCCTTACATCCTTCCGCCTCGAAGAACACAACTTTGCACCCATTCAGCTTGCCAATGAACGCTGCTTCGGAGAATCCGCCCGTTGAGCTTGAGCAAGAGAGGTTGCTTGTTCCGCTGAAGAACATCGGTTGTCCGGCGCATTTGGTGTCGTGGTAAAGGGATAGTGTCCAGCCGCTTCCTTTGCCGCTGCCGCTGCCACTACCGCTGCCACTACCGCTGCCGTTGCCGTTGCCAGAGCCGTTGGAGCCGTTGTTATCGGAACCACCCGAGTCGTCGGAGTCACTGGAGTCGTTGTCGTCATCGCTGGAGTCGTCATCGGACTCATCGCCAGAGTTGTCACCAGAACCTTGGGATTGCCCTTGACCCTGGCCCTGTCCTTGTGTCGGGGTTTGTGTTGGGGCTTGTGTAGGGGCCTGTGTAGGGGCTTGTCCCGGATACTGACCTTGACCTTGCAGCTGACCTTGTCCCTGACCTTGGCTTTGCGTTGGGTATTGACCTTGCCCCTGCCCTTGTCCTTGACCCTGAAGCTGGCCCTGGCCCTGTCCCTGGCCTTGGGATGGGTATTGACCCTGACCCTGACCCTGTCCCTGAACTTGACCTTGTCCCTGACCTTGACCTTGTCCCTGACCTTGACCTTGTCCCTGACCTTGACCTTGTCCCTGGCCTTGACCTTGTCCCTGAGTTTGACCTTGTCCCTGAGCTTGACCTTGTCCCTGAGCTTGGCCTTGTCCCTGAGCTTGGCCTTGTCCCTGAGCTTGATCCTGCCCGGAAATCTGACCTTGGTCCAATCCTGCATATGGTCCTTGGCCTTGACCTTGTCCCTGACCCTGACCTTGTGCTTGTCCCTGGCCCTGTCCTTGGCCCTGAGCTTGGCCTTGGCCTTGACCCTGTCCTTGTCCCTGACCTTGGCCTTGACCCTGACTAGGACTATAACCCGGAAGCAGCGTAGCAACCGGCGTCGAAGTAGGCTTGGGGTACCCACCCTGACCCTGCACCTGGCCCTGAGACTGGCTTTGACTCTGACCTTGCCCTTGGGCTTCTTCCGCGGGGTTGTTGTGGCGGTTCTCCAGACTGTTCACTGGGGCTGGGGCGGCACTTATCTGGTGGGGTAGGGTTGATAGGAGCAGGACGACGAGGAGAAGGAGCGGCATCAAGGGGAGGTTCCGACCATGTCCCCTGGTGCCGGGTATAGAATTGGTTTTGGCGAGCATGGCTGCTTTGATTTTCGTTATGTCGCGCCTCCTGTGTAGAGTACTGACTGCAGCACGGTGGGATGCAGGTGACTAGTAGGTGGAGAGGCAATTGGGAGGGAAAAGAAGTGGGAAAAGTAGAAGGTTGAATTATTAAGTATTCAAGGTAGAAAGGAAATTGGTCATGGTCGTTAATTTGCATCATCATCATCACTCGTCACTTACTTGACTTAACCTTTCCTTCTCCTCCTGGACGCGTAACATACTTCGCCGACGCGTATGTTCCGACACCTCGTCAGACTTGGTATAGGGTTTAGAATACAACGCGGGAAGTTCCCAGGTTGTGGAAGTTGTTTCCATGAACCCTGTGAACTGGCCTGATCAGAACACCGTGATTTTGAGGACAATCCCGTTCGATCTCCGAGCTCTTCGATTTCAGAGGAGTCCAGACTATGTATTCCGCTCCTATTGTGTCTTCCGCTTAAAATAGAATCAGAGAATATTGAAAGGCAAGAAATTCAACTCAACCTTGGTAGAATTGAGTGGGGCCATACGGCAGCCCATCTGCGAGATAATCTACTGGTGCGAATTTAGTAGGGTCGATTGTCGCAGCTAGATCTGGAAGAAGTTCCCCTTCGCCTAAATTCAACAGGCTTGACAACTGTAGCTGTGGGTCCTGTGCACCAGGGAGAGCTTGCTGATTCTGTTCCTCAATGGGGTCGGGGGTTGTAGTGAGCTGGAAGAAGTCGAGGACTTCGGTATAGCTATACCGCGTAATTTTGTCAGTGCTGAAGCTCAACAGAATACTGCAGATATGATCGCAGAGAGAGAATGCAAACCGTACATCATAATCTTCCACGTTTCTAGGGGTAGTTCGGCGTCATTGAAAGACCAATCGAACTTCTCTGCTGCAATGGGTTCGTCCGTCGGATCGTGGTAGGGGGCCATCCAAGGGTGTTTGAGACCCTGGTCGGCAGAGATGCGTCGGTCTGGGTCGAAGATGAGGAGATTGTCGATAAGGTTCAGTGCTAACAGGAAGGTTCGTTAGTCGCGGACGGTAGAGTGAGGCAGTGGAAACATACCTGCGTCCTCCGCGCCGGGGATAATATCCCTCAACGGCCGCGGATTCCTTTTGGCCATGGACTTCACCACTCGGCGAGTCTATCAGGCCACCTTCATTAGATCGGTTCGCATAATTACTGGGTATGGGATTACGTACGTTAGTTGTTGTGATCCGATCAATCAACTCATCAGGAGGATTTCCTAGCAGGTCTGTAATCAGCCAGAACTGGTTAATGTGGTCAGTGCCTGGAAACAGCGGCCGGCCCAGCAGCATCTCCGCAAGAATGCAGCCCACACTCCACAGATCAACCTTGTTCCCATATCGCTGCCATGTCAACATGATCTCCGGCGCGCGGTAGTACCTTGTCGAAACATAGCCCGTCATCTGCGGTTCCTGGACGCGGGCCAGCCCAAAGTCGCAGATCTTGAGATCGCAGTTCTCATTAATGAGAAGATTTCCCGGCTTGAGGTCTCGGTGGATTACGCCTGCTGAGTGTATGTATTTCAGTCCGCGCTATAGTGAGACAAAACCAGGCAAGACGGAGCAGGATTGCGTCAGCCAGTAAGCCCCGGGAAGGAGATGAGATTAGTGCGCTGCAGTTGCGGTGTTGCGTCTTACCAGAATCTGATATGTAAAGTATTGGGCGAATTTGGCTTCGAGGGGCTTTCCATTGAGCAAGCGGTGCAAGTCTGTTCCTAGGAGCTCGGTGACGAGGTAACTCGAGTCTTGTCAGTCTTTACCAAGGACACTAGGGTCAGGTAGTACGTACACATCCTCCAGAGGCGAGATGAAGATATCGGACATGTTGATTAGCTAAACCGGACACGGTCAGTACCCAGTTTTCGGAGTCAGAGGCATAGCATAGCCTAAGAGGACACGTACGTTATCGTGCCGTAGATGCCTCAAAAGCTTTACTTCGCGGTATGTCCGCTTGGCCACCGAAAGGCTATCGAACGGCTTCATCATCTTCTTGATCGCGACGACTTGTTCGGAAATCAAGTCGTAGGCAGAGCTGGCGGTCTATTAGTTCTTGCATCGTGCTATCTGCTAGAATTCGGGGGAAGCTATACCAGACAACACCAGCAGTGCCTAGGCCAACAGGCTGCAAGTTGGCGTATCTATAGCCGTTTTAGCTGCCTGAAGATCGGATGTGTTATTGAGGGGCAATACCTGCTGGTTGTCTCGAATGTGGTCCCCAGGATTTCAGAGCGAATGAACTCGGCCATGATGATAGGGGTGGAGTAGAGAGCAGAGAGTGCGATGAGGGGAAGATGAAGTCAGGAGAGGAAGAGAGGCCCAAAACTTGGAAGTCTTGAAGGAGCGCTCCAGGTGTGCCAGCCCACTCAGGCACGCAGTGGGTGTCAGCAGTGGGCTGCTGTGATTGGCGGGCCGAGATGCCGTCTACAACGGCCAATTTTAGGTGCACTCCCAGCTTTTATTCGAGAATCTTCATCTGCAGCTTCATATCTGGCTTGGACCCCGGCCTGGATTCTCGTCACAAGCACTCTACGTCCCGCTGTTCTTCTCGAGGCGGTCGGCCGTCAAACCAGGTGAGGTCCTTTTGGTACCTAAATGCCCTAATAAGTACTTGAGCCTGCATTGCCGATGGTACATACCTTGACATTATGACACAGGGAGGCATCAAACCCACGACAATGCCACGTCTGCTCCAGGGAACGAGGCAGTTGCATCTTCTCCGCCATCTCAGTCCCCGTGAGGTCCAAGTTCATCATCCTAACCGTCTGATCATGCATAAAACCATACAAATCGCGCTGCTCCAGTCGAGCAATAAGCGCCTTCATCCCACACGTCGGCCAATTATGGCTCCCAACAACCACATCCGACCCCCTGCCAAACAAAACAATGGCCTCGTCCAGATACCCCGACCAGGCCTTCGCATCGAGCACCTGCGCGCCCCTCAGCGTAACAACATTATGCATGCAGTTCGTCACCGTCTCAGGGATGCCGAGGGCCCTGAAACCCGGGAAATGGAAGTTGATCTCCGCCGGTGCCTCCGTGCCAGGAACAATTCGGAACACGATCCTCGCCCCGTCAATGACATGCTCTTCGCCTGTTTAATGGATCAGAATACTAGGCTGGATGAGACTCGTTGTGCCGACGCTAGAACCCATCCCGGCCCTGTCCCAATTTACCCCGTTGGACTCCGCGGCAGCGCGTCCCCGTACATGGTCATCAAGGCGCCTCACCGTCTCATCGCCAGTCCAGCACGGATACTTTCGCTCAGGATAGCCTCCATGAACCCCTCCGGCGCGATAATCGGCACATCAGTATCGGGCTCAATAACACCCCCAGCACCCGCAAACTACCCATTACAACCATCAACTCCTCAAGGCCCTCTTCTACTACGTAGCAAGCCCACTTCGTAGGAGATCAGATAGACAACCTGCTGTGTAATCTACTCCGAGTAGGAAATCTACGCCGAAGCCGCGCCTGAACTCGCAAGCTCCTCCAAATTCCGGACTGAAGTTTATAATCTAGGCCGGGACCGCAGCGTAGGGTACAGCTTCACCAATCCGCCCACTAACTTCGGCAGTAAGACAGCCCCTTCACTCACGGACAGACGGGACTACGACGCCGCATCCCGCGGCTTCATCGCTTTCCTCGACCAAGGCATAATCACACACTGCGCCGACCTCAACCTCACCGTCTGGAACGCCTCAGCATGGGACATCATGAAAGACACCGAGTGCCCGCCCACAGCACATCCTATCTCTGGCGACAGGGCCACCTGGATCCGAAACATGGATTGTACGAAATCTGCCCCGGGATCTACCAGGTGCGCGGCTACGGTCTGTCGAATATGACCATGGTCGAGGGCAAGGACGGGATTATCATTTTTGACCCGTTGGCTTCGTGCGAGTGTGCGAAAGTTAGCTTGGAGCTCTTTACCGGGAGCATCGGGGAAAGGGGAAGAAAGTTACGGAGATGATTTACAGTCATTAATTCGCATGGGGATCATTCTATGGAAGACATGCTTTGCGCAATATCAAGCTCCACTGCTCATCTCATTAGAGGTAACAACACCTGGTTTCGCATGCGAAGCTGACCCCATTTCACTAGAATTCGATGAGATCTACCTCTGTGTCCGGTTGAGCTTGGCCAAAAGTACTGTTCTCCTGCTTCTCCTGCCCCTTCTGCGCGTCCGAGTCAGGTTCTTTATGCCCAATAGCACCAGACACGGCAGGTGCCTCGAAACAAAAGCCGCGATTCTCCAGCTCCTCTTTTCGCTGCTGCAATTCTGCTATCTGCTCCAGGATCGCGTCGTGCTCTTTCGATCCGCCGTTTGCATACGCTTGAAATTTCTTTATTGCCAGGTGCTTCTCACAACCATCTTCGTTTTTCTTGGGCGAAACCCCGCGATCCATGTCCGCAATGAACTGTGCTGGCTCATGTGCAAGGGTCTCAAGGCGTTTGGCTTCCTCGCAGTCACAACTGCAGGTATGAACGGTTGAGCAGGGAGTTCTGCAGGTATGCTTGCAGGACATGTTCCGACTGCAGATTTCGTTGCATTTGACCATGTCGTGGGAAAAACTGCACAAGTATTTAGCTTCATTCCGTCGGATTGGGACAATGATCGCTGCTTACCTATGACAACGCAGAGCACACTGATGGCCGCAGCTCAGCTTTTCGCCGCATGCTAGCTCGCAGCCACCGTTCGTGTTCTTCCAATCGGACGGATCTGGACGTGGACGAGATGTTAGTAAGGTCTATGTGAGAGTTGATCAGGGCCAGCATGGGGAGGCAACCCGACCTTTTATGCACCACCGGAGTTTGTGCTTCACACATGTCAAGGGCAACATATGCCCAACCCGAGGCTCTGGGTTCTTATTGCCCAGAATATAGAGAACTTGAGCCCAGAGCTCGTCCGCGGCGAGGAGGTTCTCATTACCGAATATGTAAAAGCCTCGGCGGGCTCTCGAGAGAGCAACACAGACTCGATTGGCATTTGACAAGAACCCAATCCCCTGTCTGCCGTTTCTGACCAGAGACAAAATCACAACTTCATTCTCTTCTCCCTGGTACGAGTCTACAGTGACTACTTTGATGTAGTGTCCTTGGAGATAGCGATGACTTTTCATCATCTTGAGAATCTTCTTTCTCTGACCATTGTAGAATGTAAGCACAGTGATGTCCTTAACAGGAGTGTTGTTAAGGACGAGATAGGCGAAGAATTCGACTACCATCGCTGCCTCCTTATCGTTGGTTTTTGACATATCGTCAGAACTCTCAAGCCAGTCATGAGAGAATAGGAATGAGCGGATGTTTCCCATTCCTGGCACTTCCTCTCGCTTGGTAACGCACTCATGGTCCTCCAATAATCCGTATATAGGCGACAGCAGTTGGCGGATTTCCGGTGCCATTCTTCTCTGCCGTTGGAGAGTGACATATGGCATTCCATTATTCACGAGACGTTCGAACATCGAGATATCAAGGTAGAACGGGTCTCCTTCAAGGTCTTGAACCGAGCAATTTCCACGGAGCTGCTTATGGTCGCCCACGAGTATCAGCTGCTGGAGCGAGTCTAAGCATGCGGCGGCTATCGGGCCTTCTATCGCCTGTGCTGCTTCTTCGATAAGGACGATCCGCGGCTTCATGCTTGACACGAGCGCTCGATATTTGCTGAGACCTGTTGTCGTCATCCCAAGCACCTTGGCGTTTTGTAAAACGATGTGATCGCGCTCCCAGCCACCAATGCGAAGATTTTCTATCGCCTGTTCATATGCAACAAGTAGTTGGCGGAATTCACGCAGGATTTTTTGCTTGAGCTGGCCGCGAAGTTCGTTATAAACCCCACCGCGAGCTTTGACGGGGACTTCCCACATATCTTCATAGCGACCAGGGTTTGAATGTGAATTGGCTTTTCCATAAAAGCCTTCTTTGAGAAGTGTGAGCAAACCTTTGAGAGACTCGTCCTCATCGTCATCATTGAGGCCCTGCTCTGCCTCTAGTTCTTTTAACTGCTCGTACTCCAAATCCACCTCATCTCCAGCGAAACCAAAATCCTCCTTTGTGTACGTGACTTCAAAAGGGGCTGCTTGGTCCCCAAGCCAAGGTACCAGGGGGTCAGCTTCACCTTGCTCTTGCCCAGCACTCACCCAGCGTTTAGCTCCTTTCTCAAGAGAGTCGTACTGCTTTGTCGTCAAGAGGCCGTACTTCTTGAATAGCGTGGAGGGAAGGGGCTGGCCAGAGTTAGCTTCGTTAAAAGGTTGTAGTAGCTCTGCGATGGTATTCGACAATCTTTTATGGCTTTTGAAGGCATTCCCAAGCGTACCACCAGGAAAGTTGGGCATGGGTTCTTCGCGTCTAATGTTGAATATGGTACGTTTTCTAATCTCTGGACAAGCGCTCCTACCTCCCAGGCGAACATATTGTCTCTCGAAGCGAGAGACATGGGTCAGAAGTTGGTCTAGGGCATGGTTCGTTTGAGAGGCGACAACGATGGGCGGATCGTCCGCCTTCATATTGGAGAGCATGATCCGCAAAGCTAGGACGGAGACATAGGTTTTACCCGTGCCTGGCGGCCCTTGAATAATAGCGAGCTGTTTGGTGAGCATCTGCTCCAAAGCGTCCCATTGGGTTGCATCAAGGTCCCCCAAAGGTGAGTGAGGCCAGTTCTGCAGAATGTCGAGCTTGCCCTCTTCATTAGAGTCGGTGATGGCCGAGTGAATATTTACAATTGAGTTATTCTGAACGTAGGCTGGGGCCGAAATATGAGGGCTCAACGAGCAGATTTGGTCAGAAAGAGGGAAGCTGAAGTTTGTAAGCCAAGTGATAAGTAGAATATTCGCTTTCTCACCTTTCAGAGCTCATTTTTTGCAAAGCCGTCATGAGGTGCCTCGAAGCCTCATAATACCCTTGTTTTGCCTCGACCATGACCCACTCCAGTTGGGGATCAAAGTCCGCGTCTAGGGGATTGGCAAAGAGTACATCGACTTCCGGGGGTAGTAACCTCACACCATCCAAAGGCCTAGCAGCTACGACTGCAATGACACACTTCGTCTGGAAAGCATCATCTGCAGGCGATAACGCAACTACCGAGCCACTGACCAAGCGCTTTGAGTATTCCCAAGCGATGTTTCTACCCGCTCTGTTTGTCGAAAATTGAAGCTTGAATGCTAGTCCCTGGCGGGCAAAGGTCAATCCTGTAACGTATACCTGCGTACATTAGCTGCTGACTTGGTGGAATGGGAGAATAACTTCACTTTCTCGTAGACAGACACGCTCTTGTCATCACACATATCAGGATCAGCTCTAAAGATGGCCACGGCATCCCGCAAGGAGGCCACAGCTTCTTCTCGAATAAGATCATAATGAGCCTTCAGATATGCATCCTTAGACTCCCAGGGGCCCTCGATCTTGTTTGGCTCAAGGTCAACGAACTCTTCGTCAGTTCCAAAGATCTCATCCGAAGATGGGAGCTCTGGCTTTGATAGCCACGGCTTCGAAGATAAAGTGTCTGGATCATGCTTGTGGAGGTCATCGAAGTATTTGCGAATGTCCTTGGTAACTATCGCAACCGTGCGTGCGTTCAGGGCTCTCGTGTTAATAGTTGCCGGGCTGCTGAGAGTGGTGCGTTTGAATCTCTCAGCTAGCTGAGCGTTGATTTCGTCGTCCGAGTCCATTGCCAGAGTAGGGTAAATGAAGGATTGGAGATAGTAGTGGCCAGAAGATGAGACCAAGGGGAAGGAGGAGTAAGGAAGGGGAAATGTGTTAGGGAAAGCAAACAAGAGAGGAGCAAACGAGACATGGGGGCTCCAAGGTCAGGCAGTCACTGCCAGTTTCACCTGTCCCTCAGTCCGTTTATCATCTCAAGTGACGTCTGAGTTCATTATGAATGTTCTTAAGGTTAATAATGTCACCATGGTTTTTGGTGACCTTGCATAGGCATCGGACGTGTCCCAATTGTATGCACCTTGCCTCTTTCCAGCTGTTCCACACTAATCATGTTGCTGGTCGAGATTCTTCGCCCACTCCAGTATGTACCCCGACTTTACTCTTCTCAATTTCCCATGTCATGTTCGTGAAGAAAGCCTTCTGTCACTGATGGAAGCCGAGCCCTGGAGAAATTGCACTAACCCGATTGGGACCTTTGACTCCTCAGGCGACAAGGCACTAATGCGGGCTAACGTGACGTCGGAACAATAATGCGATTGAGAAACTGGCGATAATTGCGAACGAGTTCTTGCGCCAGGATAGCAGTCACTCGTTGAATTTCATGTTAGAAGTCTACTCATTCACCTGTTCCGGAAAGAAAGTTGCTTCCATTCTAGGAGCGGGGACGACAGCTTCGGGGTCATGAGGCTCTGATCTCCGCACTCTCCTCCGAGGTCGCAGACGAAACAAAAAGGCCATCTGCAGCAAGGGAGAAACAGGACAAAGACGGACAACCCCGCGCGCTCGCTGTCTTACATTGCTCGCTTGCCGACTTTCACGAGCCACGGCAGAACTTCATCCAAGACACCATGACCTCGATTGTGGAGGACGAGGACGATCGAGACCTCGCAGGTGAGCCCGCGTCGCATTTCGTCTGAGCGGTAACTGACAGGTCGGCAATGATCTAGGCTCCCAAGATGGAAGCTCGGATAACGACATGGATGACACTCTCAGAGATGCGGACGACGCCGGGGCCGACAATGATCAGGATATGGATGCGGACGGCGACGCAGACGGCGACGCGGACGATCAGGATGCAGACAATGCGGACAGCCCGTCGAATGCCAGCCACGCATCTGAAAGCGCTGGGGTAGCAACGCAGCAAAACCAGGACACCACAATGACCCCTCCGGTCCCAGATAATACCGCATCCGACCTCAACTCCGTTTTCCATCCCACCGTGCGTCCCGAGTGCCTCACGGCTTCCAGCTACGATATAGTTCCTACGACGGCAGCGCCGCACAGTACATCGATTAACGCGATAACAGCGACGGCGGATATGCGCTGGGTATTTAGCGGTGGCTCCGATGGATACGTGCGGAAATTCAACTGGGTGGATTCTATCAACAGCAAGCTCATGTTGACTGTTGCGCAAAGGCATCCGTTTGTGGACAGCGTTATTAAAGCGGGTGTTCTGATGGGCTATTGGGAGAACATGGATGGCAACTCTTTATCACCAGTGTACTCATTGGCCAGCCAAAGCGAAGGGCTTTGGCTGTTATCTGGCCTGGAATCTGGCAGCATCCGGTTGCAATCAATCCGACACGATGAGGGCAAGGAGATTGCCCTGTTACAGCAGCATACTTCTGCAGTCTCAGTGCTGGCTTTAACGTCGGACGAAAAATCATTACTTTCCGGGAGCTGGGATAAGCGGATATTTGATTGGGACCTCAATACAGGACAGACCAGGCGCGTCTTTGGGTCCAGCGCCGGACAGATCTCAGCAATCCAACTACGACCCGAGTCTACCCTGCCCATTCCCAGAGACACATCTGAGTTCCAACAACCCAACGGGACTTATTCCTCCAACAATCAGACAAGCAACAGCTTCAGCTTTATGGACACATCAAACGACCAGGGTGACAATGGTGGCACGAACCCGCAGGCGGGTTCACCGACAGACTCGCTCTTTGGGGGAGCCGACTCCTTATTCGGCGACGCAGATGGGACGGCAGCCGATGGGCTGGGCTCATCAACAAACGCATTCGGCATAGATGATGACGATGAGTTTGGGAAAGCTCTCGCCAACGGTGTCGTCCCTGACGCCGATGCTCCAGGAGAGCCAGACACAATGCAACAAGACGGTCTTTTCGACACCACCTTTCACTCCAATGATACATCCGGAATGGACTTTAACCCCTCTATACCCGCTCAACCGTCAGATCCTCATACAACAGAAACATCGAACAACCAATCTCAACCATTAGTCAACGGCCTTCCTCACGCCGAAGAATTAGAACCATCCACACAAGGCCAAGAAAACACACACTCAACGCCATTCGAGGCGACTAACGTCAACGACAATACTTTTCTCGCTGCATCAATAGACGGCACCATCCGAGTATGGGACCGACGACAACCATCCGCCATCGCCCGCATCACACCCCGCAATTCCCCTCCCTGGTGTATGAACGCCTGCTGGTCTCCAGACGGAAACTACATCTATGCCGGCCGCCGCAACGGCACGGTCGAAGAATACAGTCTCCACAAGGGCCTCCGGGAGCCAGAACGAACGTTCAAGTTCCCGCAGGGAAGTGGCCCGGTCACCGCTCTCAAGGCAATGCCTAATGGCCGGCATCTTCTCTGGTAAGTCTCCTCCCACTCAAAGGAAAAAGGACAAGGATCTAACGAACCCAGCGCATCCCACGATATCCTCCGTCTCTACGATCTGAAACACGAACAAGCAACCCGCCACTCCACCGTCCCCTTCCTCATTATCCCCGGTCACCGCACCGGAACAGTCTCGCAGTTGTATGTCGACCCGGCGTGCCGGTTCCTTGTCTCAACGAGCGGCAATAGAGGATGGGAAGGCAGCACGACCGAAGTGCTATTGGGATACGAGATTGGCGTGCCAGTTGCGCGGTAGCCGGTCGATTTGGTCTCTGATGCTTTCCGGTTCATGTTCTTTGCGATACCAGTGGGGTGTGCTATATGTACTATACGCCGTGTCTTATTATACTTACGGGGTAGGGCTGAGCATTCTTGTTTGTTCTTTTTTTTTTTTTTTCATTTATACCTATTCATGGTCGAACAGGGTGTCGGATGTCTGGTCATACTAGCCACGATCTAAGGGTTGAGCATCTATAGAGTCTATATCTGATGAGCATGAAATCATATATTCGTACCAGACAGATTCATGTACACGTAACCCTGTCATAGCCATGTCCTCAGGCATCCAAATCCCAAAAAGCAAATTAGCTCTAACGCCATCCGAATCATATATAGAAACAGGTTGAAGCAAAGTAAATCCGACAGAATTCAAAGATCATCATCATTATCATTGTCTAACGTCCCATCTAAATCCAGCCCTTCGCAGATCTCGCTTTGTTGTGCTCGCCAGGAGCCAAACAGTGGGTTGTTCTCCCATTTCGCATGTCCCTCATCGTCGCGTTGAAAGAAGACATATCCGGGTTGCTCTGCAGGGTTAATTTCAGCATCCAAGTCAGCCGGAACACCCCAAGGCCCAGTGACAATGCGTCCGAAGCCCTCCAACGCCAGGTTCGGGATATGCGCGCGGGCCTCAATGTTGCCGTTCTCGATGTTGTTCACGGTAACAAGATACACAGGTGGGAGATTGGCGTCTTGCTCCGCACGCAGCGGCATAGAGATCCACGCCTCGTTGTTGTATGATTCGACCCTGCTCTTGTCGTGCCGTAGAGGAAGCGGGCGAGAAAGAAGCATAGAGTCCAACTTGGCCGAGTCGAGAAGTAGTCCAGGTGTCTGAAGGTATAGCACGCCGTCATATTGCATAAACTGGATTTGACCCAAACGGAGGAGCTTTGTGTCCGTGGCCGTGTAGCCTGCTGCTGTAGCAGCCGACATGTCTATGGGAAGGAGCCATATGTCGTACTTGAGGCTGGCGTCTCGAAGAAGAGAAAGTGCTGTTGAGACGGGCTTGGAGATAGTCATGGTGTCCCAGTATGATGGGTACATGAAGAGGCGATCGTGGATCGCGCTGTTGTTCGTAGAGAGTTGTTTGAACAAGAGCATGGCGGAGCAGATGTTGGAGGGGTCAGGGTCGGACAAGAGCTGGAGGTATGCATAGTTCCCTTCGACCCCAGGTGTGACTTTTGTATGTACTTGGGGCGGTTCTTCTAGATCTTCCTCGATATCGAGATCGGATAGTGGATCTTGGCTTCGTTTGTAGACTTGTGGATGCTCGGGGGGCCGAATGACATTCTGGATGGTCCGGACCGATTGCTGCTGGAGCGCATAACCCGACAAGAATAAGAGGAATGTGAATATCGAGACCACTCCAGTCGATAGAATGATGGAGACCGTGGAATGTGTCAAGAGCACCATGCTTCGTCTACTTGTCACTCTGAAATGATGGCCGCATGAGAGATCTTGCTGTTGGCAGTGCTGCGTGACACCCAGGGACAACCAGAATCTAACAAGGCAGTAAGAATAGTAATGATACTCGAGACGCAGAAGCAGATAGAGCTCAATCTTGAATGATGAAACAATGCAGGCATCTATACTGGAGCATAAGAGCGCAGCCCGTGTTGATGGCGGCTGGTTGCCGGCGCGATTATCGATAAGAGTCTTGGGCTCGGCCTTGGCTGAGATAACGTGACATCAATTTTCCTGCGCCGTCATCGACTCCGGAGTCATCTCCAAATTACTCTCTTCAAACCCGAACCCCAGGAAACTATCGCCATGGCCTCCCACCGCGCCGATGCTAGCACGCTCCTTGACAACCGGGGTTACACCGGTCCTCTGGTGCGCGGCCTCAACCCGGCGATGCTCTTCGAAAAAGCCGTCCGCGACCGAATCACGGAGTCCTACTACTGGAAAGAGCAATGCTTCGGTCTAAACGCCGCCACTCTCTGCGACCGCGCAACCGAGTTGACTTTCATCGGTGGAACCTACGGTGTATCCGAGAAGGCTTCGCCTTTCCTTTGCCTCGCCTTCAAGCTCCTCCAGATCAATCCAGACCGCGACATCATCTTGGAGTACCTGAACTTTAGCGATCCTGAAAACGAGACGGACGGTGCAGACGAGGATACGACGGCGGAAGAGCGTGCGCAAAACAGCGTTGTCAAGCACCGCGGCGACTTCAAGTACCTCCGAGCCCTTGCCGCATTCTACGTACGGTTAACCTGGGAACCGGTCGAAATATACAAGACGCTAGAGCCGCTTCTTCTGGATTACCGGAAATTGAAGAGGAGGGTGCGCGACTCGTTTGTGTTGACGCACATGGATCAGTTTGTCGATGATCTGTTGACGAAGGATCGTATGTGCGGTACTAGTTTATGGAAATTGCCATCCCGGCAGCAATTGGAAGATCTGGATCTATTGGATGTGCGGGAAAGCCCTCTGCAAGATGAGTTGGATGAGATGGACCGAAGCGATGACGAAAGTGGGCACGCGAGTGATGCTCGCTCTGAGGCGCGCTCCGATGACGCACGCTCCGATGCTCGTTCTGTTGATGGTCGATCTGATGACTGAAGTGCTCTGTCAACTTGAGCTCCATCTTTTATCGAGCGGTAGACAAGCGGGAAACAATCCTCACCGGCGAATACGGACCCCAAACAAACTTTGTCCGCGCCGGGGCAAGGAGATCATGATCTAGGACGATGCGTTCGCGCGGCTGGACAATTTTTACAGCTGTACTTACGGCGGCGGAACGTCATCTCATGATTGGAACACGGTCGAATCGATCAATAGCCACACGGCACTCAACCATACCCGCGTCGGGCACCACGATAGGTATCATACGCAACTCGAAACGGGTAGTTTCCGATTTTCTCCTGTTGATAGTCGCGAAGTCTTGAATCAAGCAGCGGTCTCCGGAATCGACAATATATACCATCTTGTACAGATATTGAATATAGACGAGTGTCTGACTAGAACCCTTGCTGACGATGCCACTTCTCTTCCCAACCCTTGAACCAGGGACTCTCATCCAATGTAGCCACCTCCCAGCTCTTGGGGGCAAGGCCACTTTCCTCCTGCTCTTTAGCCCACTTGTCGAGAGCCGGAAGTACGATATGCTCCACATGCCAGGTCCCTTTATACTCAATGAGATTCTTCTTTCCGTTCCTCATAATCTTCGCCAAAAGCGCCGGCACGCAAGGCTCGTCACGGAACTCGGTGACACGGGTGAACAGTGCCTTGAAGTTGAAAACGATGGCCGCGGAAAGAGGCAGGCGGCGCAATGTCTGCCAGTCCGTCCGCAGATGGAGATCTTCCAGACGCAAACTGGGATCCTGGAACTCGCGCAGCTTCTCGTGGGGATCTCCAGCGGGCATATGCAAAGGCTGTCCGATCTCGAGACCCCATGATCCTCGTTGAATGGGCTTATCAGCTGGCATCTTGGTAAAGAACCTGTGCGATCTGTCAGAGACGTCCACGAAGATTGAGTCCAAAAAAAAGTTTCCGACCTATTCATTGAGAACTCCATCCGTTCTTTGTAGTCAGGAATCTTGGTATGGATATGGTCAAGCCTAAGCCCAACCTTACTCGCGACATTCCACCCCATGGACGAACAAATCACCGCCGCGCGCAAAAAGTAATCGCCCGTCTTCTCATCTCGCAGCATAATCCCAAAATCCTCAGGCACATTATCCATGAGAATCTCCAGCGGCGGCTTTGCCCTAACATCCTGCTCTGTACCCAGGATCTTGTTCATAAAGACCCGCTTATCGTCGCTCAGCGTGAAATACTGCGGATACCGCGCGCAGTAGAACTGCAGCGCCATCTCCATGAGCTCTTTGCACGCGAGTTCGGAACCAGGCAGAGCACCTAACACGCCGCCGCCGTGCTTCGCAAACAGCGCCTTGCGCTGCGCAATCCGCTCCTTGTACGTGTTTTCTAGCTCGAGCCACCAATCGGTTTCGAGCTTTGTTAGGGCTACACGGCATGGCGTTAGCGTCAGCGTCAGCATCGGCCATGGCCCATCAAACACACAACACCACCCAGAGACTAGAGTACAACTGGGAACCTCCTGAAACGAGGGGCAAACGTACACATAGTCTGATGATACGCCCAGCGGAACGGGCGATACGGCCTGGCCAGGGCCCGGTCGACATCAAATTCCTCCCCATAAGCCGTCGGCAGCGGCACGCCGCTCAGCTTTGCGTAATCGGGGAAATCGCCCAGCGCCTTGATCTCGGCTACCGAGAACCCAGTCGGCGTGTATGCCTCCTCTTGGCACGTGCGGTAGTCCTGCGTCATGGGCAGGGGCCTCCGCAGGACTTCCGTCTCGGATACCTCTTTATATTTGTAACTGGCGGGCAGAGGCAGGGCTGATAGGACATGGCGGCGTTGTGGCGGGAGGACGGTTGCGGGGTCTGTTGGTTGTGTTGTTGATGTTGGCTTCTTCTCAGAGCTGGGAGAGAGAGAGGGCGGGGGGGTCTGGCTTGTTCGAGATGGGGGTTTGCGGCCGCGGAGTCGGTTGAGGAGATGCGGTGCGGAATTGGAGAGGAGCAGGCAGAAGCCGATGAGGGCGAGGAATATAAGGCCGCTGTATATATCCATGTTTTTTCCAGGTGCACCATGCGAAGCATAGAACGAGGAGAAAGGGGGGTTGATAAGTATTGAATGAGGAGAAGAGTCAAATCCAATCCCAGTGCTATTTCTTATCTACTTACCTGCGTAGACTACATACAGATCAGCCCATTTCTCTATCGAAGCCACTTGCTGTTCTCCAGCAATTACCTCAATCCGGCAGGTCAGGAACAACCCTCGCCATCAAATCCATACCCGTATCTATCTAGTCTACCCCGGGATCGCCTCAACGAAATTGGAAAAGAGACGAGACTTGTAACGATGGAAACAACGATGACGGTGAGGATGTGCAGGTGAGTAAGCTGGAAGAGGGGAAAGTTGGTGATGTACATTTCCTGATTGGGAAAAAAAGTCCCGGGCCCAGTGACGGGGGTTCTGGGGTTCCGGGGATGGGGTATCTGAATTGTTTATCATCGCGTTGAGATAAGAGATATGAGGCATCTCTATGCTGTTCATAATGGCATTACTTGGCATTACATTATGGGGTATATTGAGTTCTGCAATTCATTGAAGGAGAATAAGGTGTTGGATTGATAGACGTTAGGGCTGGGGGTTACCGTAGCCCGCCGCTGAGCGGAAACTCCCAACACGTCCGGGTGACTGGGGATGCCTTTGTAAAGTAGCACACCGAGTGATGCTGCATTCTATTCACAGCGACAAGACCAGCCGTGGACTCGAGGTCGTGGTATGTAGGTAAGCAGGATGTTGCTACAGGTGCTGCGGTCAGCTGGTCACGTTTTTTCAACCGAATAAGATGCTGTTATTATGCTGATAATACACTACTCCGATATCAAGACACGCCGAGGGGATGCTAAGTACAATCCCCTCCTAGATCAATAACAATTTATGTGACAAATGGGTATCATAACACCGCTGTTTCGCCGTGCAAAAATCGAGTAAAGATAGGGAAATTCGATGCATGATTCAAGGAAAATCGTCGGAGCCGGCGACGGCTAATCAGGGTTGGTGAGCTAGGCCAGTGTCAGTATGGGTATTTTATGAAGACGGATATTGCAAGGACTCACTCGAAGAACCGGCCGAGAATAGTCTTCGTTATCTTGAAGAGATACATCGCTATCCCGACGCAGCATTGCGCCCGTGTTCAAGCGGTTATCTGTGAAGGTGGGCATGCGCTGTGGGATGTTCGAAGACCCATTGGACAAGGTGTGGCTGTGGTTGTCTCCAATGTTGGCGTAGCTCATATTCGAGCCCTTGCTTTGCCGGCCGTCAATGCCGGCACCTTGGTAGGTCGGATCGTTATGGCGGCGCTTTGCGAGAAAGAAGATGATGGCGGCCACAACCAGTGCAATACCACCCACGACTCCGACGACAATTCCTGCAATGGACCCTCCGCTGAGGCCAGAACCAGAGTCGCTATCTTCTTGCTGGGTGCCACTTGTTTCCGCTGCCGATGTTGCACTCGAGCTGTCTACGGTTATGGTTGTGACTAGACCACCGTGGGTTTGGGTCTCGGTTACACTCGAGTGTGTGGTGGTCGTAGAATCTGTCGATGTAGTCTTCACACAGTCAGCACAGATATAAAGTCAGCGTTGAGAGCAGCGTAAACTAACCGAGGTTTCCGAGCTTGTCGTTGATGTCGACGTTGACGTCGATGTTGATGTTGACTTTGTTGATGATGCGCTCGCGGTTCCTGAAGGACTCCCCAGTTGGATATAGGCATACAGACTATCGTCCGCGTTACCGCATGAATCGTCCGGGTAACCGGGACAGCCATCGTCACACTTCGATGTGTCGACATTGTCATCATCGTTCGGAGCGATGTCAGAGCACCAGCAGTTCTTGTCCAACAGAATGGCGAACGCACTATCGCTGCAATGCTCCTCGCAGTTACCGTTCGATTGGTAGATGGAAAAGTCTTGAGCAAGTGTTAGCTCAAGTGCAACCTGTCATAGTACAAGACGACCTACTTGCAGACCCCGTCCCAGTGTTATCACTAGAGCAGTAAGTGAGGGAGCTGGTACTGTCCACGGAAATCCATAGTGTCGCCCATGCAAGCAGCGCCAGCAAGGGCGTGAATTGATTGTTTATGGATCGGGCCATTGTATTCGCCGACACCCCGACCGGAGGTACTCGAATCGTAGTCGTATATAAATGTCTCTTCCTTCAGACACTGTCCGAGTTTCCCGAGCCCCCCAATCTAGTAGCAACAATCGACCGGTAACCAGGATATATTGAGCGGAGGCGTTGGTTTGCGCGAAGATAAGAAAAATAAAAAGGAGATTCGTCTATAGGAGGGTTGCGAAATGGATGTGATTTGTCAGGGTACTGAGGTCGATTCGGGTATGATAGTGTCTGAACTTGCTCAGAGTCAGTCGAAGTCAAGTCTTGTGTCTCAAAAATTAAAGAACTCACAATGCGTCGGAGATAATCGTACGCAAGATGTGCAGATCTCGGAGGCTTCCAACTACAAAGCGAACGTAGTGTTTGACATGGGCGAAATGAGAGTCCAAGGCGACCAGGATCAGGAGAGTATCTCCAACATGATCCTCCGGTCAGGAGCAGCGAGAAACCAGCAAGAGCGCCAGGCAGTGCCGGTTCCGATAAACGAGCGATGAAAACGAGGGAATAGAGTCTGGGGACCGAGGATAGCACTTGGTGAGGTGAAGAAAAGATGATAGTGAAGGCAGGAGGGAGAAGTCGTCTCTTAGACTCTGACCAAGTTACCAAGCCCTTTCTAGTTCAGTCCTGAGTCGTACAGTCCCACTCTGTATTTCGTTACTGTACGGCAGAATGCAATCAATTCGTGGCAGGGGGCATTTGCTGAAGATTCTTTGATTAGTCTGGCAGATGGAATATACTGCATAATCTGTAATTGTATACGTAGCTTGTTTTGACTTCAGTACTCTGCTTCCTGCCTCTCCTAAGTGATCTTGAAGTCCTCAAACTGAGGTGAGGGATCTACAGTAATCGCGTAAACATCAGCCACACCATTTACAGAAACTCCGACCAGCCTCCGGCCGCGGTCAGAAATTAGAATGCTAGCCACATTAACACCCCAAGAAGTATGAGAAGAGCCATCTCCGTGCTCTACCAGATTTGTTTGCATATATTCAAGCCAGGAATACAATATTGCATTGCTTCTATCTGTGCGTTCCAGGGGAGATTGCAAGGGGCGCGCCGATCCTTAAATAGAACACTCAGGCACAAGCTCACAACTGCGTCATAAACCATGGAATAATTCTCGGATATTTAATGATCCAGCTCCCCGCTGTACCCAGCAACAATACCGGAATTACACAGTACGGAGATCGGCCAGTGCAGGCCTACGCAATCCCGCCAAGCGTGTTTCAGATCGTGTCCGTCCATTGGCTTATCGTATGCCTTGTGTATTTGCGTATCTCGTCTTTCTTTTTGAGTTCTTGAAAGTTGACAAACTCGCCACCGCAGATGGCATTTTGCTTGGAAGTGGGGAGTGCGATGATTGCCGGGAACTGAATGGGCGAGCTTTATGAAGATGTGCGATCTGATTCTCAAGCCTGGCTTCCTCAGTGGCCGACCAGTCTGGCGCTCCCGCTGGGTTCGACCTCCCACTACGCTTCCATGGCTAACCGTCCTATGAATCCATGGATTATGGATATCTATGAGAAAAAAACAAATAACAGTGCGCTGTTCATCTTCTGCTTTTTCGTTCTGAACCAAGTGATTGAACTCGACGAGCTTGAGCCATCTCCGGAGCTCCGTGAAATCTGATTCTACCAGCCGATCTCGTCGTTGCTAGCTGGCGATCAACCGAGGAGGGATAGACTACAATTGAGCCTATAAACCAGTCTTTGTCTCTTGATTCAGATCCTTGATGCATGCTGACCGAGTCCATCCATGCAGCAAACGCTCGCAAACAGGGCAGCATCCTGGCTCCCCGCCCGAGTATCGATCGGGCCCTGTCTCTGCAACGTCATCGACCTTGAGATGGCATCGATATTCAGGGGCAGCCAACGAGCCCTCGGCTTCTCACTTCATGTGCATGCTTGGCTTCATGGGATTGCATTCACCGCGATGCCTCTGTTGGCGCTCGACAAACTTCCAGTTCATGCGCTCGATACAAGACATTCGAACTACGCAGCGGGACTATCCCGAATGGTACGCTCGTGCATCCGAAGACATCAGTAAACCATGGAATGATATCTTTGACCGTGGACCAACCAATCGCATTAGTCTGCTCATGGTGCATGTATCTGAGCCCGGGCTTAGGACGCTGATAACTGCAACCCCGCCTTTAATCAATCAAGGTTCAGAACTTTAGTCTTGGAACTGCGATTGCAAAGAACAGTCTGGTCGACATCGCTGCTGTCCCAGTCTTCAGTTACGAGCGCACCTTACGGGAAAACAAACTCTCAGGCGGTGGTTGCTCCGTATCTCAGTACGAGCACTCGACTCGGCAATCTTATACTCAGCTAAGTTCATGCTAATTACCAACGGCCACGGTCAGCTACTCCCCTGCATAATATGTGGCTGGAATGGCCCGATACATACTAAGCATACACCTAAACCTTCTTGTTGTAATTTGAAAACAGGGGTTTATCGACCAACTCTAACAACCGGCTCATATTTGCCGAGCTCTGCGGAGCAACCTTCTTCGGGTTCTACTCGAGCCAGCCAGTTAGCACTCATGCCTACGGAGTATCTGCTCACACTCAGAGGAGTTCGATATATCTCCGTCCAGTGCACACTCGCATATGTACATCGTGCAAAGCCCTTGCTGATTCATTCTCCTCTTGACGGCGTATACCATACAGAACCCGGAGCATTCCGCCTCGCTCGGTCGGTATGCCACTCCAGTCTAACCCTTATCTCCCACCAGCGAGCGCAACAAACATACTATAAGACACCAAACTAACATACACAACAACTCAATAGTCATCAGACTGACACCTCTTACCATAAATAGACGTCAATATTCGGTGTATTGGTCTATAAAAACTGCATGTTCCAGACTCTTAATCTATAGCCCAGCCCGCCTCCACAATCCACTCTCACGGGAATCGCGGATGACGAATCCTATCCACAGACTATGGAATGATCCACCGTCAAGCCTCGACCTTCGAGTGGCGATTATCGCGCTTTCACCTCGGGCCTTGGGTAACCATACTGCCCTGCTTTATGGTCTTTTTCATTAAGACGCGGCGAGTTCCTGAGACCTCAGAATCACATTCATATCTATACTCGCTGGAGCAGGGTGCGCCGGGACAGTAGGCATCGGTGTCGCCCAACCATATGTACCTACATACTACTATTTCGCGTAGCATTTTCCTTCCGGTCGGGCCGCACCCAGCAGATCAATCATCTGCTCATCCGGGATCCAGATTGGCAGATTCCAGCCTGAGCCGTCACTGTCAGACTGTCAGTGGGTTACCGCGATTTGCTCGGCCGGGCCGTGGTCAGTGGTATGCGACATGCCATTCCCGCTCCCAGCCGCTCTGGAGACTGTTGAGTGTTGACAATTGCACAGAGAGAATGTGCTGCGGTCTGTGGCTAGTTAAATTATCTACACCCTCGAACCCAAGCTTATTGTTTTCGAAGAATTGTATGTTGATGGGCTGGTCATTGAACCATAGACTCCGGATACGTGGTTCCAAACCATACCACGGCGTTTTGACCATGGTCCCATCCACTGCGGAGATCTGGACTAGTAGTATATTCCGTAGTACAGTACTACGTACAGAGTAGACAGGTTGCTGAAGGGGGTCTGTCCTCCTAAGCCGGTATTCGAGACAGCGAGCTGCTGTGGCTTGGCTGAGCCTGAAGAGGAAAGAGGAATGTTGATGTCTCAGGCTTCCAGTATCTGGCATTCTGCGATTTTACGGAGCACTCTGTACAGACTAAGACAGAAAAATAGTTCTGGGTCTATGCTTGATCAGCAGGTACCGTCAAGATAGAGAAAGAGGCTATCATTTGTCCGGTCTCAAATAGCGTATGGCTCGGTGAGACAACATACCCTACTCCAGCAGCGCAGCTGAGGATGTATACATAGGTAGTAGTGGCCATGGCCCATATCATGCCCCGTTGGCTATTTATAGAGGTGTTCAATTCAATTCGTCATCAAATTCATAATCTAGCATGTCACATGGGGTTTCGTAATATCATACTCCGTATGTTTACTCCGAACGGGCGCACAGCCACAAGATGTTGAGGGCGGGCTATGTGTCGAATATAATGAGCGATTTCCACAGTGTAGAGTGTCCAACCTCCATCGACGCAGGTATAGATCCACACCGAGTAGCATCTACCACCGATCAGAGCGAGCCCTATACCGACCACCCTCTTCAATCGCAACAATGTCTTCCTCGCGTACCCTATCACGCTCTCTCCTTCTTCGCTCCTCCCTCCTGTCCTCGCGGTGTTGACGCGGAGGTGACGGCGGAACAGGAGGCGATGGAGGCCTCTCAGCAAGCATAGGGGCGGCTTTATTCGGCGATCACCGTGAAGACGAGGGCAGGGGCATTGACGCGCGCTCACGCTGGATCTCTTGAATACGACGCCGGCGTGCCCCTCGGATGTTATCTGAGTCTTCGATGAGTGCGGATACGTCGTCCTAATTGATATTCGTCAGCTAGAGTCCGGTTATAAAAGGATGGTGCTAGTAGAATGAACTCACAGGATGGAGATAAGAGAAGATATAGTAGGACGTGTCCAGCTCCTCGTACTCGTATCCTGCACGCTCGATCGCCTCGCGCACGACTAATTCCTTGGTGATCTCGGTCCAGAGGCGCTCGCGGCGGTCTTTGATGCCGATGTAGCGCGGGCCTACTTTGCCGCGGGGATTATCGCCTTTGGGTTTGGGATCTCTGACCTCGTCGATAGGGGGTTTGACGGGATTCCTTTTGTGTCGGGGCCTCGATGGTTCCTCGCGGACATCGACAACTGGGGGTTCTCTCTCGGGACTGTACTTCGAGGGCGCTGAGACAATGGCCCAGTCGTCCGTGCTATCGCTGTGAGGTGAACTTCGTCGGTAGTCTTCTTCGATAATCTCGCGCTCGCGCTCCTTGTATGTAACTCGTGGGTCAGCTCGCTCCGCTTCTACGAGGAGTTCCCTGCGTTCGGCAACTTCAGGCTGCTCGACTATGGCTATAGGCTTTCCTTTCTTCCGTCTAGGGCGCGAGTCGGATGACAGTTGAAGCGATTCTCTGCTTCGTCTTTCAATCTCAATCTCTTCTTTGGCCGCTTTCTCTAGCTTTTTTCTACTACGGAGTTAGTGTGTAAAGTAAGAAAACAAACGGCGATGGACATACCTATGACGAAGCTCACGCTCGTTGAGAACAGTCTCTAAACTTGGGACGCGAGGTGGACTGGGCGATCTCGGCGGGCTAGGGGGGCTAGGAGGACGAGATATTTGATGCACTGGTGCTGCTAGACGGTGAGCGGCTGCAATAAAAGCTTTGAAGAAACCTTACCATGACCGAGAGGTTTATGTCTCCTAGACGACTCTTTATAGACTGGTGGCACTGGGACTGGTAAAGGTACCTTGGGAAGTTCATCCGCAGACGACCCAGCAGATTCAGGCGATGACGATGACAAAGAGGATGTTTCTCGCCTCCGGGCAGAGTATCTTTCCTGCTCGACATGATTTCTCCGTACTACTCCCCGTCCACCACGTTGAGGAATAACATCCACACTCTCATCACTTTCATCGGTCTCCTCCGATTCCAGGTCAACATGGTAATGTGATCTGTGACGTGGGCGCGTAACAGCATTTGGACGTGGCCCTTTTCTTTCTCTCTCATATTCCTCAAGCGAGCGGCTGTTCTTAGGGTATAAGCCATCACCATATACTGACCGCTGTGCTCGCTTTTCTTCTTTCAAGCTTTTGCTGCGCGGTAAGGGCCCCTTGCGAGGATCCAGTTCATTCCGAGACATCGATCGCTTCTTTTCAATAAATTCGTCCATTTCATCAGATTCGCTATCGATATGATCGTGATCTGAATCATCATGAGAAAAGTACACCTCTTCGACATCCGAAATTTTTGAGCGTCGCCTGCCACGGTGTCTAGGTTGAGGTTGATGCCGTAGTCGAGGCTCGTAAGTGTTGAACACTTCTTCTTTCAACTTTCTAGCTTCTTCGGCGCGGTATGCGTCCAGGTCAAGTCGCGCGCGCCGTTCAGCAGCCAAAACATCGTCTCGGAGATATTCCAGATCTTCATGCAGGTACTCTGGCTTTGAGCGGCCTCTGTGGTTGCGACGGTCTGGGAGTATCTCAACAGCGGGTGGTGGTGGTGGTGGCCCTGGTGCACGGGGCATTCGATGACCATGGCCATGGCCGTGGGCGTAGCGTAGGTCCCGATCGATTTGTACTGGCTCGCCCTTCATATAGATCTCCTCCATGTCATCCATGACATCGTCATATACAACTGGACGGCTTCGACGGTGCATTTTGGGCTATAGAAAGCGATAAGATGGTGTGTAAAGAGCGAATTGTATCTAATAATGCGGAAAGGCTTCGCCGGCGCTTCAAGACGCTTGGTGATGAGGCTGTGGGGCGACTCTCTTGATGGATGTCAGGATCCGCGTGATAGTACCCACGATAAAAGAGCGACAATTGGCGGAAGGATCGTGGTCACTGTATTGGAAGACGTCCTGCTAGGCAGAAAAGCAGGAAAATCGTGATGATTGCATTGCGGTAGAGAGGAAGGGTCGTGACAGGTGAACGAGCGGATGTGGATGAGTCTGTTCTGCTGAAACGACCCCGCGGCTGTGCCAGCTGATGTCACACCGCAGCAGTTTGCCTGCTGAGCCTTCCATTCGTACCTACAGTACAGCCTACAGACTCTGCATAAAGAGTCTCAAGATGCGCAAACACGCATATTTGCGGCCAATGGTGCTTCTCGTTGCAACAAAAATGCCGAAAGAAACTGTGGTTGGAGGATTTTGCTGCGAACCAGGTTTCCAAGGTTTGCTTTGCCCGGGTTCGCCCATGGTCACCACTGCCTGTAGACGTTCCTCTCTCACGAAATCCGATGAGGGTGCAGGTGTGTTCCTCTTTTCCACAAGGTCTCCAGTTCATTCAAGACTCTTCCAATCTCGCCATATCCGGTACGCTGATACGCCTGCCGTAGTATATCCCGCAACATCCTCTTCATTTCCCCGTCATTGACTACAGCATAACCAAAGATTGATAAAGGCCACACCCCTAGAAAACATCGGCTCCAGGTTTCAACACAATTCGGCTGCCGAAGAAGGGGCAGAGCGCGTTCGACTTGCCAGCTGGATAAACCATTCGGATGAAAAGCATCCCTGTCCTCTGAATCCGCGCTCACTACATTGACACATAAGTGCCGAGCTGATAGTATTTCGGTGCTCCAATCCAGAAGCAAGGAAGCCGCAAGGATGTAGAGCGTCATGATACTCTTCTGAAAGGGATCCGGTTTTCCGACCCTGGCCTGTAATTGCATGTGTAGATGCGAGTTCGATGTTCCTGTGTCCAGTACAAGGGCTTCCCACCGCTTCATCCTTGTTCTCAGGTGGCGGAGAGCATCAGCAGTGATCTGTTGCGCAGGCAGGTTGCGAAAATCAATGATATCTAAAATAAGACGGTACAGTGAGACAGACACCCCAAGCACGGGGCTAGAGTGGTCCGCTGCATTTATTAACGCCTCGGTGCCTAGGATAACCTCACTTCTATAGAGGAGTTCTGAGTCAATATGAAAGTTTGGCGCAAATGGCCGCCGGATTGAAAGTAAAAGGGCCTGGTATATCACGCTTTCTATAGTAAGACGGTCAAATGGCCTTGTCATCGCTAGTGGTAGAGCTTTGTCGTATCGCAGGTTGAGTAGCTTAACAGCGCCAGCTACATGCCCACGAGGGTCAAGGGCCGTGTCCTGGCCCCATAGCTGTTTGCATACAATATGTTACCGGGTGAACATCAAAGGATTTCAGGGGCAACCTACATCGTAGATGTATAGATAGATGACTGTCGTTATGAGTGAGATGCTAGGGACGGTCTGATCAAAGCACAGTTTTCCTATAGCTCGTTTTACATCTTCCACTCCACGCGAATAGTACTCAAGGGCAACCTTCTGATATTGGATATTGTTGGTGAGTGCATACTTGTTGGACGCAGCACTCGCCAAAACAGCCCATTTGACGCTTTGGCATTGAAGCATCATGTTGACGAGTTCAAAATGATATTCCATAAGGTGGGACCTGTCCCAGGTTGGAAGCACGAGCACTGGGTGGAATACATTCAGCATATGGTAAGTCAGCTCCAGCTCCAGCTCGGAGCAAATGGAGGAATGGCTCAGGCTCAGGTTTGTGGTGTATCTCGTGGTACAAGGGCTTGTTTCTCGAGACAATGCACTGCTCACACATTCCGGTGACGATAAACGTGGTGTGGGCCGGCGTTGACTTGAATGGCGATGTCGCCGGTCAGAGAGCTCCCTCACAGTGGGCCAGATACACTGGTCGTCTCGAACTGAGCAATTCCGGCATCGGGGTTTCTCCTCCCCGCATTTTACCCGACGATTCCTGCCTGCAAAAAGGTCAGCAGGTGCTGAACGCGTGGTTGACTAGGCTTACAGGTGATGCATCCTGTTTTGGTTCGCAGCCTGGCGTTGCTCATGATTAGCCCCCTGTTGTGGATTGTATCTTTGTCCGTGCTATAAGAGGAGGGTCGATTCAGGTAGAGCAGACCAGGGTCCAGAAGATGCGATTGCGATGTTATCTCTAGCCAGCAAGTGCGGGGTACATGAGGAGCTAGCTTCTTATCATTCTCCAGGCTACAGTATCTGAGGCAAGATCTATGGCCATAATGTCACGGGGTGTGAGTTAATGGTTGGCAGGAACGACTTCTACAAATTGAGTCCTCAACTCTGCACGATGCTCGACACCACTTCAGCCGCAGCTACGGTTTCCTCATCCCGAAAATGCTTTCCTACCAGCTGCAACGCAATCGGGGCCTCTACAAAAGTATCAGGGACGTCTACAATTCACTCCGTCAGCGAGTTCCACTGCATTGGGGACATTATACTCACACTTCTTGTACTCACGTTCGTCATCCGCAGATCGAGGCTTATATTCCTTTTCAACAACGTCAATCGCCGGATCGACCTTCAGGCCCGTTGGGAAAGTGATAGCAGGTTGGTCAAGGATGTTCCAAATCGAGGTATAGTGGAAGTATTGTCCGCCGCCCAGTTCCGCTGCTGCCCCTATGTACGCCGGACAGAGGATAAAGTCAACACCCCGATCTTTCATGGCTTTATGATAGCTGGATCATGTTAGCAATCATGGGTGGTTTGAGAGATTGAGCTTACGCATCACGATAGGCGTCTCTGCGCACGTTAAAGGCCCAATTCTCTGTTATTGACAAGGGCTCTGGCTTTGCCTTATTGAAAATCCATTCTGTCAGGAACGCTATCGGCTCTCCTGTCTGGGCGAGAATCTGTTTTTGAGTCTGGGCCCCGTCCGGAAAATATAGAGCTGAGACGATGTCTATCCCTTCTTGGTGATCGTACGGCTCGAAATCGATTACCGTGGCGCCCGCTTGCATCAACTTCGCTTTGGCCTCATTCAATGCGCGGATAACTGGCGGGTGAGGGTGGATGACCCTATAAGGCTAAAGTCAGCAATAGAAGCCCGTCCATGGCCGAAAGGATACTGACCCATCATCCCAAATGATACCTATGGTAAGCTGCTCCGGCTGCATTGGATCAACCCTTCTCCATGGCATTGGTACCAGCGAGGTTTCCTCCTCCCAGGGTTCCAAATCAAGCAGCGTCTTTTGAAAGAGGTTGATGTCTTTCACCGTGTTTGCGAGGGGCGAGATAACGCAGCGAATGCTTTCTTGTCCACCGCCGGCAAGACAGACTCCTTTATAAGGGTTGCGCAGCGCAGTATTTCGTAGACCATATGCACCGCAAAAGGCTGCCGGTACTCTCACAGAGCCGCCAATGTCCGTGCCAATTCCCAATACTGCACAACGAAGACCTAATGATGCACCCTCGCCACCGCTGGAGCCACCGGGTGTCAACTTTCGGTTATGAGGATTCACTGTCGTCCCGTAAATGTTGTTGCTACAATCAATGTGCTGGCTATCGATTAGCACATCTTGAACTCCTGATCGGAAATGACTATGCCTACCATGACACTCTGAGGCTCATTCGTCCGGACATGGAACACAGCGCCTGCCTGCCTTAGCAGACGAACGATCAACGCATCCTCCTGCGCAATATTTTCCGTCCAAGCGACATATCCTGAGTGGCAGATGCGGCCCTTGAATCCAATATGCTCTTTGGTCGAGATCGGGATACCGTGAAGGGGTCCTTTGAGCTTTCCAGTCGCTTGGAAGTGAGCATCAAGCTCGGCTGCAGCCTTTAGGGCATCCTCGACCATAAACTCGGTCGCGAAGTTAACAAGCTGGTGGGCGATGTGCGCTCGCTTGAGAAATGCAGTGGCAGTCTCGACTGCAGACAGCTTTCCTTGTCCCATCTGATCAACCAAATAAGTTGCATCACTATGGGTGATTTCCAGCTCGCGTGAAGTAAGACGACCACATGTCTCAATGAAACTAGAGACATTAAGCCGATCTGTCGGTGGAAGATCTTCGAGGGGCAGAAGCCACTCTTGGTTCAAGGAATTGCTTAAGACCTTGCGGCAATGCTCGCCCTTGGTCTCCCATGGAGCTTGCGTCATGCTTGCGAATTGGGAGGTGTGTTCGAGTGTGTCCTGAATTACTGGACATTTAGGATGGACGTGAATTTATAGCATTCCCTGGCTACTCCTGGCCATGTCCTACAACCGACACGCGGATCGTCCTCCCTTAATCGATACAGAGATCGTGAAGTTGCTGTATCTCGGACGGGCCATGGACTGCTCGGAGTCTGAGATATCTACTCCAAGAATCATGCCCTGATGCCTCGCAAATAACCGTGGTTGGTTGGTTCTCTCGCAAATACCCAGGATTGGTTAATGATCACTAGACGACGCCTATCTGATGTCCCATTTGGGGGTTCGCAATTAGACGCTATTGGCGAAATGTCTCCCACCGGTTGGAGTCTAGATGCGGGATCTTGTTGGCACCTTCGTATCAACCTCTGATAGTCCAGCAGAGGTCGACGATAAACGTTTGGAGAAGATATGCACCTCCATCCCTTGCCGTCCTGGTATCTACGAAGCATATTCAACGCCGGCCAGTTAAGACAGCACCATGGTCCATGGTCCATGGGAATATAACTCCGTGGATCTGGTCTGGATTCCTGTTTCCCACTCGTTGTTTCGTTCACTTTATCACTCCAAGGGCATTCTCATTGTTCTGATCCGCAACTGGTTGTGCCTCAGAATGTCGTCGCCATCATCCTCTGATTTCATCCCAGGGACCGTCCATCTAGTCGATCTTGATAGCACAATATCATCCCGTCACGCTAAAGGTGCGAGCCGTGATGTGGTGCTCATCCCCACACCCTCAGACGACCCTGATGACCCCTTGAACTGGAGCCCAAGGAGGAAGCTCCTCTTTCTCAGCTGCATTTGCGTGTAATGCATCCGTGCCTACCCTCAAAAATACTTGGCCTAACTACCTCACAGTTACTGTCAGGCAGTCGGCATCGCCTCTGCCGCGATATACTCGGTTCTCGTGCCCATTTCAGACGCCACAGACCTAACAGTTGCCGATCTGAACTCTGGAACTGGCTACATGTTTCTCGCGTTCGGCTGGGGCTGTCTGATCTGGCAGCCCTTGGCTCAGAAATTCGGTAAACGTCCAATATACCTGCTATCGTCGTTGGGAAGTATGGTGCGTTGTTGCTCTTGGAGCTGTGTCCGTCGTGCGCTATCGAAGATCTCACAATAATTAACCGTGAGGTGACAGGGTACAATGCTGTGGGCACCCTACGCGACGACCAACGGCCAGTGGATTGCGAACAAAGTCGTCCAGGGTCTAATTGGCGCCCCTATCGAGTCTTTATGCGAGGTCTCCATCGCCGACGTGGTAAGTCATGGCAAACGAGAACATGAAAGCATCAGCCAGATCATAATAGATATGGCTTTTATAGTACTTCACTCATGAACGAGGCACATATGTCGGACTCTACGCCCTCTTTCTAGTTGGCAGCAACTTCCTCGCACCTGTCATCGCGGGCTTTATCAATGATGGTCAGGGATGGGAATGGGTTCTCGTATGTCAACAATAGATCCAGCAGCAGCATCACACTAACCTGCTTGACAGCACTGGTGCGCTATCTTCTGTGGCGCCGCGTTCATCATTCTTCTATTTTTCATGGAAGAAACAAACTTTTGCCGCTCAGCCACTACCGCAGCAACTCCTCCCAGTCCTAGCAACAATACGTCCAGTGCGCCATCTCTCAATGACCCAACATCAACCTCAGACGTGGAGAAAAACACCCAACCACAAACGCAAGGCATAGATACAGCCCAGGGTGAGATGGAAACATTATCCAAGAAGAGCTTTCTCCAGAAGATGAAGCTTGTCCGACGCGAAGACCTGCAAACCAAAGTCCCCGTGACAGGAATGGTCTTGCGGCCTCTGATCTACTTCTCCTTTCCCATAGTCGTGTTCTCAGGCTTCATGTACGGGGCCACGGTCTGCTTCTTCAACGTGCTAAACGGCACCGCGTCGCTGATCTTGTCGAGCGCGCCGTATAACTTCTCCGCTAGTATCGTCGGTCTATCATACGTTTCATGCCTGATTGGTGTGGTTATCGGGTATGTAAAATTCCTTGAATATACCGCACTGCACTGCTAACCAATCCATGCTGAGCATATAGATCAATTTACGCAGGCCCGGTCGGCGATAAATTCATCCTTTGGCAAGCGCGCCGAAACAATGGGATCATGGAACCCGAGCAGCGTCTCTGGCTCTACGCCGCACTGCTCATCGTTCTGCCCGGGGCGCTGCTCCTCTGGGGCGTAGGCGCCGCGCACGAGGTCCACTGGTTCGGTCCGGTTTTTGCAATGGGTGCCCTGGCTGCGGCAATGACAGTCGGCTGCGGATTACCCATCAGTTACTGTATCGACTGCTACAAGGACCTCGGCGCGGACGCAATCGTCACCGTCATCCTGATCAGAAATACGATGAGTTTTGCGGTCAGTTACGGGTATGTTTGCAACTCGGTCCATGGCCCACTTTCTTTCCCTTCCCTGATGCACACTAGCTTGGTGTTCGGGCTGCCGCTAACTCTCGATAGCATCACACCCTGGGTAGAGAATCTAGGCTATCAAAACGCTTTCCTCATAGCGGCCTTTGCTGGGCTTGCTCAAACGGCGGTATTTTTCGTCTTTGTGAAATGGGGTCGACAATTTCGGAAAACGAGTGTTGCGCAGTATTGGAAATACGTCCAGCAGCTCAAAGACGATGGATTGCTGCACTGATTTTTCCTTGCCGCAGAGCGGCAGAGTTGGTTGGGTTAGAGAGGATAGAATGCAGTATAGAGGACAAGTCAATGAAGACTAGAATAATCAAATAACCACTTCATGAGACATTTGTACACGCTTAGGAGTATTTCATCCAAACGTAAGTCGCGTCTGCTTTTCTGATTTGCCTCCGCGCCCACCGCGAGAAGGCTTTCGAGGGTTCGGCAACTGAGCTGCTTGGGAGCTTCTGGAGGCTTGCCTATCTTCCAACTCAAGATCCTTCGCAAAGTGAAAATCCTGGTGTTCCTGTTGTTCATGAATTGGAATGCCCTTTCCACAACGCGGGCATTTGAAGGTGTTGGGGGATGCTGCCGCTACTTGGGCCGTGGGCGAAATGTTATCCGTCATCTGTGCATCGTTAATGTTGACATCCGATGTATCAACAGCTACGTATTTTTCCATGCCCGAGCCATTCGGCTTGTTGAAGAAACGTTTCAGCCCACTATCTTCGGTCTTTCTCCGCTTCTCGATAGACTGTTGCTCCATCGGTACCTCATCCATGGCGTGAATCCGAGTTGAAGCCAACGACGCCGCATTTTTCGCCTGGTCGCCACGTAATAGAAAGCTATAGCTGTCAATTGCCCGGTTCCGAGACACCCCTTCTTCAAAGCCACCAACGCTCAACGAGATATTCGAACACGGCCACGCAGCCCCATCAGCAGCGATCTGTCGGAGTAGTGTCTTCCCAAGATCAAAGAGCAAGTCTTCATCGATAGTAGCAGACCCCGGGATTGGCAACTGTCGGGATTTCACCTGTGCGCCTTGTCTATGGTGCAATGCGGCTGTTTTGGGGCGGCGTTTGTGCTCGAGGACACCTTCTTCCACGAGGCGGCCGTATATATCTGCCGCAAAAATACGCAGCCATTTGTCTGCTTGGTCGAAAGTATTTATACTCGGCCTGAACGATTTTGCAGAGAGCATGGACTTGATTTGGGTTCTGGGGTTGACTTCGGTCTTATCTTCGCCGCGAATGATCCCGTACAGCCATATTGCCGTTTCATCGTTCAACTTGGCGCGGAATTGTTCGAGAGATACGTTCAGTAGGTCGCTGACTTGCTCTGTTCCAAACAGTGCAGTGACCTGGTCGCCAAGTTTGCCGCCAAGCATGCGGATTTTGGTGAACTTGAAGCCGCCGAGGAAATTCTGGATCGCTCTCGTGCGCACAATAGTTTGCTTGTTGGGCTTGTTCGTCGCGCTGCCTAACTTTGCCATCATTTTGTTTTTGGCGATGCCAGCGGAGCAGGTGTAGCTTAGGGTATCCCAGACAGCTGTTCTGACGGCTCGGACGATCTCGGCCCCGATGAGCATGGCGATGTCGTCCCAGTCGGGGTTGTCAACCTCGGTCTCGTTCTCGTCTAGGTCAACCAAACAGTCCTCTGCGTTCCAGTCCAGCGCAGTCGTCGGCGGGCAAGGCAGCGGTGCAACCTTATCATCGCCGTGCGGCTTCTCCCGTAGCTCAGGATACCGCTGGAGCAAAACACCGAAGACCAGGGTCGAAAGGTCAATAAAGACCTCGTCGACACTCGCTTTCTCAACGAACGCTTCCTGTATCTTGCCCTGACTGCCCAGTCCCAATCCCGACAAGCCCCCACTAAGATCCGTATACCACCTAGCCAGCTCCTCCTTAACCGTCTTCAAGATCTTCCGTGATTCCGCACGGTACGGATCAAGGCAGACCTTGTCGGTACCGATACTCTTCCACGCATCCGCTCGATACGCCCACTTGCCGCCCTCGCCCTCTCGGAAGGTCGCGACATGCTGCAGGACAATATCCGCGCACTTGGCCTTTGCCTCCCTCGCGCTGATCATGCGTGTGATCCCGAACGCGCGTGCCGGATAATTGATCGCAATCAGCGAGTCCCACTGCTGCACGGCGAGCGGCGTCTCGCGCGGCGTTCCCAGCCGCACCATCTCGCATTGTGCATAGAAGGCATCGAGGTCGATGTGGGCGATTACGCGGAGAGGGGAGGCAGGGGACGCTGTTCGGAGGAGATTCAAATGCCTGAATGTAAAGCGGGATTGCGCGCGCTTCAGGGAGTCGTTGGAGGAGGGGAACGGCGGGGAAGGGGGCGAGGGTTCTGCGAAAGAGCGAGGCATTTTCGTGGCAGCGATGGGATACCCATGTCGGAATAGACTATGCTGATGGGTGATTGGAATTGAAGGCGTAGATGTTAGATCTCATAGTTTGCAGATCCTGAAATTTATTCCAGGCTTCTGGTCTGGATCGCTTGTTGCGGTTCCCGGCCATGGCCCGGATATCCCTATTCGGGTTAGTCCCACTTCCCACCAGGCTCAAGGGCTTGTTATGGGAAGTCGACTTGCTCTACAGAGCGCCATATGCTTAGACAACTCTCTAAGAGGTCTTTTCTGCAGTTTACATATGCTCTTGCTATAGATTGTGTTTTTCGAGCAGTCTCGTATGCCATTCAGTGCTCAAACTCGTGCGGCAGTAGAAATATATCTTCAGGTCCTGTTGAGTACTAGAACCACAATTCAAACAATATTCTTGCATCGGTCGAAAACTACAACGCTGTGGTACCTTCTCAAAATTCGAGGACGAGATCTTTATAATTAAGAGTAAAGGATACTTAGAGAAAGATCTGTTCAAAAATGAGCAAGTCTCCCGTCCATAGTGTCTTTTGAATAGTACCATGTATGAAGATCTACTTTAGAAGGCAAGAGCAGCCACGACCATGCCGGTAGCTCCTTCCTATCCTGGGTGACTCGTAGCTTGCGCCTTCCATATAAGTAGCCTACTAAGTAAGGAAAGTGCGATGGAGGAACAGACCAGGGTCGTTCCTCCCTCATCTGTGTCGTACCTTAGCGGGATAGTGCACTAGATCCATACAAATACCGCTAGACCATAGAGGCCATTCTTTTGACTTATTAATGGAAAGCGCTCCTTGAAGAAAGCTCAGTCACTCATCTCTTCGCGCCTAGCCTACGGCCTACCATATAACCATGGTCCTGCTACTTAGCGATACGTACTGGTGATGCAGTCGAGAAGTTGGCACGGATTCGCTCGAGATGTTTAGAGACCCTGATCATGTTTATCCCTTGCTTTGATGCCGCCGCTTTTGCCGTCGAAGATAAGGTGGTGTTGACTGCTGGCTTCACCAGATTGTCGAGAATGGATTTCTCTTCATCTTGATATACCAAGGCTCAGAGAAGACGCGCAAATCGAGAGAGCAGCTGACAGTACCTGCTTGGGCCCTGGGCACCAGTACACGGTGACCCCGGACATATGAGCAGGTTCAATGCGATGAATAGCGCGCCACGTATTCAGGTGGTTTCAAGTCCCGTCGATAGCCGTCACGCACAGCTCATACCGTCTATCAGCAAGTTTGCTTACAGAAAATGCGTCTCAGACAGTTCGCTGGACGATCGAGCTCGGCCACGTCCCGGGCTGCAGCGGCAGTCGTATCAAAGCTCGACAGCGCTGAGAGAATTCCTATGCGGCATTCCAACGTGATAACGCTCTGATTCGAAACAGCGAAGCGAGCGAGGCATCTCGGATATCGCTCCCTGCGACAGATGAGTGGACAGAATGTCCGACGCAAGGAAACGGTGATGAAATATGGAAGGAGGCGTTATATGTATTGACATGCAGCAGCTGGCATGATGGCAACACGTTCGGGGCCCCAGGAGCCAGGGCCCAAGCACTCGAAAGAGCAGTGAATAACCATGCGCAGTGTGCGCACGGTGACGGAAGTCGTCTGTTTTTAATGATATTCAGGGAGTCGACCGGTCGAACAAGGTGTGCCCTGTTTACAATAGCATGTGAAAATCTTGGTAGGGGCAAACGAACGGTGCTGTTGAGAAACGCCGAAACTGAAGCAGCTGATCCCACGATGGACCGATGGGATATTATTGATATTGCGATGGACCAGCGGCAGCCGAGAGTGAGGTCATCTGCAATATATCTGAAGACCCGCACACAGGCTGGTTAAACAATACATTGTTGCCAGAAGCGTGGGCCCAGTCAAGCTCTTTTCTTAGATGCGGCAAGCTGCACGCTGGAAGGCGACACTGTCCCAAGTCTCATCGTTGAAGAACCATCACCAATGCAGGGCCAGTGCTAGGCGAGAATCGAAATCCAATCAACGATTAACCTGTTTAAAGAGTGATTGGACAACCACGTCCCAACCCCCAGTGATGCAAGGACTGAGGAGTCAGGACCCAAGGGTATGGACGGCCCGGACGGAATGGAGCCTTGGTTCGCGACCGCATCGAAATCTATAAACATTGGGCGACATGATTAGTGGACAATGGAGTTTGTGAAGCCGAGTATGGAAGCATCCGCACAATAATGCCCATCTGACATCTTACAAGTGCAGCGTGCCCAAGCCGCCACACGCATGACTGCCCAACGCAAGATCCTATTCCAGTGCCTCACTGGCTGAATTCAAGGTCACCGTCACCCAGCATCAATGGAGGCGACAAAATCATCCAGTCAATGACAGGAACGCCTTCGAAATGTACAATTGACTGGCTCTATACAGTTCCAAGAGTGCGAAGCGACAATCCTTCCACAAGCACTGGGAAACAGGTGACACTGTATATCACGTAATCCGCATATGGTAACTCGAATAACCGGGGGATGCTAGCCGCAGCTTGCTTGCTTGCCTCTGGGATGCATTCTTTGTGAATAGATTATGAAGCATCAACAGAAGAAAAGACGAGCGCTCGTAATCAGTTTGCCCCGGAATCTGTACGTCGCATCCCCGGCATGAAACTCTCGATCGGAGGCTGGGCAGAAGCCGCTTGGGATGAGGGAGAAGCCTTGTCTGTGGTACCAAGTGAGGCAAGGATAGTCATCGAATAATAGACGAGGTGGACTGCTGCCAGGCGCGAGAACCTGTCAGTCAGTCAGTCGTTCAGGCGCTGACCTCGGAAGTCGGTATGGAAAAGAAGCTGTCTTCTGCGCCTGTGTCCACTTCTTTTTGCTTCTCAAGCTGCCCTCATACTCAGTTCCAGATTGGGTCTATCGTCCTCCAGATAGTTAGTTATAGTACGGATAATTCGGAGATGTAGTTGGGTGATACTCTGCTGATCTTCCAGGCTGGGTCTCGTCCAATAATAAGGACCAGCAGGCGGGAAGAGACAGCACTGCGACACAGTGCTGGAGCAAGTCGTGGACCATGATGGGCCATGGCCCATCAACGTCGACGGGCTTCGATGGCCAAGCGCCTAAGCCTTATTTGTCTGGCCGTGCATGCAAAATCTGGCGTTGTCTTTGCTGCCGTTGCGGTGAGGTGGAGTCATCTTCAATCGTGGCACCAGCAGCCCAAACCCGGCCCAACGCAACAGCCCAATCAATCGCTGCCGGAGCACAGGCACAAAAAGTTCAAACCCACATTGCCCCCTCGCAGCCTCGCTCTTCAGCGCTCCCTTCTTATCTCGCTGTCTCGCGTCTTTTCCTCCAAACCTTCTCATCCTCCTTTTCTCCCTCCTCCATTCCCAGTCACGTCCTTGCCCTGGTTGCTATCATCGGCTCCCAGCTTGCATAATCTGTACAAAAACATCGCTGGAAAACGACCAACGGCCTTGAAACCTGGATCCCCTTAACCCCTCTTCTAGTCATCTTCCGCCCACCTCGTTATCCTGTCTCGTGGCCTTCGTCACCTCGACTCTCTGCATCAACTCCCTGCTGGATACTCCCGAGGATCATCACTTTACTACCTGACAACCGTGGACAAAGAATTCATACACCGGGATTTCTTTCTTTTCGTTATCGCTTGGAAAGCCATAAACCCCATCTGGAACCTATCATCTCACGCCTCTATCCCACTTGGAAAACCTTGTCAAATCAAATTCAGATTTGCTATATTTACCAGCCTTGGAGCTCCAGCCTCATAATTGCCTGTTTTGTTCTTGAAGAACATCAGAAATTGATATCGCCTGTCACCACATTTACCTGGACTTTCCGGCCTCTATTTCCCTGGACTCCCTTTGGCCATTTGGATCTTCCCACTCTGTCTAAATAAACACCGGATACTCTTCCCTGGACAAGATGACTAGCCGTCAAAATGAATACTTTATTCCCGGAGATGGTATTAGCCGCGAAGTAATTCAGGCCGATATCTGCCGCTACCTTGGAAATGATGCTCTAGTAAGACCTGGAAACCACAATGTCCGTCTCCCTGATCCTTTGAATCGACCGCGTACAAGTGCCAAAGCAGCTGGTCTCGATGAGTCGAACACCCGGGTTTTCCTTACTGACTTGTGAATAGGGTCGCGGTGGCTTCTTCATCCGCGCATATCGAAACCTCACATCAGTATGCTCCTTTCCAGATTTTGGTATTTCGGGGAGGCGAACTAACGTATTTGTCCTCCAGGAAATGATTGCTGATCTCAAAGCCGACTCCGCTCGATGGGAAGCGGACGTGAGAAGTCGCGCTGACCAAGGCTACCCCCGGGGTAGTTACATCCAGGACTACAGCTACTCCCAGCCCAGCCGGGCCACACCCACATACTCGACCTCCATGTCAAGTTCTATGCACCCTGAAATGTCCCATGGTCAAGGCCCTTCTCCTCCCACAACCTACGCTGCACCACCGCAGCAGTATTCGGAGCAATATCACCAGACTGGCTACCCGGCAACCTCAAGTCCGTCATACTCAAATGCTCCTTCCTATCCTGCAAACCACTCGGGCTTCGCAGCTGGTCAGACCCCGTACCCTCCTCAACACATTCCCTACAGTGCTCCAAACCAACCTCCGGTAACTTCTGAGGTCCACCCTTCATATACTTACGCCAGCTCTGGCTATGGTTTCGAGAACGGGCGAAACAATGCCCCTCGGTACCCCGGTCCTGGATATGATGCCGATGCTGATTATTCTCCTGTTACCACTGGAATGGCTTATCCTGCTACCACTGCCCCCGACCCACGGATAGGAATGGAGCCCAGATACACTCCGGAGTCTACGTATGACCGCAGTAGGCCGCAGCCAGCGAGAGAAAGAGAGGCTCCCCGCCGAACGCGGTGATCAAGAATGATTCCACCGCTCCCTGCGAGCACAGGTGTTTTATGTCGATGCCTGTGTTTCCTGACTGGAAAAGCCGCGGGATTAATGAATTTTACGTCATGAGATTTTTTTCCTCTGCCGCTCATACCCTGGAGCCTCTACGGATCTCTTTTTTTGCCTACAGGAATATCATGCCGGAAAAGTGTGCTTGAATCATTGTTTCGGGACCGATTGCAGCCTTGGGGAAGCGAACCTTAGAATACCGGATCTTGCTCTTTTCACCTGGACGTTGTGGGGCGTCGTTGACAGTTTTGCCGAGTGTCTCTCCATAGGCGTCGGCTGGTTCCGCAGGATGTGTCCCTTGCTCGCTTTCATGGAAGACCACGTTGGCGTTTCTAATGTAAAGATCCACCAACTGTTTGTGATGCTTATGAAAAGGTGGCTGTTTGGCTGATTCATTGTAATGCTCACGGCCGCCTGATGTCTTTTATACCTTGTCTTATTCGGCAACTGGTCCGCTCCATTTTGGTTTTTCTCGTGGTGTACTCCCAGCGGTTGTTGCCCGGTTCATTTGGTGCCTCCTAATATGTTACGAGGGGCGTTGTTGCCACGACATGTTTTGCCTGAGAGGTTGCAATATACCCCGGCTGTGTGGGCGTTGATATACAGTGATGTAGATACGAGCATATATGGCGTTTTCTCTGTCAAACCTTCTGACGTTGTTGTTTCAAACTTAATTGAAGATCTGCTTACGGGCTTATCCAGACCTGTCTCTCCTCCAAATCCTCTGAGCCACATCATCAAGACTAACCCTCTGCACTTTCCACTGAGCTTTTGATATCTCATCGTTCCATACCTTGCATGGGTCCCCTCGTCATCATCTTCAAGAGCAGAGTTGGCATCAATGTGTCAGCATTTTCACTATGGTTGTTAGGGAGCTCAACCCTTCTCAACCCTTCTATCCTTCCATAGCCCTTCCCAATGGGCCATGGTTCCTGCTTCCCTGGGCGTAATTAACTCTCAAGGTGGATCCAGTGTCAAGCTCCAGTGAGTTCAACACAACACTATGTCTCTCCCTCCTTTGTTTATTATTCACTCATCTAGTTTGCTTCCCTGCGCCTGCATGCTGTCACTGTTTCTCTTTTTTTCTCCTCGAAGATTGATTAGTGCTGTTTCCACCGATGTCTTGGAGTTGCATTTTTCCTCTTTAAATATCAGCTGGCCAACGCCCAAGGCCTCTTGAGATGGCTCCAGGATCTTTCCCCAAGTTTGCTGATGGTAATGTCAAGATAGCTGTGCTGCCAGATATCTACCAACTTCAGTCTTCTGTACTTGAAGAACGTTCACCCATCTTGAGACTCCTTCTTAAAAGAAACCGGCAAGAGACTCAGTACAACACATCTCGAACCTGTGTCAGCATGAATTTGGTTGGCTCATCCGCCCATAAGTACGGAATGCTGGAGGTACAGGTAAGTGAAAAGGTCTAACGAGCGACCAGAGAATAATGTGCTAACCGAAAGCCTCTTCAAGGACTACGATGACTCCCGGTGTGCGATTGACGAGACCACCATGTGCTCCTTCCCCATATGGCCAGAAAAGACCCGCGTCGTCTGGTCCAACCTCTTCAAAATCTTCTACGACATCCCCGCACTCCTTGACAACAACGGCCTCGACTCAATACTAGAGAACTGTCAGGCCCTGGTCGATCTGGCGGAAGAGCTGCAGTCCTCTGATGTCGTCTGCCCCGCCATTAGCACAACCCTCCTCGGCTTCGACCAGCAGCTCTACCGGCTCATTGCTCAGGACCCAATCTCGTGGGTCAAGCTTGCGGTCCGCATGCAATCGGCGCCCATATTTCAAGAGTCAATGGTCCATTTAATAGGCAAATGGGGGCTTCTCGAAGAAAGGGATCGCGAAACACTGCCCAAAAGTATTCGCACGCTATGCACTCAAAAGCTCCATGACCTGAACGGAATCAAGAAGATTGTCGAGCTGCGAATCACAAAGCGCCTTCCCCGTCTACGCTCAGATAACCCTCATTACCAAGAAACAAGAACAAGCAACGTCTTTGGTTGGATGGCTTTGAGCTTCTGCCAGCAGTGGCTTTGCGAGTCTTTTGCAGAGGGTCGCAACCGCCATGCCCCAGATGGAGGAGCGGCATTCTACCGCGCCGTTGCGGCAGGAGGCGATGCTTCCTTGACCAGGGTCAACCAGGACATTTCTCAATTTCCTTCGTCGCCCAGGGCCAGCGTCGGCAGCACCAAGGGATTGAAAGAACTTGAAAAGGCCCTCAACGAGCTGAAGGAGGGCATGACAGGCGTGGTTTCGGACTTGCTTGTTAATCAAGCCAAGTACGATCCCGAGATTTTGGGAGAACTCCCACACCTTACCTGTTGCAGAGTTAGCGAAGAAGAAATGCCGCCGGCTGAAGTGACGTTCAGCTTGGAGATGAACTCACAGCTCCAGGGAATCGGGAATGACATGACACATATTCCGAACAACAGCAACGTCCATCAAACCTTTCTCCCTGCAGGAGCTGCAGCTATCATGGGCAGTACCAACGTCATGATGGGGTTTGATAACAACATCAATAATTACCCGCTCGACCCTCGACTGCAAAACAACGACCCTAACGTCTTCGGATACAGCGCCTTCAATCAGCAATCCACGGATCCTACTCTAATATGGGGAAGTCCTGCGGGCTTTTCATCCCCAAACATGCCCAACTACGACAATGGAGGCGCCCTACCGTCGATTTCCGGTATCACCAACACTAACGACTTCTTCCAGGCGCAGGCGCAGGCGCAGTTCGACGGTAATAGCAATTTAAGGGGTAGCCTAGACATGTTCGATGTCCCTCTTCTGACTGATAACGATGGCTATGTGCACAATGGTAGTGACGGAAGTATGGCGTTTCTCTGAGCCTGCATTATGGAGTCAAGGACAGGTTAGGTTTATGTCTTTGTTTTTGCGAAAGATGTATGATCTCTTGTTATGTTTTCTACGTGTTCTTCTCTTCGTGATTATCACTGTGGGTGGCGTTATCTAGAGGGCTTTAAGGCGACGATTCATGTGTGATGTCAATCTATGTCTTGTATTTGTTGCTGGATCAATGCAATAGTACGCGTAATATAGCAAACCGCGCCCACCATGGTTTTGATGACTTTATTTCACACCCGACCATGTCCGGGCCAGCATTTTCCAGCTCTGGTCTTGATGACCCAACTCCCCCTTCGCCTTCATCTGGCACCTACCGCTGTCGCAGTCTACTATTGGAGAATAGGATAGTTCCAGTAGTTACGTCCAGCTCGGAAACAAGAAAATAGTACAGGAACCTGATATTGTCCGACCTGTTCTATAATTCTTTTCCATGTACAATACATTGCAGATCACAGGGCCAGAGAGCCGAGACGTCGCTGGAATACCCGGATAAGGTATACGAACTTCCCAGTCCTCTCAAGCAGAGGGCCATGCCCTGCCGCTAGCCGTGCTTTCAACTCATCCCAGCTAAGCTCTTCTAACGGTCCGAGGGTGCGTGCGAGTGCGTATGTGGTGTTCCGAAACAACCATGATCGAATTCCCCAGCTAAACAACAAAAGAAATAGTGATATCAAGCCTAATCCGACAAACAACCTTCATCTTCATCCGTTACCCGCGGTGATTGTGAATCTATTCGTCATCGTAGCCCTGCGGAATGACCCGGGGACCTTGGGGAACTATTGCAGTGAGAAAGGAAGTTGTCAGCGCGATGCAATTCCAGTTACTGCGGCCCGGGGACTCCAATCCGGGAATTTGCGACTTACTCGGATATGTCAGAGGAATAGGCTCGGGGTCAACGTCGCCGAAGAATCGTCGGATCGGGGGCAGAGAAACGAGCATGACGGGGCCGGTGGCGCCAATGACGAGGGAGTAGAAAATGGCGGGCTTCTCGTGCGAGGCCCAGCGCAGGTAGCGGAGGGGGGTGGACCAGAACTGGGGGGTGGACATCGTTGCGACGGTGCGAGGTGCGCTATCTGCCGGAAAGGAGTCAATTGAACGGGCCGGATGACGGGGACTCAGTCGGACCTTACAGGAGAGCAGCCCTAGGAGCTATATTGCGCACGTTGTGTAGCGGAGGAGGCGGACGGAGTGACGACAAGCCGATCGAAGTTTGGTTGCAAAGGCGGCAGCACTGACAGTGGAGGTGGACGAGTGAGGTCTTGGCGCTCGGTCCAAACACGTCGCCATTCGAGCTGGACTTACGTAGACTATACAATTGCTCTCTTCGACAACACCGGTTGCGTTGCTTTCGTTCATTTCCTCGGTTGCTTTATTTTCTCGGTCGGTCTGATTATTCCGCTGTGCGGAAGACCTTTGACGACGATGCGGTGGTTTCCGTCCCTCTTGCTGTTCGGCTTCTTGGCCGCTGTCAATGCATTGAGCAGCTCGGGGAACCGATTGCTTGTGGTTTTGGAGGATGCTGCAGAGAAGGGACTATATTCGACGCTTTGGGGAGACTTGGAATGTATGACATTGGAATAATTGTCTAACGTGGCTTATTCTTTGCTAATTGGTTTGACTGGCAGCTCGCGGGTATAACCTCATCTTCGAATCGCCCAAGAGTGAGCAGCTTTCCTTGTTCGAGCTCGGAGAGAGGGCGTACGACCATGTCCTCCTTCTCCCTCCCAAATCGAAAGGTACGACATGCCCCTAATGCGCTGAGTGCGGACAAGCAATTGACCGAATGATATAGGTTTCGGACCTTCGCTAAGCCCTAAGAACCTCGTCGACTTCCTCAACAGCGACGGAAACGTCCTTCTCGCTCTCTCCGGAAAGTCCACGACTCCCAGCGCTATCAGTTCTCTTCTTCTAGAGTTCGACCTCCACCTTTCTACCGACCGATCTTCCATCGCAGTTGACCACTTCAACTACGACACCCTTTCCGCTTCCGAAAAGCACGATATCCTCCTCCTCGAGCGCCCCGGCAAGGTCAGACCAGACACCAAGGCTTTCTTCTCGGGCGAAGGTGTTATTGCGGTTCCCAGTGCCAGCCCTCACACACTCGGCGACAACTCGCTCCTTGCGCCTATTCTGCGTGCCCCCACCACAGCCTACAGTTACAACCCCAAGGAGGACGCCGGTGCAGTTGAAGATGTCTTCGCTACTGGCTCTCAGCTGGCTCTAGCATCAGCCATGCAAGCCAGGAACTCTGCCCGCTTTACTCTGCTTGGCTCTGTCGAGAGTCTCCAGGACAAGTGGTTCTCCGCTACCGTCCAAGCACCTGGTGGTAAAGAGGTCGAGACCGCCAACCGCGAGTTCGCTAAGCAATTGACCGGGTGGACATTCAAGGAGACCGGTGTTCTCAAGGTTGGAAAGATCGAGCACCACCTCGCCAAGGGCGACCTCACACCCGAGGACCTGAACCCAAGCATCTACCGCATCAAGAACGAAACGGTACCTCTTTTGCCATGCCACTATCGTCCCACACCCGCTAACCTCTACTCAGGTCTTCTCTATCGAAATCTCCGAATATAACTACGACGGCTACGTTCCATTCGAGATCCCCGCCAACGACAACCTCCAGCTCGAATTTACCATGCTCTCACCCTTCCACCGCCTCAACCTCGCGCCCACCGCAAAAACCCCCAACAGCACCATCTTCAGCACCCAGTTCACCGTCCCCGACCAACACGGCATCTTCTCCTTCCGCGTCAACTACAAGCGCCCCTTCCTCACCAGCATTGAGGAGAAGCACGAGGTCACCGTCCGCCACTATGCGCACAACGAGTATCCCCGCAGCTGGAAGATTACTGGCGGCTGGGTCTGGATTGCTGGTCTCTGGTCTGTCATTGCGGGATTTCTCGCGTTCGTCGTTGTTTGGCTTTATTCGGAGCCGGCGACTGCGGCGAAGGCGAAGAGTAAGAAGACGCAGTAGACTTCGCCTAAGGCAAAAGTCTGGATTGTCAGGTTATGTATTTTTCTAGGTAAATGATATCTGTATGAACAGGAAATACTTTGCTAGTCAATGAAATCGGAAGATTTAGATATAGTAGCGGTAGATGTGACGCAGAAGGCTATTCATGAGCCTTTCAGTTGATCATCAAAGGTACCAGTAGACCAGAGATATATACAAACATGAAATAATACATCAAAACAAAAACTCCGATCCATGCCATGAGGGGAGAAACATCGTGAACCAAGATCCCCAATAGTAAAACAGACCGGCAGTGTTCTAAGCCCTGCCATGCCACCCGCTTCACCACCTACACGTATTCTCCCTCAAGCTCATTGCCCAAGCTCTTCGATTACCCCTCTATAGTCCCCTCGTCTTCTCTGGGTCCATCTGCACTTCATCCCCGCTAATCTCTTTAACCGTTGTGTACGCCGGCTTACCCGCATAAAGCTGCCCGCCCTCGCTGTCAGTCTTGGACATATTCAGCGGCGCATTTCCTCGGAATCGTTTGCGCATATCAATAAGGCCGCGCCTAACAGCGAGTGAGAAGTCAGCTATATGCCACTAAGCTTGTTGAGTGTGGGGTGCGCGAGACTTACTTGCACTCGCCGAAACCTTTACGCAGCTGCTGGCATTTCACGGGCAATTCGTTGGCAAGCGGCTCACTGAGACATTCGCGGGCTGTGTGACGTTGAACCATGACGCAGTCGGATTGTTGGAGACATTGGGCTAGGGCATCGCCTGTGAATTGTGTCGTTTGTTAGTCGAAAGGCTGCTTGTATCTCGAGCGCATGGTATGATCGCGGAAGTCCGCACGGTCAGTTCCCCGGCCGGGAATATGAGGTAGCACAATGACGAGTAATTAAATCTGGAGAGAAAAACTTACGGAGAGCGGCACAAGAGTTTGGCATCTTGGGCGCTAGTGTCAATGCCCTGGCGATTGAGATTATTGGAGATCGTGAGTGATTCGTCGGGATAGACACCTGACTCCGCGGGCAAAAAAATACGGACGATCCCCGGATTAAGTAAGCGCCATCACATGGGAATCCAAACGGCGGGCTTCGAGCTCCATGACGTCGGGGTTATGGGCTCGAGCTCCGCTGGGGTTGCGGAGATATAACCCCCAACCATTGCAGACTATGAATTTTGCTCAGCCTATGCATCTCAGCGACTAGCTGTCTTTCAAACTGTCGTTTCAATATGGCCCGCGTACCGTTTATTGGGCGGCTTTTCTGGTTCGAATACCTAACACTTTTCGGATCGTTGATTTTAGTGTTGTTTGAATGGGTTATTCATATTATCACCTTCTGTCTTCGTATGTTGCAGCAGGTATACTTTTTCGGGCTGCCGCTAACATATAGCAGCCGAGCCGGTCATCAACTTTTTCTACGAGCGTTCGAAGACCATCTTCAACTTAGTCATAACCCCTGAGAGACCAGAGAATCAGGGGAGGGAGAAACGACGTGCGAATGCCGTGGCGCACGCCTCAGACTTCGCAGAGATTTGCTCGATTTTTGGATATGAGGCGGAGGAGCACATTGTCCAGACCAAAGACGGATATCTGCTTGGTCTCCATCGTCTGCCCAATCGCAAGGGCGAGGAAAATCAGACCGTTAACCAGGGCGAGGGGAGCGTCAAGAAGAAGGTCGCGTACCTCCATCATGGTTTAATGATGTGCAGTGAGGTATGGGTCTGCTTGACAGATGAGGAGCGCTGTCTTCCTTTCCAACTAGTGGAAAGAGGGTACGACGTCTGGCTAGGGAACAACCGGGGGAATAAATACTCCAAGAAGTCCACCAGATCCTCTCCGCTATCGACTGAGTTCTGGGACTTTTCCATAGATCAGTTCGCCTTTCACGACATTCCCGATAGCATCAATTATATCCTCGAATTGACAGGGCAACCCTCTCTGTCGTATATCGGTTTCTCGCAAGGAACGGCCCAAGCATTTGCAACTCTCTCCATCCACCCACAGTTGAACCAAAAGATCGACGTCTTTGTCGCTCTTGCACCAGCAATGTCGCCCGCCCGCATTTCCAATCCGGTCGTTGATTCCCTAATGAAGGCGTCGCCGAACTTCATATTCCTGCTCTTTGGTCGACGCAGCATTCTTAGCTCGACCACGATGTGGCAGACTGTTCTTTACCCGCCAATATTCATGCGAATCATTGATACGTCACTTTCCTTTCTCTTCAATTGGAAGTGCAAGAACATCAGCCGTAGCCAGAAGATGGCGGGTTACCTCCACCTCTTCTCGTTCACGAGTACCAAGTCTGTAGTACATTGGTTCCAGATAATTCGCAACAGGAATTTCCAGTTCTATGATGACGAGATATATGCGCCCTTCAGCATCGCGGCAAGTGAACGATTCTATAAACCGGTCAAGTACCCAACGAAAAATATCAAGACACCCATTGTCCTGCTGTACGGCGGCAGCGACAGTCTTGTCGATATCGATGTGATGCAGAAAGAGCTTCCGCGAGGGACCACGTCGAAGATAATTCCTAAGTACGAGCACTTGGACTTCCTCTGGGCGAGCGATGTGTCGGAGTTGGTTTTCGGCCATGTGTTCGAAGCATTAGATCAGTATAGCCCCAGCAAGAGACTCCGGGGTGGTAAGAACACGGGCGAGGTCAATGGCACCTAACGACGTGTAGCAAGCAACCTAACTCCCGAGTCCCGACCCAATCTGCAGATGCAAGGGGTATACGATGTTCCTGCACGATGACAGCAGAGTCGGGGCGCGAGGGATGCTGGGCTGCGAATGTCATATTTGTTGTATATAGATCCTGGGACCTCAGTTGTACAACGCATTGTGTTTATGCCTAAGTTGACGCTTCATTCCCAGTGCGGGCAATCAACGCACTTAGCCGTATGCTTGTTATCTCCGAGGGAAGAATCTCGACCCCTGTTGGATCCCGGACCATTCGATGAAACGAGCCGTCGTTATCATGCAAGGTGCTTCTGTAAGCGTAGATGTACCGATCATGGACATGACAAGACTCAAGAGAGGCATATCTATCGGAACGGTCCGCATGGCCCGTGCGTTCCCAATAGTGGATGGTGATGCCGACGTAGTCAAGGCCTTTGAGGTCTAGATACGCAGAGGGTCAATAATAATGCATGCTTGTAATGTTTGCAGGCCGGTTCTTACCGGGGGTTGCTTGCCTGATCCGCGGCAGCGATGAGTTGTCGGTTCCTGGACTGGTCCGACGCGGCGACGATCATACCTGCAGTGTCGGAAGAGGGCTCTTGTTGCCGGTCAATAATGGTGACAGATCACGATTGGCAGATGGGATCTGTTTCATTCTGTGATGAAGACGGCATGAGACGGCAGGTTGAGATTGGAGAGTAATGAGGCGACAATGATGGCCCAACAAGCCAGGCAGTCCGGTTACGTAGTGGTCGCATCCTTCCCAATCGGTGCAGGAGGAATGTTACTATCCCTTCAGTCTGGCAGCGATGAAGTCTTCCGGCTTGTTTGCTCAAGAATGAAGAAGAAGAAAAGAAGAGGGAGAGCTACGGTACGTTTGATATGACCTGGCATATTTAATGACCGTAATCCTGGAAGCTGGATGTGTCTCATCAGCCATTTCCACCTCTCTATCCCCTCTCTCCATCTCTTCTTCCTCTTCGTCCCTTCTCTCCATCTCTTCAATAATCGTGATATTTTATCTCTCGGAACGAGTTATCCGTCCAGGATCGTCTCCAGCATCCACTCCTATAAACTTTGGGTTCCAAATCACTCATCGATCTTCACCGCCATCGACAGGACCAGGTATTTGGTCGAAGGATATTCTTTACGAGTGTGCGAGAGTAAAGGAACTCAGAGACAAAGGCCGGAGCAAAAAGCAAATACAAAGCAAACCAGGAACATCAGCAGAGGTATTGCATCATATTATTGCCAGATCCTTTAGGCTTCAGCAGCTCAGCTTCCGCAGCTTTCGTCCGTGCTCCGCCAGAACCAGCCCGAATTTTTAAACCAAACCCTTTGCGCGCCCTCCCCACAGCTAACAGACCGAGACTAAACTGCAGTCGGCCTGGCCCTACCTGCTTGCCCCCACCGGCACTCAATCTCGCTCTCGACATCGAACCGGTCCGTTCGTTCGCTCCGCTGCATTTCGTTCTCGAACCTCTTGCGCACACTCTCGCTTCTCCGATCTCTTCTTTCCACCTCCCTCGCTTCGTCTCCCGCTCTAAGCGAACCCCCTTCCTTTCTGGAAGTACCCAATTGGGCGGCAATTCGTTGATATCGAGACCGATGTAACGGATCGTGTGTCGTTACCCTTGCTCTCCAAGCTCACCCCGCTCCTTTATTCCCGACGGACTTAGTCCACCACTCGATTCGCCAAAGAGGCCGTATATTGCTCGTGCACCGCGCATTGTACCGAATCTACGAAATCGCGCCCTCACCGACTCACAAAGGAAATTGCGGATTCTACCTCGCTCGCCGCGCACCTAACATACCCCAACACGGACACGATCGGGGGATACTTTTGTTTGTCATACTTTTGCCATTAAAGAGGTCCATTCCTGTCGAGGACTCGGTCTTGATTGTTGGTGTCACAGTTGCTTGTCTCAATGCGGCCGCAGTGAGTTTAGCCCTAGAGCTTGGTTTGCGCCACATATGGATGCATGGTAAATGCTAATATGGTTTTGTGTCACCGGCAGACGAGAATACCACATTGTTGTGCTAGGCGCTGGTACGCTGGCCTCTCACACCGAAAAGAAGACATCCAGGAGTAGTACTGATTATGTTCATCTATATGATAGGTGGAGTGGGTAAAAGTTGTCTTACTGGTATGAAGTTCTGTCCCTTTTGCTCTTTACCACCATCCCAGTGGTATAACAACGGAGAACAAAAAGAGCTCACTATAGCTTAGCGCAATTTGTTCAAAATGTTTGGATTGAAAGTTATGACCCGACAATTGAGGATTCTTATCGCAAACATATCGAAGTAGACGTAAGTTAACTATACTTACGCTTGCAATTCGTCGATGTTGACATCTCATAGGGCCGACAATGTATATTAGAAATGTATGTTAAATGATTCAATACCGAGGTATTGCGAAGGACAGGACGGTTTTTGCTGACCTTTGATGCCTACAGTCTTGATACAGCAGGAACGGAACAGTTTAGTAAGTTCAACTCCTCCCTTTATGGTTGTTCATCTTGGTTAACACCTCTTTAGCTGCCATGAGGTAACCAGCTCTTTCATTCATGGTTGCTAAAGAACATCAGCGACTAGTTACCTGCCGTAGTTGTGTTGTTCGGGGGCTAACGTCTTATCCAGAGAGCTGTATATGAAGCAAGGCCAAGGTTTCTTGCTTGTTTTCTCTATCACGAGCATGTCATCTCTAAACGAATTAGCCGAATTACGGGAGCAAATTGTCCGTATTAAGGATGACGAGAACGTCCCCATTGTCATCGTGGGGAACAAATCAGACTTGGAGGAGGATCGCGCGGTACCTCGTGCTCGCGCATTTTCTCTTTCTCAGAGCTGGGGCAGCGCCCCATATTACGAGACTTCGGCTCGTCGACGAGCCAACGTCAACGAGGTCTTTATCGACCTCTGCCGGCAAATCATCCGAAAAGATGCACAAGCGAGCTCAGAAGATTATGATCTCGCCCCGCGTAAGCGTGAAAATACCAGCCGGCAGGAGAGGAAGCGAGGGAAACGGCGAGAGCCCAAACGAAAGGGGCCTTGCGTGATTCTCTAGGACCCGACTCCCCGCGCCTCGCATCTCGCGCGTTATACGACAACTAGACACATTATCTCGAAATTCTTCCTCATGACATCCTAACGACCTACACATACCGACACCTGCAAAGACATGATACCAGCCATACTATCTTTCTACCGTGTTACATCATACGCCGTCAACGTTATCCTACGATAGATCTCTGTTCATTGATACATCTCCTGAGTTATAACTTATAACATACTTGTCATTTATATTCGACCTCCATCACATTATGCTTCAGGAATGGAAAAGTTCACCTTTGTTTTATGTCTCCCCTCGAGCCATGCCTCTTTGCAGCTTGAAAACTGCTCTTCAAAGCTACGATACTATCATACGTTCTGACACCCTATCTGTGAGTGCGGCCATGATAATCATCTATAGGCACTTTTCTTGAGATACAGTGTGTCCGCCTTTGCCCTTCTCGGAATGCAGTTCCTTCGATCAGACTATTGCTGGGACTACTCTTCCGGTCACCATGGACAGAATGGTGTCTATGAATAGAAGATAGGTACGGATTTTTGTCCCGTTCCTTGCAGTACGTGGCTAAACCATCTCCTCTGGCTGCCATACTCCCGGCATGCTGTTCCGAATACCACCGTGGTGTCTGAGAATAGCAGCTCGGACAATTCTCCCATGCGTTGCAGTACCTTGGTTGAGAAAGCCCCCTACTGGCAATGTCTGCCTGGGAATGCCTCTGGATTGAGCAGCAACGGCACAATACGTGGCGACAGTACGCATACGGATGTTCATTCCTGCTCTTTTGACTCTCAATGGGAAAATCCTAGTCAACGAACCTCGTTGAGTCAACGGAACTCCTACGCCGTGAGGCGCAGGCCGCAATCTCATTCCGGAGGGACGTATAGTTTCAGCTTCAGCCACCCGCTTCTTCTTTGCTTTTTCTTTCTCCTGCATCTCTCCAGCCATCCCTCTTCAAGTTGACCAAGCCTTCTACATCTTGAGCAACTTATACATCAATTCAACAACCCGGCAATCCACAGTCACCATGTTCTCCAAACTTGGCCAGACTGTCGCTATCACCCTCAACCTCCTTGCGCCCGTCATCTCGAAGACGGTGCACCCATCCTCCTTTGCAGCGTCCAAGGCCATCGACGTTGCCGCCATCTCTTCTGCGTCCGAAAAACTCAAACAAGTCCCAGCTCACGCTACTTACTCCTTGTCGATCAAAGATCACAAGGATAAGTCAACCATCCACAGCGACTGGGCTTCGTTCGCAGAAGGATCCGCATTCGTATTCAAGGCCGACATGGATACCGACTGTGACGGCCTTGACTACAAGTGCGATGGCAACGCCGATGGTCAACCCCTAACCAACTGGGGTGCGCTCTCCGCCTTCGAAGTTCCATTCATCGTCATTCCTCAACGATTTTTGGAAGCCAACCCGAAGGCTATCCCCGGCAACAACGTGGCAGCAGTCATCTGCAACAACAAAATGTTCTACGGCATCCTCGGAGATACCAACGGCAACGACCCCCAAGTGACGGGCGAGGCCTCATGGCTTCTCGCCCGATCATGCTTCCCCGAAGACAACCTCACCGGTAACAAAGGTCACGACCAAATCGACGTGACCTATATCCTTTTTACCGGTGACGAAGCCGTTCTCCCACCCTCCGCCATCAACGAGCATTACATCACCGACTTCACCAAACTTCAGTCCATGGGTAATCACCTCACCGCATCCCTTATGAAGAACCTGGGTATCAAACCCCTCGACAACACAGGTTCGCCCCCACCACCAAAGGATGACGGTTCCCATGACGGCAAACAAGACGACGACTTTGTCCTCCCGGATGTCCCCCCCGACAACATCGACGACCCCACTAACAACAGCAATGACAACGACAACCAGGGCGGTTCAGATGACTCATCTGACCGCCCGGGGTCCGACTCCGGCACCAACCACGAGGACAACGACGATGTCGACTCTTCCGCCGCCAACGGGACAACGCCCCGAAGCTTAGCACTGTTCATTGCAGTGCTAACCTTCCTTTTGTTGCTTTGACTTGATCTGGATTAACCAGTCTTGTTTTTTTGCCATCTAAATTGATTTACTCTACTTCAAAATCTTTTTTTAGTTAGCAAGTAGCCTTGTCCAGCGAGGAGGACCTTTTTCCCATTCTGACCTGGTTTTCCCTCACAAATGAGTTTTTCCAGGTCAGACGGGTTTTTTACTGGCTCCTTCACCTAACCTGGACAAGGTATTTCTACGTTTTCATCTTGAGATTTCTACTTTGCTACCTAAACACATCTTGCATGTATATACATTTTTGGAGTTGAGGTGTTCGGGTTTGTATTCAAATTTATATATGAAACAATAAAAAAATTGTTTCCTTTCATTCAAGTGTCTTCTCTCGTAGCATCCCTTCTCGTAGCATCCCATCTTGTAGCATCTCATTCCCATCTTGTGGCATCTCTCCCGTAGCACCTCTCCCGTAGCACCTCTCCTATAGCCTCTCTCCTGTAGCCTCTCTCCTGTAACATCTCTCCTATAGCATCTCTCCTATAGCATCTCTCCTGTAGCATCTCTCCTGTAGCATCTCTCCTGTAGTATCTCTTTCTTAGTCTCTGCGTGATGATGATAGACCTAGCTTCATTTCGCTTGATAGAGAAAATAATCTAATTCTAGATGATAAGAAGGAGAAAGGATTTCTTGAGTAGCTAGGTTCCCGACTGCGGTCAAGACCTCCATGAGGGGTCACTCTTGCACACGAAACAGTGGACGGATGTGTCCGCCGGAGCACCAAGGACTCTACAATGCCATAGACCTCAGTATAGACTATGAACAAATAGTATCCAGAGCTAGTAAACGCCGGATTTGAGCCATATTTCAGTCTTGAGCGTGGCTGGCCACTTGGACAGAAGTAGTCATTGACGTGGTGGTATTCATGAAAGCTATAAGTTTGAAGCCATATGAGACGCAGATAATGCATGAGACTAAAGACAAGACTGAGACTCAACTCTACATCCGGAAAACGCCGAACTTCGTCTGTACATCTCTATCAGCCTTTCCACCCAATGCAGCAGCCAAGCTCAGCCCCAGAACGTGCCGCGTGTGTGATGGGGGAATAACACCGTCATCCCAAAGCCGGGCTGAGGAGAAGGTCGCCTCGGATTCGCGGTCGATGCGGGCTTTGAGCTCGGGGTCTGCGGTCTTTCCTACGGCTTCCATCACGGAGGAGAGCTGCTCGGAGCCCATGACGCCGATTTTGGCGTTGGGCCACATAAAGAGCAGGCGGGGGGAATAGGCGCGGCCGCTGGTGGATCGTTGGATGTTAGCACCTACTTACTTCCGGGTTGGAGGAGAAGGGGAGAGAGAGATGAGTACGTACCACATGCCATAATTTCCAGCACCAGCGCTAGATCCGAACACAACAGTAAATTTGGGCACATCAGCGCAGGCCACAGCGGTTACGAGTTTCGCGCCATTCTTCGCAATGCCGCCCTTTTCGGCGTCCGCGCCAACCATGAAGCCAGAAATATTCTGGAGGAAGACGAGAGGGATGTTGCGCTGAGCGCAGAGCTCGATAAAGTGTGCGCCCTTGAGCGAGGACTCGGAGAAGAGGATGCCATTATTGGCTACTATGCCAACCTGATGTCCGTGGATGCGTGCGAAGCCGGTGACAAGGGTTGTGCCGTAGTCACGCTTGAATTCTGCGAACTCGCTACCGTCGACGATGCGGGCAATGACTTCGTGAGCTGGTATTTGGCGGCGGAGGTTTGTGCCAACGATACCATTGAGCTCGGCCGGGTCGTAGAGGGGTTCTTTGATACTTTTGTTGCGGTCTTTGGGCGGGAATTCAGTGGCCGGTGGGTAGTTCAAGTTGGAGATGGAGCGGCGAGCGATAACGATTGCGTGAACGTCATCAACAGCTAAGTAATCAGTCACGCCAGAGATTGTGCTGTGAAGTTGGCCACCCCCTAAGTCTTCGGCTGAAACCACCTCGCCAGTGGCAGCTTTGACAAGGGGAGGTCCAGCGAGGAAAATAGTGCCTTGGTTTTCGACGATGATTGTCTCGTCGCTCATGGCGGGCACGTAGGCACCCCCGGCGGTACAAGGGCCCATGACGACCGAGATCTGTGGAATACCCTGCGAGCTCATCCGGGCCTGGTTGAAGAAAATGCGGCCGAAGTGCTCCTTGTCCGGAAACACATCAGCTTGGTGTGGGAGATTCGCACCTCCAGAGTCTACCAGGTAGATGCATGGCAGTTTATTCTCCTGGGCAATCGCTTGAGCGCGAAGGTGTTTCTTCACAGTAACGGGATAGTAAGTGCCTCCCTTGACTGTACTGTCGTTCGCCACAATCATGCAGGTCACCCCTTCGACCGTTCCAATGCCGGTGATAATTCCACCTGCGGGCACATCTTCTCCGGGGTACACTCTATAGCCCGCCAGCTGAGACAACTCCAGGAAGGACGTGCCAGAGTCAATGAGAGCGGTGACCCGATCTCGGGGAAGCATCTTCCCACGAGCGACATGTTTATCCTTCGCTTTTTGCGGGCCGCCCTGCGCTATTGTACTATGGAGTACATTCATCCGATCTAGCACTTCTTGCATTTGTTGTGCGTTCTCTTTAAAGTCGGGTGACGAGGTATCTACCGCAGTGGGGAGGATGGAAATGGCCGAGGCATGATGCGGGTGGGTATAGCTGGCAATCGATCGAGAAGGTGTAGTGGAGGTTGCTTGTATTGTATAATTCTTCTGCGCACTTGAAAGATCCAGCCGCCGACTTGCTAGTCTAGTAATATTGGCTATCGAGAGGTTCCGACTCCTTCGCAGGAGGAGTGGAGTAGAAACACGCATTGCGGGGAAAGAGCGGGATACAAGGGAGGACTCTGGCTAGAGCATGGCCCCTTGACGAACGCACAAGAGGAATTTGAATCGAAGTCGCGGAGTAGAGCGCAATATAGCTGTGGAGAGAGTATAAAAGAGGCCGACCGTGGTGATGACGGTCGGTTGCTGAGGTGGACTGAAAGAAGCAACCTAGGCATGACCCCCGGCCGCGTAGATGCGGAGATCGGCTAAACGCGGGGGGTACCCCAATCTCTCCACCTTTGCTTCTTACTCTGCATTCTCCGGTTTTCTATTACTTCCGTCTCCAGACATTGAATGTCAATTTGAACTCATTAACTGCTGAAACCTTCTAATCATGGCCGCCATACGCCTGCCTCTTCTATTGCGCTCCCTTCCTTCAAGGGCCCCTACGAGATTAGCAAAACCCCTCATTCCCGCAGTACGGACCCTAGCAACAACTAAACATCCCAAGGGGTTCACACCTCCGACTGAAGATGAATTGTTGGAATTACGGGAAAGCGTTCAAGAGTTTACTAGTAAGCTCATCCGGCAACCGGCGTTACCCCTAGTCCAACCGTTCTGGCTTCTTACCTTAATCAGGACGTGAGATACCCGAGGAAGTCGCCGCGCGAACAGATGCCCAGAATGAATTCCCTGCCGACATGTGGAAGAAACTGGGTGATGCCGGGTAATCAATTACGCAAGCTCATGAGTTGCTGTCTAATGTCTGTCTAGGTTCCTTGGCGTCACAGCGGACGAAGAGTATGGAGGTCTTGGAATGGGCTATCAAGCCCACTGCGTTGTAATGGAGGAGATCAGTCGCGCTTCAGGCAAGCCATACTGTCTCATTTCGTACTCTTACATGATCTAACATTGGTCACCCGTGTAGGGAGCATCGCCTTATCGTACGCAGCACACTCACAACTCTGCGTGAACCAACTCTCCTTGAACGGCTCCCCTGAGCAAAAGGAACGCTTCCTTCCCGGTCTTCTATCTGGTGAGAAGATCGGTGCATTGGCTATGTCAGAACATTCAGCCGGGTCTGATGTTGTCAGCATGAAGACAACCGCCAAAGAAGTTGAGGGTGGCTACATACTGAATGGGACCAAGATGTGGATCACGAATGTGAGTACCATTGGCATGGACTAAGCTGGAAGCTAATTTCAAGCATCATAGGGCCCCGACGCAGATTACATTGTCGTCTACGCTAAAACCGAACCCGAGAAAGCATCCAAGGGCATCACCGCGTTCGTTGTAGAGAAGACATTCAAGGGCTTCTCCTGCGCCCGCAAACTAGACAAGCTAGGAATGCGAGGTTCAAATACCGGAGAGCTGATCTTTGAGGACGTCTTTGTCCCAAGGGAGAATGTACTAGGAGAAGTCAACCGCGGCGTCAAGGTCCTGATGGAGGGTCTCGATCTCGAGCGACTTGTTCTCAGTGCTGGTCCACTTGGGTGAGTCTCAATTCATGGCACTCGAACCCAGTTTAGGTCATGTTAACAACCAACTGTAGCATCATGCAAGCCGCCCTCGACCTCGTCTTGCCATATACCCACGTCCGCAAACAGTTCGGCATTCCCATTGCGCATAACCAGCTCATCCAGGGTAAGCTAGCAGATATGCATACCAAGCTTGCTGCCTCTCGCGCCTATACCTACGCGACGGCCCGCCACATCGACAGCTATTCCTCTCTTGGCTCAGCAGCGATCCGGACCCAGGACTGCGCAGGCGCAATCCTCTACGCAGCTGAGAGGGCCACAGAATGTACGCTCGACGCCATCCAGCTCATGGGGGGAAATGGGTACATCAATGAGATTCCTGCAGGGAGGTTACTCCGCGATGCGAAATTGTATGAGATCGGAGCTGGGACAAGTGAGATTAGACGCATGGTGATTGGGCGTGCTTTCAACAAGGAGTATGCTCAATGATCAGGTGTGGTCAGGACCTGTTTTTTAGTATGATATAAATATCTAAGAATACATAAGAAGATAAAGGGTTAGGCATAAAGGTGCTAAAGAGGGAACGCGTAATTCATGAGCTCAATGACCGTATGATTTGTCTAGGAATTTAGTCTTGGACCGTGATTGGGTTAATTCTTGTGCCTTGCTGATCGGCGCACAGGGCCTGATGACTTTGAAGTAGATTTTGTAGCTTCAGATGCTTTTGCCTGCGATGCCTTTGACGTCGCTACTCGCTTCGCTCTAGGCCGCGCTTCCGTATCCGCGCTGTTCCCAGGCTGATCTGGTTGATCGTCCATTGAGACTGTGGCCTTCCGTTTCCGTCCCCTACGTGGCGCAGTCGCCGTGGGCTCTTCGGTCTTCTTCTCGGCGGGCATTTTGGCGGTAGCCCCATTGATCGCGAACCCTTTATCCTCCTTCAGTGGCTCCAGTGTACCTTTAGGGCCGCCATGCTTGTCTTTCTTCGAATTGACGGGCAATTCAGAAGGCGGATTCATGATTACCACCTGGGGATGAACTGGAGCGGCCAACGGCTTAGCAGGCAGTGCTTCTGCAGCGTCCGAGGAAACCATCTCGTCCTCATAGTTATCCTCCACCAACGACGGGACGTCCAGCTCAGACTCGCTTTGTTCCCGCGAAACAATGTCCAGTGTCTTCGGAGACGGTATCCGCCCACGTAGGTGTTTGATTGCTGGCTTAGCGTCGCGGAATATGTCCCTCCAGTTCTTCAGTAGTGCGACCTTTTCGCCGTCTCCGGGAGCGTAAATCTCGACCATGTCTGTCTCATCATCGGGCTGTCTCCACGCAACACCCTGAAACGAGGTAAGATCTGCCGCAAGGGTATCCGCTACTTTCCTGCGTTTCGAGGGAGGCGCGTCGATATGGAATGGTTCGTCAATTGGCAAAATGCCCATGGCGCGTAGTCGGCGGACGGCGGTGGGATCATCATCGTAGTAGTCATCAGTTAACTCTTCCCAGTCACTGTATAAGTCCGCAGTTTCAATAGAGGGGTCTTCGAGGAACGTAGGGTCGTATGTAGCGGCTGCGGCTAGGTCGTCCTGTGCCATTAATGATTAGTCGGGGCTTCATGTAGGGTGCTTGAGTTAACAAACATACAGCAGCAGTTGGGTCTGCCTCCTCAACCCAGAAAATCTCGTCATCGTCGTACTCGTAGTACTCTTCCTCGTCGTCGGACATGTCGGTAGGATGCGGAGGGAGTGCCGGTTAAACGAGAAGGGAAAGGAACGATTTAGAAAGAATGAGAAAGGGAAGGTAAATAAAGACAAGCAATGCTCAAGCGAGATCTGCCATGCGCGTTTGTGTATGATGAAGGTGCTTATGCAAGAACAGGGCTGATGAGGTCAGAGGCAGCACTGGGGCTTGTCCGCAGATGCCAAGAGATGAAGAAAAAGTGCACTCGCTGAGAATCACGTGAGTTGCCTGGCTCCGACGCAAAGCGCATGCGGGGAAGGGGCGCGGGCGATCCCCGTCATACAAGAAGCCGAGGGGGCTCAGGTGAGCTTTGCCCAATGTGATTTACCATCTCTCCAGATACCTCTTAAGTGCTATAATCGATCTCTATATTATGCGACCCGTCGTCGCTTCCTAGTATCTTCTGTGCTATTGCGTTGACTCTCCGTGTCCTCTTCTACTCGGTACAATGCCGCTCACTTCCCTTCTCCGCACTTCCTCTATGCGCCTGGGGTTGACGGTTGTTGCTCGACGCTCACGCCGAACCGCTTCCACAATAACCTCCAACTCCTCGAATTCTCCTCGATCATTAGATTCCATTCTAATTGCTAACAGAGGAGAAATCGCATTGTATGATCTCGGCCCACGCCTCTTATTCTTACTAATGCCATGTAGACGAGTCGGCCAGACCGCGGCCCAGCATGGAATTCGCGTTACGACACTGTACACGGATCCCGATCGCCGAGCTCAGCACGCCCTGAGTACACCATTTGCGTTTAATATCGGCTCTGTGTCCGCATACCTTGATGGAGACCGTATCATTGAAATTGCGAGGGCGCAAGGTTGCCAAGGGATACATCCAGGTTATGGCTTCGTAAGTGTAGTTTACGGTGTCTTCATTTGAGTACTGATCAGTAATCTACACATAGCTTAGCGAGAACTCGGAGTTTGCTCGCAAGTGTACAGAAGCTGGACTAATTTTCATTGGCCCGCCGTGGAAGGCTATTGAGGATATGGGGGATAAGAGGTACACCTCATTGCCCTCCGTGTCGCTCAGGTATACTAATATTACATGTCTATAGCCAGTCTAAGAAGATCATGACCGCTGCTGGAGTACCTTGTGTCCCTGGATACCACGGCGAAAACCAAGACCCTCACTTCCTCGAAGCAGAAGCCGATAAAATCAGATACCCCGTGCTCATTAAGGCAATTAAAGGTGGTGGTGGTAAGGGAATGAGGATAGCGCATTCAAAGGATGAGTTTCAAGCGCAGCTTCAATCAGCAAAGTCGGAGGCTATGAACTCTTTCGGGGATGACCATGTGCTGGTTGAGAAATATATAACGACACCGCGACACGTCGAAGTCCAAGTCTTTGCCGACAAGCACGGAAACTGTGTAGCGCTAGGCGAACGAGATTGCAGTATCCAGCGACGGCACCAGAAGATCTTGGAAGAGTCACCGGCTCCTCACTTGCCTGATGCCACAAGGAAAGACGTATGGGCCAAGGCTAGGTCTGCTGCCTTGGCCGTTGGCTACGAAGGTGCTGGCACAGTTGAATTCATCTTTGACAATGATACGGGAGAGTTCTTCTTCATGGAAATGAATACTAGGCTGCAAGTAGAGCATCCCGTCACTGAGATGGTTACCGGGCAAGATCTTGTGCATTGGCAGCTGAAGGTTGCTGAGGGCGCTGTGCTCCCGTTATCGCAGGAGGAAGTGGAAGCCAATATAGCCAAACACGGGCACGCTATTGAAGCCCGGATATATGCCGAGAACCCTGCTCAGGGATTTATACCAGATTCTGGTACGCTGCTCCATGTTCGCACTCCTGCCATCTCCGAGGATGTTCGAATCGACGCGGGATTTGTGCAAGGCGATGAGGTCTCGGCACATTATGACCCTATGATCGCAAAGCTAATCGTCCGAGGCGCCAATCGACAAGAAGCCATTCGAAAGCTCGCTGCAGCATTGGAGGAGTATGAGGTCGCCGGTCCAGTGACAAATATTGAGTTTCTGAAAACAATCTGCAGAAGTGCCGACTTCATCTCCGGGGAAGTTGAGACGGGATACATTGAGAAGCATAAAGACGAGCTATTCTCCAAGAAAACCATCCAGCCAGAAGTGCTGGCACAAGTGGCACTGGCTTGCCTGCGCGACGACTCCCGCCTTATCGCACAGAAGACAGCCAATTTTCAAGGTACCGCCGTAGGGTTCGGGTCAGGCTTTCAAGAACATCACATTAGTTTTACGGACTCGGCATCAGCAAACAGTGAGACCTTCCAAGTTCAAGTCCAACAAACCGGCGAGAATTTGTTCAATGTGAAGGTCGGCGAACAGTATTTTGAGCAAGTTACCAGCCATCTAAATACAGACTCCCGCATCATCACCTCGTTCTTCCCGCACACCCGCCTGGACACAACCGTCATCCGCGACGGAGACTCCGTCGTCGCATTCCAACGCGGCATGCAATACCGGCTCTCCATACCACGAGCAAAATGGATGGAAAAGGCACTCGGGATGAAGGACGTCACAAATAGCGTCCTCGCTCCAATGCCATGCAAGATCCTCCGTGTTGAAGTCCAGGCGGGAGATATAGTAGAAAAGGACCAACCTCTCGTGGTGATTGAGAGCATGAAAATGGAAACAGTCATCCGCAGTCCGCAGAAGGGGAAAATCGCAAAGGTCGTCCATCAAAAAGGAGTAAGTCACGCGGTTTTCAATTCTTATCGTACCCCTGTCATGGTGTGCCAACTCACCATTTCCCCTCCCTCAGCCCTATCGACCGGGAGCTTTTGCTTGGACATCTCCCCAGTGACTCTCTTGGGCGTTAGGCTAGGCTGGCCAGCGATCGGCTTTCTGTTGAGCTTCAATGGGATTTCTTTTCAGCCCCCACCTTCTATCTACCTTCTTAAGCTCTCCGGCTAATCTGTTGCTTTTCGCAGGATCAATGTAAAAGTGGGACACCGCTTGTTGAGTTCGCAGGCGAAGACGAAGTACCGAGATAGACCCAGGATGGATGGACTTGTGCTGCGTCGTAGACAAACCGTTAGCTTAGGCAGTTGTTCAGGGACTGATAGAGATATTATCTCAATATCTAGTTATACTAGAAATGATCATATCAACTCTTCAAACGCCATATCCGCAGTCCGCACGGGCCGAAGCATTAGCACGATCCACCAGCCGCTCCATTAGACCGTTGGGCCATAGGTAGTCAAGGTTCTGACCCACCGAGCACCATTGATGCGACTTGAAGAATGCAATTATTGATGGAGTTGCCCCAGCCAGCATAAAGCTACATCGTAATGTCTCTCTGGAAACGGCGTAACTGGTGGAAGCAGCGCGATTATGATTGGTTTTCAAGAGGCTCGACGGGACAGATAGGTAAGCGATCCGAGGCGATAGACGACGGATGCCGATAGTCCCGTTTGACTTAAGGGCTCTTACTGTTAGTTTGCAGTTGGCTCATAGGTTGCTTGAGTCCAGAGAAAATCGAAGGAGAGCTGATATCCAGTCACCCGAGCCCGATGGGCATCGGGACCAAGTCTCAATGTGAAAGAAGGGTAAGGGCACAGATGTACGGATTACGGCGCAAGAGACCATTGACGCGGGGCTACTAAGGCGTACCTCGATCAGCCTTCCCACCAGGGCCACCACTGTCCGGAATCTGGGCTGCATCAGCTAAGGCCCCGAGAGGCGAAGGGATGGGCAGATCGCGAGGTTTGATATGTCAATGCTAAAGTACGCTGCAGTAGCCTGCAGAAATTCCAGCGACATGTCAATATCTGGCAGTTGAAATGCAAAGTCTAGAGGCTTGGGCGTACATCCCTGCCATTAAAACGTTTATGGCAGAGGTTCATTCCTTTTGATTGCTTCGAACCGGATGCAGAGACAATCAGATGGTTTGTTTGCATGAAGGTCACATGGAAGATCCGCGGAACTTGGAAGTCTCGCCTGTGGGATATTGCATTGATTATTGCATCGTGCGGCCATGCGTTTTGTGTCTCTCTTGACTATTCGATGTTCCCTGGCATTCTTGGAGGCTTGAAATGGTATCGTTCTGAGCGGGAACCAGGAGTCATAGAGGGACTAGGGGTGGCGGGTTTCCGAAAGGCCCGAAATCCGAAGGGCAACGATCTATCGTAGATTGAACGCTAAGGAATGAGAGTCTCAAACATAGAAAAAAGCAAGTCCAGCCGGCACCTGGACGGGGGCCGGGCGGGCAGAGACCGAAGGGCAGAGAGGGTCACGCGGAGGCGTTAGGACAGGGATCTAAGAAATGGAAGCTGGCGTGGCAGATCCATCCCCTGGCCAGATCGCTGCATGGCGTTCGGGGCCTGGATCTGTCGTCCACGGTCCACCTGACATTGAAAAGAAAAAAAAGAGTTGAGAGACAACATCGTCCAAAAGAAGTACAATGGAGTTCCTCTTCTGAGGGTCAAGGCTGCTCAACCAGAAGCCTGTCTGTAGCAGAAGTAATGGAGCTTTTAGTTTGCACCTTCCTCATGAAAAGTTCTTAGCCATAGCAGCTCATAGAGTCATAGTACTAGTAGAGGGACAAGCTCTAATGCGGAGTAAAGAGCATAGTTCAATGTTCATAGCGTTTCGTAGCTCCAAAACTTTCTTTTTTATTTTATCTTTCTTTTTGATCGGCCCTGGTTTTGCCGCCCTGTGGCCACTGCTGGCACTCGTGCATCGTGACCTTCGTTCATTTACAGCTGGTCTATCGCCCCTTGACTCTGGCCCCGAGTTTAAAAGTCGCTGACCCGTCTCCCCAGGTTTCTGGAAACCATTGTCCCTTTCCACCCCGTCACTCAACTTGCATAGTTTTGTTTAACCATACGTCTCTTATATTCATAATGTTCAGGCCTGCGGTTGTTCGTCAAACGGTGAAGACCCTCAACCAGAGCTCTCGCCCAGCTGTTACTACTAATACACCACAATTATTCCGCCGTCCTCTCTCTACCACATTCGTTCGCGCCCAGAAAGACGACAAGAATGATCCCCTGGTGAAGGCTACCACAAGAGCTCCTGGAGGTGCGGCTGGAGAGAGCGAGGGAAAATATGCGCGTACAGATGAGAGCCTTGTCGTTGAATATCCCGACGATGCAGACATGCCTCGCAGCCCTGTTGTCCAGGGTCGTGGAGGAATGCACTTTAAGCGCACCCTTGCCCAATTCTCTCTGGAGAACAGGGTGACTCTGGTTACAGGTGGCGCTCGTGGTCTAGGGCTAGTTATGGGGCAGGGCATAGTGGCCTCTGGCTCGAATCTAGCCATTGTTGATTTGAACCGTATGTGTTCTCGATTTCTGGCTTTGGTTTGACGACTGCTAACTTCATCCTAGGAGACGAGGCCCAGGAGTCTGCGCACAAGCTGGTGGAACAGTTTCAGAAGGAGAATCCTGGATTGGAAGAGTCTGTCTTTCGTCGATCGTGGTTCAAAGTTCTGAGTTGTCGCTGACAATTGTCTCTCAATCAGATTGCCCAAAGTTACTGCTCACTACGCCGATGTCTCAAACCCTGATTCTGTGAACAATGCCCTCTCAGAAGTCATCGCAAAGCACGGCAAGATTGATCATCTTGTCACATCCGCCGGGTTTACAGAGAACTTCGACGCCATCAACTACCCTTACGACCGAATTCAGAAGCTCTGGGGTGTGAATGTGAACGGCACGTATTTGTTTGCTACTGGAGTTGCGAAGCACCTGATGGAGCGCAAGGCTCCCGGCAGCATTGTCATGATTGGTAGCATGTCTGGTGCGATCGTCAATGTGCCTCAACCCCAAGCGCCCTACAACGCCGCCAAAGCAGCCGTCCGCCATCTCGCTTCGTCCTTCGCTGTTGAATGGGCTGGACATGACATCAGGGTGAACTGCATCAGCCCAGGATATATGCTGACTGCTCTGTACGTTGCCACCTGAGACTCACAGACTCGCTAAGCAGGACAATCGCTGATTTAGTGCATCCAGGACCCGCAAAATCCTAGACGATAACCCCGAACTGCGGGATAAGTGGATCTCGCTCATCCCCACCGGGAAGATGGGTGTACCCGAAGATCTAATGGGCGCAGTGACTTTCCTCCTCAGCGACGCGTCCAAGTACATCACTGGTGCCGATCTCCGCGTGGACGGTGGCTACACCTTGACCTGAGGATAGACTTACGACTTACCGCCACTTCAGTTTGCTTTATTACGATTAAACGAGTTATGGAGTACTCTTTTCTTCGACTAGCGGATCGTTCTTGCTCATTTGGTGTTACGATCGCATTAGGTATTACTTTCATCCTACGCGCGCGGCTTCTATCAGCATTTCTCGGGGAAGCAAAATCGGTGTACTATTTGCAATTGGAGCACAGAGCTACGGTCGCACATTATTTTGGTAGACATCTGGACTGTGTTGGCCATATATAATATGATGTCATTATCTTTATCCCGACGATTTAATACCTTATGCCGACCTTACTCGGCGTATTGCTTATCGATTCAACAGTGCAGTGCAGGGTATGCTCTATATTACTCTGGTCTGAACAGCTCATCGAGCCCCATTCCATCACAATTGATCAGAGCCGAACTTGCCGCTCCAATTCCGCAGTCTAGTCTGGCCCAGTTCGAATCCAACTCTCGGTCTCGATTTCTTGGGGCCATGCGCCCATGCGCCCATGCGCCCACGCGCTCGTGGTGTTGGTCTGACCGTTCGATCCTTCGAACTTCTGCAGCTTTTCCAGAAGATCCCAATCAACATCCTTGGAAACACTAACCATGACCTGTCCGATTCGCTTTACTCTCATGTCCGAGCAACTTGAAGAGTTACATCGGGCTTTGTGAGCTCGAGACCAACTAACTACAAGGATGTATCACGTCAGTCGATGAGCTCTTACTGTGCTGGGTGAATGGTCCAGTGCAAGGGCTATGCCCTGGTGCTTATGAGCCAAAATTATTATAGTATTGACTCTTTCCCTGGCCACCATGAAACCCGTTTCTCTTCCACGTCGCGATACCACATCGCAAGAGCACCCATACCCAAGTCAGTATCCGAGGCCACATACTAAGCGACAGAGAGGAAGATAAGCGCGGACAATATCCAGCACGGAAGTCCGCAAAGTCAGATCAGCCCGTTCTTTGGGCATGGGGTTCGTCTGCGTCACGATACCTTAACACCGCAGGCTGGTTGATACATCCAATTCTGCCCCATAAGGCTGCTTATTCCGGCGGCCCAAGAGGTGATAGATGGCATTAGAACCGAGTTGTAACCTGTAATTCGTTCATGCTGGAGCTGAACGACATATGAAGTATTCTGCACGCTGAGATTAGGGCTCGTATCAGACCCTAGACTAGTGCTCTGCAACCCTGCTGCATAGCGATGAGCTGGCATCACCTGGGTGCCCGGTATAACCCCAGAGGGCCGTGAACATGGACTTAGATGGCACCGGCTTTTGCCCCGATATTCAATGACTTCATAAGATTTAGTAATGGGAACAGTTATGCATCAGGTGACAGGGAGGGACCCGTGATGGCTCCCGCGGATGGCGATCGTGACTTGATTCGACCAGCCTTTTCTTCTTCTTCCATCCTTGTTCTCTTCCGCGGTTTGCGTCCTTGGCCCTCTGCCCGACAGAGCAACGAGAGCTCTAAGTTTGAAGTCCCTCTTTTCCCTTTCATATTATTGTTGTTTAACCTCTCGGCGCACACCGATATCTTGAGAATGGGATCGCTGATCAGCTTCAGCCGGCGGACCCGCCAACGAGGAGCTACTCCAGCCCCCCACGAAGCTAGGCAGGATTAGCCTTCTGACCCCATGTAAATTCGCCGAACTCCCCTGCAGGGGAAGTCTTCTGGATCATCTCACCTCACTGGACCAAATGGCGAATTCCTGGGCAGAAGACTGGAAAATCGGACGGCAAATCAAATGAAACAAACGGATTACGCACCGCCAGTGATCCTCTGAGCTGAGCTAAGATGAGATGGAACGGGCGAAACTGGCACCTCAGTACTCGATTTGGTAGCAGCCGAGTAGCTCTGTTTGAGCTCCTCTCCACTCATCGTCGTAGGACTGGGATCTTCCGCAGGTTGCAGACTGGAGACTGGAGTACAGTACTTACGGAGCGCTCCGCGGGGACCCGGGGTGCACCATGGCCTGACCAGCTTGCATACTGACTCAGTGCCTGCTTGCCACCACGAGGCAAGGCGTGAAGCTGCGACAGCGATGTCCATCGATCCCCCAGAAGTATGGACAAGTGTGGGGTGGAAGTCCCAAGGTTCGCAACGGGCATTCCCGACACCCTGGAGCTGGTTTGGGCTCTG